GCTGTAATGGTTCCGGATCACCGAAAGGTCAGCCTCCCTTGTGTCCTGCTAATCTTTGTGGTCCCAAACTCCCAAACTCCCAAACCGCCGTTTCGCATACACGACATCTGGTTAACATTCCTACTGAATCGCCGACATCTCCACCACGTTCCGCCCGGGATTGAAACGGCGATACTTCGAAAAGATACAAGGAAATGAAAGTCTTTAGGAGATGACCGCGACAAGCGCTTACATATGATAACCTATGTGCCCCATATTATGTATGGAAGCTTTCCAGCTTAGTTTCCAAGCCTGGAGCTCCGCCAGGATAGTATGCCAAGCTTCAACCATCGCCCATTCAGACATCGCATTTCTCCAGCACAGTACACAGTATCAACCCACAGCCCAAGTACAACTCTACCACGGTACACCGGCTGCGGCGTGCTAAAGGTGCTGTGGTTCCAGTGCAACGGGTCGCATCTGCTCGTCCGGCGGGATCCCGGACAAATGCCGCGGTAGCGTCGGGTGCTGTACATGTACAAACAAAGTACGTGTACACACTTTGGTCTTCAGCAATCACATCATGTTTGGCGGAGACGACTGGGTTTTTCGCTTCGTGGCATCGGCCCATCTGATCTACAGCACATATGTACATATGCGTTCGGCCACAGAAGTCTACACGGTAACAAGCTACGGAGCAGAACAGCGCTAACCCAGGCATTAAGATGCTCCGTCTCGTCAGGCATTGACGCAGCATACAATTGTATGAAAGTTAGACGGAACTCCCTCCGACGTCGCATGGCGCAGAATGGAGATACGGTTAGCTCTTCGCGCAAAGGCAAGATGATCTGGATCCGAGGCTATCGGCGCTTGCTACGGCATCGGCCAAGATAGCTATGTTGTGCCAGGAGTCGGGCTAGGCAAGGTAGCCGTTAGCAAAACCTGCACAGCTGTCATCCAACCAGTGCGCGGAGAGAATATTACCTTCCACTTAGATCTCGGCCAAGATCAATAGGGCAGCAGGAGATCCAAGTCAAAGCGCGACTATACACCTGCTTATTGTCCAAACTACTGCACGGCGGGAGTACCCAACATTTGCCAACGGTCTCGAGTCCGAACTTAAATTCCCTCATTACTAGTCTAGTGGCATTTGTTTGCGTTGGTTGCTACCTTGCGCGTAAAGGACGGAACAGGCAAGCCGGAGGAGTGAAATGAGGACAGCGATTCAGTCCGTATCACATCTTGGCTGGATCATCGGTCTAGCCGCCTAGGGCGATCTGGGAAGAGCTCACTGATCCGTGATGAAAGAAAAAGGCTAGTAGCCAGGGCTCCAGGGCAGGATCAGGTCGGGCCCTTGCTGGCAGGTCCCTTGGAGGTATGTAAGTCATGTTTTTCCAGGGTCTTGTATGGTGTCATTGCTCCAATCAAGTGTTGATAATCATTGCCCGATGGATACAAGACGTCAAATCTCCTGCAAAGTTAAAACTGCAAAGCGCATCCTTTTTTTTCATTTCAGTACCTGGCAAATGCTGGGGACAGTGGATAATAACAGGCTCCCCTTCTGCTCGTTGGGATTCTTGATGATGCATTCTGCTACATCCGCTCTTCTCCTCCCCGTTTCCCTGGGCTTGGATCTGCGAGCGGCTTGTCACACCTTGCTTGGCCTTACATCAACATGAGCATTTCTGGAGAAGCGAACCAATTCATCATCCTTAGCCTTGTACTACTCTCATGCTTTAACGACTGGGCCTGGACGTATATTACAGTTCATCCGCTGGAGGTCGGCGTGATGAATTTCCGAAACCATTTCGAACACGTACAAATCACACAGTGGGTAAGGAGGCACTCGCCACTGTATACCGCTATTCCATGTGTGCAACCTTTCCCTTCCTCGCGTGTCACTGATGGGGTCCCTGATAGCTGATCCCCAGCCTGCTCCTCCAGGTCCTCCAGGCCGGATGTAGTCCCGCGTGAACCTTCCGCGTCCCGACTCCTCCGAGGCGTCCATTCTTTTCGATTCTGATAACTTTTTTCTTCTCTCTTCCGTTCACCGCCTCCTACCCGACCAATCTTTCGAGCCTTTCCTCGGTTCGCAACAAGATTCCAATGTATGTTTTGGGACAGTCTCGGCGCAAAACCTGTTGTCCACTTCGTCACTCAAGCAATTACCCCCGCGAGCCGCGGACTGTGGTCCACCATTGAGCTACCAACACCCTACCTACCCGGACGAGCTTGAACTGCTGGGGATTCAGGAGAGCAAGGCCTTGCTTAGTTCCTCCACACAAGACCGCCACGCCAATCTCCTCGCCTGTCATTTAATCGTCATAGAGTCAGGAAGATTTTCGCTGCTGTGACGAGATTTTGCGGGAAGCGTAGTGCTAAATTGTCGCTGTGATCGGACATACCATGCCTCGATGGGAATGGTCAATTGGCGCCTCACTTTTGAATCGAGACATTCCTCTCGTTGCCAATGATTCAGTTGCCTGTCACCTCCTTGCCCGTTACCGGTCCGGTCGACTAGCCCACCGAGCCCACCAAAAGCCATGCACTCAAATGCCGGATTTGTGCCCCAGCAGCCAGCTAGTTCTACAGCTTACATACCTACATGTACTCGACCTAACTTACATACACAGTGCTGAGGCGTGAAGGTACGCATCAATTGCCCTGTGTCTCAGTTACTGGAGGTTGCCCATCAACGTAGCTGGATCTTGCACATAGCTCGGAAGTGTGAAGGCAGGTCTCAGTCATGACCCCTTCATCCCTATGGTCCCGAGGCTATGGCACGACTGCAAGCATGGAGCAGTGTATCTCCCATTGAGGCGAACGCTGTGTGTGCGTGTATACGCACAATGCGTCCATGCGTACGACCTAAGTTGGCTGGTTGGTACTTATCCCTGCTTCTATATGAACAACATTAAAACTACATCTCACCTCGCTCGGACTTTCTATCATTGGTGCTGCTCGTCTACTTTACCTATGTCCTCTGTTCCGTGCTTTCATCAAAAGTTATTGGCCAAGGCAGCTCTTGTGGGCATGCCTGTTTTGTGTATCCCGACCGCGACCTGATCGGCTTGCCTGTCCAACCCATTGTCCGAAGGTGATGCAGCCACAGCTCAAGAGTAGGAGGTGGTGGTGGTGGTGGTCAGTCGAGGCAAGAGGTTCGTGGGATAAGGCGGTCTACCGGCCCGCTGTTGTGCAAGGTGTTTCCCAACCCAACGAGCCAACCCCACGCTTCTGTTAGCAAGCAATAAAGCGTGCCCATCACCATGCAGCCCAGCCCGCGCGTTGGGAGGTGAATGGATTGCTGGAGGAGCAACAAAAGGGCCCGGCCGGTCTGACTGTCGTGTCGCCTCGAGTCTCATGGGCACGGCTTGAAACCGGGAAAGCTGAATTGGTCGCGACTCGCGGACGCAGGTAACCGCTGCTCGATGCCTTCTGAGTCGCAAGGCAAAGGCCCGAAAAAGAGACAAAAGGGACAATTATACGGCTTTTGACCATAGGGGCTGGCCGGTCATTCGGCTCCGTGGTCGGGGCCTACAAGCATAGGTCATACAGCTCACACGACATGACTTTCATTTCTTCTTTTTGTACGATACGCGAAACACGGCATTGCAGTCCTAAGGATGTCCATCACCGACCAGCCGTTCTAGCAGCCTCAGGAGCCAGGAGCTGAATGTTCATCTTAACGTAAGTTCCAGAAGCAACGAAACCCACATCTCGAACACACTTGCGAAGCGGCCATTTTGACTTTATGGCGGGTTCCATCCATCAAATTGGGCGGCTGAGGGTGGAAAAGGGTAAAGCGATCTGAGGGTGGCGAAAGAAGAAAGGAAGAAAACAAAAGGAAAAAGAAGGAGACCCAAGAAGAAGGAAGTGGTCGAGACATAAGAAACCTAGCCGACTACTAGCGTCTACCCGTCATCAATGTGTTACTATAAAGCTACAGCACATTCTCATCCTCACCTCAGCAGTGTAGTGCTACCTCGAAGGTACAGCCTCATATCCCTGCCACGGGCATATATCACAGGTAGCGAGATGGTGACCTCTGCCGTAGCGCGCGTGGTAGGTATTAATTGAGAGACAGAATCTTACCTTTACTCACAGTTGAGGTTGCTGTAGCTGCGGCGCTGATGTACAAGTCCCCGCCATCCACATCAAAGGCATACGCGCCAACAAACACTGTGCGCGGGTCCAGCGCCGGCCATGGATCATGGATAGCCCTGCATCACTGCACCTCGCACGCTGGGGCCATGTTCCTTACCTAGCTTGGTACCTGACCTGCTCCAGCTAGGTAGTCAAAAAAAAAAAAAAAAGGTAGGATCATCTTGGGCCTTTACTCCTCGCCATGTACAGTAGCAAAGTTTCTTGCTTGTCACCGCCGTTTCAACGTTTCCTCTGTACGCTTGATTACCGATACGTCCTCGCTCACTCGCCCCTCCTCCCGGGGCCCTGTTCCCAATCCCAACAGCCATCATTCATGTACGCAATATGCTTGCCAGCGGCGGTCCTCGCAAGGGGTCCACACAGCATCGTCCTCAACGGATGATCTGGTGACCATGTTCTTCTCAGCCCGTCCTGCGCCTTTGGCCGCCTTCTTTTTGGCGATAGCCGCCTGAGAATGCTGGCTTATTCGGTCAGGGCCCCCTGCCCGCCATGTAGTCGTCTGTGACTACCTAGTTACGTATATAGCACGTAGTCCTTTGATCACTCCTGCTCGCCTCTTCTTCAGATGTATATCCGTCTCACTCCCCCTCCCAGCTTTACGCAGTCCAGCTCTTTGTCTCTCACACCCCTTTCTCCGGTCACCTCCATATATCACTATATATACACCATATCCACCCCTGCTTCGGCACTCGTCTGTTCGGTCTTTGTCCTACTAGACTGGTATCTCAACACACCTTGACATCTGTCGGTCACTGCCGGCACTGGCCGGCTACACTGGAGTCTCCTCCAACAGACAAACAGTCAGCTTATCTCTTCGGCAATAATCCTTTATGGTCCCAGGCACAAACATAGGCAAGATGGTAGTTGGACCTGCTCGTACAGTGGCCGCTGTTAGGGATGGAGTGAAGAAAGCTTCAGCCAAGCGGTCACCACCGCCGTACCCGAAGCGGCAGCTGTTAATTCTCGGTATGTCTTGTATCTTCCCGGTCTTTCTGTGTGACCATCGGAGCGAAACACCAAGAGAGCAAGCATAGAACACCATAACTAAGACAAAACAATAGCACTATGCCGGATATGCGAGCCTATCGCCTTCATGTCGATTTTTCCCTATGTCTACCACATGGTCAAGGACTTCAACATCACCAACGACGAAAGCAAAATCTCCATGTACGCCGGCTGGGTGACGTCTTCTTTCACCCTGGCCGAGTTTCTGGCGGGCTTCCTGTGGGGACGACTGAGCGACAAGATCGGCCGGAAGCCGGTTCTTTTGACGGGAATGGGTGGCACGGGTCTCAGCGTTATCCTGTTCGGTCTTGCGCCTAGCCTTCCGGTCGCCTTGCTTGCCCGTGCTTTGGGTGGAATTTTGAACGGGTGAGTTTCGGTTATGCAAACTGAAAGGGAAGATTTTTGAGTCGAGTTAAACTGACAGATGGGGTCCAGTAACATGGGTGTTTTGCAGACCACTGTTGGAGAGTTGGTGACAGTGAAAGAACATCAGCCACGGGCATACACGGTTATGCCTATTGTTTGGTGCATTGGGTATGTTTTAACACACAGGACAAGGCCACTTCAAAGGTACGAAGCGTGCTAACTGTTTAATAGTTCGATTGTTGGGCCTATGATTGGCGGTACTCTTGCAAGGCCGGTAGATTGGATTCCGACCGTCTTCCAGCCCGGCAGCATCTGGGACCGCTTCCCGTATCTACTGCCTAATATCTTCAGCGCCATGTGTGTGTTTTTCGGCCTCACCGTCGGTTTTCTGTTCCTCGAAGAAACCCACGCCGAAAAAAAGTATCGACGTGACCGCGGTGTTGAGTTGGGCAAATATCTGACCTCTCGTCTTTTCGGAAAGGACAGCATTTTCCGGAAACGAATTCGACGGGGAAAGAACGGGGAGGATCAGCCTTTGCTTGGCGAAACGGACGAGTCGCTGCCTGGATACCGCACCGCAGATGGATCGCCAGAGCTTATTTCGACTGAGGGACCGATTATGCAGGAGGTGCTCGATCTTGAATCGACGGGTGAGATTGTGGAGGCCCAGCCAGAGAAGCCAGAGAGGACTTTTACCAAACCCATCATCTTCATCATTATCAACTACGGCCTTCTTGCTTTGTAGGTTTACATTCCACCTACAACGAACACCTGGAACTTTACTGACCAAATTTTGCTTTATAGCCACACCATGACGTTGGATTCTCTCCTTCCGGTATTCCTCAGCACCGACCCACAGGGCAGCCAGGACAGCTGGTCGCTCCCCTTCAAGTTCGCAGACGGCTTTGGGTATGACACCCGAACCGTCGGCATCATCTTGTCGATCCAGGGTCTCTACTCGATGATCTCCACGTCCTTCTTCTTCCCCCGGATAACCGGTCGGCTCGGAGCGCTTCGTCTATTCCAGATCATTTCCATGTCGTACCCTCTGCTTTACTTCGCCACCCCTTACTTCGTCCTGCTGCCCAGCAGCGTCCGCATGGCCGGCGTTTACATCCTGATCATTTGGAAGTGCACCCTCGCTACGATGGCCTACCCCAGCAACGCGATCCTCCTGACCAACTCGGCACCCTCGACATTGACGCTCGGAACGATCAACGGCGTGGCGGCCTCGATAGCCAGTCTGTGCCGCGCCATGGGACCGATCGTCTCGGGGTACCTTTACACGGTTGGATTGCGGGTGGGATACTGCGGAATCGTTTGGTGGTTCACGGCCTTTGTGACGATCGGCGCGTCCTTCCTTAGCTTCGGAATTACCGAGCCTCGGGGGAGACTGGATGAAAAGGAGGAATTTGAGGAACCTGCTGCTGAAGATGCGGCAGCGATCGAATCGGCAGTCACAACTGAGCCTACAAATACCCCCACGGCCATCAACTTGGCCCCAACAACAACACCAACAACAACAACCCAAAGAGACTGATACCCGTGCGCCGCAAGATCGGCGTTCACACAACTTTTTGCTTGTTTTTGTTTTATCGCTTCAGTTGAGCTTTTGTTTTATTCAATAAGGGTCGGCGTTTGGCGGGGTATCCAGCTGGACAGTTACCTCGGGCTTTGTTTTGTTTTGTTTGGACACGCATATGATATCTTTATAGACTCTGGAGCGTGCTGGGTTTTGGGACTTTGGTGTTGGGCATTGTACAAATTTCAACGGTCGTTCGCTTTATTGTGGCATGTATTCTCCAGTCCTCAGATATACCGGTGTTTTTCTTTGACAAGGGATCAGGACAGTCTGGGCTAGGAACAGGAAATTGGAGTCGGTCGCTTTTTATATGGGAATTTCTGCTGTACGAACGGCATGTGGGGTGAATTATCTTTACTGGGGTTCAATTGTGTTTCTTAGCATGTAAGCAACAATTGTATACTACTATACACATTTGTATATGTGCCTTGTAATCTTGAGTCTATCCTTGGTGGTGACGGGCTTATCTGATCTTCTTGCCTTGAATCGAATTACATCTTGATTGTCAATGTCAGAAACGTTTTCCTTTTTCGAGATACTGATAATGCAACTTCAAGATATTCTATAGAAAGCCGTCCAGGTTTTGCCCAATAGCGTGCCAGGTCTAATAGGACCAAACCAAAAGGGGTTTCTGATTGGATCCCAACGTCAACCTCGCTCGCATCTGTGATATACGTGGTAGGGCGTCTTTTTGTGGTTGGTGATTCGCTGAAGGCTAGGGTCCTTGTCAGGAGGTTGTGATCGTGACTGGAGCTAGCCTAGTGACGTGCGTACACTATAGACTAGAGGTATCCTCTTGGACCTCCCTGGGCGCAAAAAGTGGCTGGGCTGGCTGGGGGGTGGTTGAGCAAATATGTGCGGATTTCATGTAATTCATTCAATCTCACACCGCGCCGCCTTGGGACAGAAATCAACCTAGCTTTATGATCCGAGCAAGCCTGATCATGAAGATTGAGATCATCGTGGTTGGTTTGTGTCGCGGAAAGAAGTGTCTCGTGCATTGTAGTGCAATATCAGTAGAGGTCTCACCACGGACATTTAGCCCACTTGAAAAGACAGGAGAATCTCGTCGTCTGCTGTCCAACACTCCGTGCTTCTTGACACGTCTCGAATGCCCCAATGAGCCGGTAATGGGTGCGTGATATGGATGTGAGCTTGAAAGTTCGCAAAGTTCGGGCACAGTTGAAGTTCATCCGTTGTTGATATGGTTCGGTGCTGTACCTCTCATGATGGATTCCTACCTGTACCTAGACATATAGGGCAGGTGTACCTTTAGGGTACTAGAGGTACCTATCTCAGCTATGTACCTCTTAGCGCCCCCCCCGCGATTTCCACTTTGCTGGGTTTCAGAGCCTACGACGCGCACCGGAGAGGACCTAACTATCAACCACCTCTCCACTTACTATCGACGTCCGCTATCCACCTGCCCTCAGTACATTTTGTACTAGAACTAGGCCTATTATCTACAACTGCGCCGTTGCCGCTTTCCGCGTGCCGTCCGCCTTTGGTTCCTCTTGCATCGTATCGCAGCAAAAAGTCGGCCGAGATCCAAACATGATACTACCGTCCGTCAATGGAGTGTGACCTGCGACGAAACCCGGACGTATTCGACCCTTCCCGCGCCAACAAGGATTGCAACTTTTTTTCTCCCACGGCTCAACCGCGCAAACCAACAACAGCCCTTTGTCCGAAGATTGAGGTGACGGTTGGGACATCACGAGGGTCGCTTCTTGGGGTCCTCCGTCTTGGTTACCACTACGCTACCGTTCGATCTACCTACCTACCCCATCCAGGCCACTCGTTGTCGGTCAAGCTTGCTTCGGATTCGGATGCGCATTCCCCAACGAAAAAAAAGCAACCAACGCAACAGCGCCCAACAGCAGCTGGAGAGGTAGCAGACGCGAACCCTGATCCACGCGCCTAAGCCTCGCACGACAAACCGGACCGCATTTGCGAGCCCGGTCACACAGGGACGGCGGGACTCGATTGGAGTGCTCTATCTACTGAGCAGCCTGGCATGATGCTGGCGGATACTCCTCCGTCCCCGAGCCACCACCCAAACAAGCGCCCGCGCCAATCGTCCCCGGAACGAGAGTCTCCGACTTCGGTTCCGTCCGGGGAAGCACCGTCCCCCGCTAACGATCTTCTACATGACGGTTCCGGCGCCACTCATGGGGGCCAGGGAGGCGGGTCGGCGGGGGGCAAGGCCGGACAAAGCAGCAGCTTCCGCAACGTGAGCGCTTGTAATCGATGTAGGCTTCGCAAGAATCGCTGTGACCAGAAGCTACCGAGTTGTGCCAGTTGCGAAAAGGCCAATGTTGCCTGTGTTGGCTACGATCCCATCACCAAGAGGGAGATCCCGAGGAGGTCAGAAATTCCCCCGGCCGGGATCCGGTTTCCCGCCATAACCCCAGACTCCGCCCAACGCTTCGCTTCCCTGTCTGTAGATAGCAGAAAGTACTGACGCCGTGCTCTTCCAGTTATATCTTTTACCTCGAGAAACGAGTAGAGCAACTGGAAAACCTGCTCAAGGACAACAATATCACTTACCCGCCGGCCGAAAACTTGGACTATTGTTCCAAGAAGGGAGATAGGCCGCGCCATGCCCACTCGACCCATGGGGACGCAACCGGGCATCCCTCACAACTAGAGACACCCGATAGCACCAACAATCCAAGGCCGCAGAATGAAGGAGATGATGTTGTCAGACTACAAAAACTGGTGTCCAAGTCTGACCTTGCTGGAGTATCCGCGACGGCAAACCCTCGTCATCTGGGATCTACCTCGGGCATATCGTTTGCACGCGTTGTTTTTGCTGCTGTACAGTCGTCGGTATCCGATCAAAAGTCCACCTCGGACAAGGCTGGCATCCGACCCTACAAGCCCGCTCCCACAAACAACGGCCCCGCCGCCGCCGGAACTTCTATGAGAGACTCCTTCTTTGGCTTGCATACGAAACCGACGATTCATCCGGCCACATTCCCCAGCAGGGCTTTGGGTGAAAAGTTGGTGTTGCTCTACTTTGAGCATGCGAACCCCCAGATTCCTGTGCTTCACAAGGGCGAGTTCATGGAGATGTTCGAGCAAGCTTACGCCGAGGAGAACCGCGTACGGGGGCCACGAGAACTTTACATGTTGAACATGGTCTTCGCGATAGGCGGCGGCATCATTGTGGGAGAATCGACCAAGGCCAGTGGGTCGGTTGAAGAGCCAGGTAAAACTGATGACGACACAAGACAGTGCCAGCCAGAAGAATATCATGCTAGTGCCATTGTTCATCTTGAGGCTTGTCTTGGCAACAGTGCTGGTGGATTGGAAGAGTTACAGGCCGTCTTGCTTCTCGCCAACTTTGCCTTGTTGAGGCCGGTTCCTCCCGGGCTGTGGTACATCGTCGGTGTCGCTGTCAGGTTGGCGGTCGATCTCGGCCTACACTACGAAGACGGTAAGGACATTGAATCCGGTCTAGGGATGGGAGACCAGAGCGAAGCATTCTCGCGGGAAAGAGGACGACGAGAGTACATGCGTGATCTGCGGCGGCGTCTGTGGTGGTGCACTTATTCACTCGATCGCCTGGTCAGTGTTTGCGTCGGCAGGCCATTTGGCATATCAGATCAAGTCATCACCACCGAGTTCCCTTCTCTTCTAGATGATAGGTTCATTACGCCAAGCGGCTTACTTGAACCACCTCCCGACGTAATAGGACCGACTTACAAACTCATTGCACATCACTATTTCCGTCTCAGGTTGCTCCAGTCAGAAATTCTTCAAGTCTTGCAGTTCCAGCAATCCCAGCTTGCGCGGTCCTCTGGACTGAACCAGAAGAACCCTTACATGCATACTTCTCTTCCATCGCCGTTCTTGTCACAGTTCGAGACCTTCCGGGCATGGCGCATTGATATCGATAGGAGATTATGGGAGTGGAAGAATTCTGCGCCAACAAGGCAGCAGACCGGCGTACAATTCTCGCCTGAATTCTTTGACCTCAACTACTGGCAGGCTGTCATAATGCTCTATCGCCAGAGTCTGAGCGTCCCAGCCTTGTTCGAAGGTGAATATCACACTTCAAAGGAGGTCAACAGTCCCACAATGTTCAACATGGAGCTTCGGGAAGACGAGGACCGCGTCTATCTCAAAGTCGCCGAGGCAGGTCAGCGTATCTTGCGCCTCTACCGCCAATTACACCGTGTGGGCTTGGTCAACTATACGTATCTGGCGACTCATCATCTCTTCATGGCGGGAATATCTTATCTTTATGCGATTTGGCACTCGCCTATCGTGAGAAGCAGGCTTGTAAGTGAACACTGCTCTGGGCCAATGATCTTTTTGCTATGCTTTTCAGACACTCACATCAGGCACCTTCATAGACCGTAGACGAAGTCGACTTCACGATTCTGGCTGCCAAATCTGTTTTCACAGACCTGATGGATAAATGTCCTCCAGCAGAAGCGTGTCGGGATGCCTTTGATCGTACCGCTAAGGCAACCATTAAGATGGCAAACTCGACTGGAGGCTTCGGTCAAGGCCAGGATTTGTCCGGCGGATACGGACACAACACACACACGCGACGTCCTGGAGGAAGCATTGATCAGCGTTTCGACTGGAGTTCACAGAGTGATTCTGCCGCTTCTAGCTTGCAACACTATAGAATGCAGCAACAACAACACCAGCAGCAGCAACAGCAGCAGCAACATCGCCATCACCAACAACACCGCCACCGCCCACCAATGCTTCGCAATCCTTCGTCGCAGTACAGTGATCTCGCCTCTGACGCTTACTCCGTCTCATCAGCATCCCAACTTTCAGCCTTCCAACAGGCAGCACAGTTCCGTGCCGCGGCCGCCGCGGCCATCAAAACCGAACAAGAAGGTGGATTCTCTCTCATGCGAAACCTCCCGCAGCCTCCACGAAGCAACGCAAGCTCTGTTGCAGAAGGCGGGCCGATAGCTCAAAGCCCAGCAGGCGAAACCCCCATTGATCCATCCCTGATGCCCTCGCCGAGCGCCATCCAGCAACACCAGCAACGGCAAGGACAAGGACTTAATAACACCCTGTCGCCGCCTGCCCAGATGGCTGGATCGCCAATCACCGGTTCCAACAACCCCCAACAGCAGCAGCAGCAACGAGGAGGAACACCGGGCTACCTGCAGCAGCAGCAGCAGCAGCAGCAGCAAACATACGCCAACAGTCCTGGCGCACTAAGCTTCAGTGATCTACAGGGGTTGGAGTTCCTCCAAGGCGTTGACGGCGGCGGCGGCACTGGTGGTATGGATGGCAGTAATGGAGGAGGGGACCTGTCGAGCCTGAACATGAACTTAAACCCGGCCGAGGTGGTGGGGCAGATGGATCTAGGCTTCGGTATTGGTTGGGAAGGAAATCATCATGACTTTAGCGATGGACAGCAGTTGGATCTGTTTGAGGGATTCTTCTTTGGTGGGCAGCAGGGCGGTGGGGGCGGGGCAGGAGGAGGAGGTGCAGGTGGGGGGAATTGAGATTGAGGGATGATGATGATGATGAGGTTCACGAGGTTGATGAGGATGATTGGGTTGACGATATATTATACCACGCGCAAGGCAAGGCAAAGGGGTGGACAATAGGTGGAAATATTTGTTGTACGAGGACGTGTTGATATAGCGACATCTGCGCTGACTGCTACATGGCATTTGCTTCCTTTCGGCTAGGGAGAAGATTATCTGAATGGGATGATGGCGGACTTTGAGAATCGAAACAAATATCAAGTACAGTCGAGAATAAGATAAAGGGCTTTGAAGCTTCAATTACCACGGACATGGTTTAGTCCCGATGGGATGAAAAATGCACACCAATCGACGTTCGAGATCAGATCAAATCAGCGGCAGTGAAAATGTGATTATAGGTGGATTGCCAGCTAAAGGTCCTTGTAGAGGTCAATATGAATATAAAGCGGGCAGATGCGGAACGTGTTGGCAGCATGGGTACATATCATACAACGTGAGCGAATGTATATGTGCGGTCCAAGTTGAACCCAGAAGATGTCAGTGAATATGTCAAGATGAAATTTCAAGAACAAAAGAACAAAAGCGTGTTCTTATCTAAAGTCGAGATTGGCCCCAATTCTTTTCCCTATACAAATCAAAAACAAAAAGTGTACGCCCCTTTTAGCCCCCCCCAGCTCCAGCTCCAGTCCCGAGTGTTGTTGTATGTCCACCAGTCCCAGTCCCACTTTTTGAACAACAAAAAAGTCCCCTTTCCTTCTTCTCTTTCTCCCGTGACCATGGAACTGACCAAGAACTGTACTACCCCTCTTTTGCGTGTTGTCCACGCTGTCTATAAAACACACTTCGGTATAGACAACAGACCACCCCGATGTGTGTGGAAACAAAAAGAAACTCCGGCCTTGCTTTCCCGTGATAATTATGCTATAGTACAGATGGTATCAATGTCGAACAGTACAGGAAAGGAAATACATGGGGGACCCGATACCACGGGAACAACAACCCCGCAAGCATCTTCTTTTCATCGGGAAAAAAACGAACAACCCTCATTCGTCGCCGCCAAATGCACAGTTAGACCCACCTCAAATCAAGTTTAGATTTAGAAGGTGGCCTGCTGGCGGCGGGTAGGACGGCGGTCGACGTCCTGAGCCCTGTGGAGGACGTTCTCGAAGGGATCATCGGACTGGCGACGGGGGCCGCGAGAGTTGAGATCACGGCGGTGGCCAGGTCCGCTACCCATGGGGCGCGAAGACATCGATGGGCCCTCGGCCCTCAGACCCTGGACACGGCCCATGTGCTTGACGATGCTCTGGCGGACAGCAGGGGGCTCGGGCAAGCCCCAGCCGTGCTTGGCGAGGTCATTGAGAGCATAGACCAAACCCTGGCGATCGATGCCCTGAAGAGCGCCACCTAGGTAGGATGAGTAGCAGTCCTTGAAGAGTTCCTCGGGGAGCCTGGAGGTCGCCTCAAGGATGTGCTGGAAGTTGGCGGGCAGCTCCTTGCCGGTATCAGCGGCGTTTACGGAAGCGCACTGGAGCTCATCGTTGCGCTTGATGGGGAGACCGGGAAGTCTGCTCCTCGCCATGCTGAGCTCGAGGTCGGGAACGATAAGCCAGCCCTGGCCAGACTTGTTGGCTCTGCCGGTACGTCCGAGACGGTGAATGTACTGCTCCCTGTTGGGGGGAGTATGGAGCTGGATGACGTGGGAAACGTTGGGGAAATCCATGCCTCTAGCGGTAACGTCGGAGGAGAAGAGGATACCGGTGGTGGCCCTCTTGAACTCATCAGCGGCACGAGTTCTGGCGTTCTGGGTGAGCTTGGAGTGAATGTCCCAAGTCTTGGGAATGTGCCTGAACTTCCACTGAAGACGCCTGAAGATGGCGTTGGCCATGATAACCTCAGCGGTAGTAGGCAAGAAGACGATGGCCTTGAAAGGAAGAGCATCGGGGTTGGTCCTGGACTCGTTGATGGCCTTCTCTACGAGCTCAAGCATGGTCGGGTAGATGTTCTCGAAGCCCTTGCAGGGAACGATGTACTGGGGGATACGGTCGTGGGTCAGGACCTCGTCGGCCTTGACGGTCTGCACGAACTCGAAGTTGTTCTTGTCGATGTAGCTTCTGGCGAGACCAACAACATCCTTGGGGATGGTGGCCGAGAAAAGCAGAGTCTGGCGGGGAAGAACCTTGCGATCGGGAAGGTAGTTGATGATCTGGCGGAGCTCCTCGTCGAAACCAACTTCGAGCATTCTATCGGCCTCGTCGAGAACAAGGGTCTGGAGTCTGGGGGCATCGATGCCGCTAGTGCTGTCGGAAAGCAGATCGTTCAGGCGGCCGGGGGTGCCAACAAGGATATGGCAGCCCTGCTGGCGGGTCTTGTACAGCATCTCCCTCTTCTGGGTACCACCAACGGCAGTCTGGACGATGACACCGGTTCCCTTGACCAACTTACGGGCCTCCTCTCCGATCTGCTCTGCAAGCTCGCGGGTTGGCGAGATGACGATGGCGCGGATGTCATCAGAACGAGCTCTACGGCCACCAAACCTGTCGGCGAGCGCGGGATCTTGGGCGACGATCTTCTGGATCACGGGGACGAGGAAACCAAGCGTCTTGCCAGTTCCGGTCTTGGCTTGAGCGACACTGAAAAGGTTCACGTTAGCAACGGTTGGAGGGGCAGAAATGGAGGTGAAGGATTTAGGCGTACATGTCCTTGCCCTTGAGAGCGGGGCTGATGGTCATAGACTGAACCTCGGTCATGTTCTCGTAGCCCATGCCATGGGTGATGGCGCGAACAACATTCTCATGAACACCGAGAGAGGCGAGGTCGGCGAAGCGGGTAATGAGGCCGTTGGAGGCAGCGGCGTCGCTTTGGGCAGAGGCCTCAGCCGAGTAGAAGCGGGGAAGAGAGACCGAAGGAAGAGACTGGACAGCGACGGCGCGGGTGACCTGGCTCAAGAGGGCGGCCGAGGGCTTGGAGGAGATCTGGAGATGGCGGGCAGCAAGGGCGGCACGGCAGAGGCCGGCCTGGCGCAATACGCTGGTCCTCATGTTTGGCGACGGCTACAGCGACGCGACGGGACTGATAAGGTGGTGGTGGCACACACTCGGATCCGTCAACGACTTGGTTTGATGGAGCGATCGTGGGGTTGAGACGACAAGAGGCGGACAATCAAACAAATTTGTCGTTGGCGTCGAGTGTGATGGGGAGGATGGGCGGGAATAGGTGGGAAAAAGAGACTGAGAGATGGGAAGAGAATGTGTCTGGCTACGGGCCTGGTACCTGCAACAGCAAAAAATTTCCATTGCCGTCGAAGTCGAAGCTTGAAGTTATGATCCCTGTCGTATGAGCCGCCTTTATCTTATCAGCCGTTACTCCGCACGCGACCCCATTTTTGGCAGTAAGTAGCTTAAGGTACTTCTTTACCTTTTACTGGACGGAAGCTACTTTTAGATACATGCCCAAGGAACGCTGGAAACCGATCCTCTCCGCAAAGCATGGGGCCGAACTGGACCCCTTTGCCCACTTTGACCGTTCCTGGTCCTTGTCTCATTCTTTTACGAAGGGGATGATGTAGCCATTCTGGGGTAATATAGGCACACATCTGTTTCTATGGTAATCACGTTCGGTTCATGCTATGGAAATGTCAACGGTCCTTCCGGTTGGCTCCGAGTCCCAGCAGTTACGTTGGTGGGCCTGGGAATGGTTCGGGGGACCTCAGCGAACTCCTTAACTGGCTCGGTGATTCTGTTAGGATCGGTTTCGATTACGGCCCCACTTGAGATCCGCTCATTCCGCAACGCCGGGTCAACCGTCACACAGACACTCTTCCGTCTCATAGCAACACCAAGTTGGTATGCTTGTAAGCACACAAGTTGGATTGAGGCCCGAGTCTAGTCCAAAGATATTCTCTCAAATTCCGTGCCGCTATTGCAATAATACATTCTTGCCGCTGTCTCAGTACTCACGACTCTTTACTCGCCTACCAGTCTACCACAAGTACTTGTATCGCTCCCACTAAGATGCCTTCAACTTGACCTCGGGCTCCTCCCCTTCCTTCTTCCCTCCGCTTCCACTCCTCTCAGCAATCTTCATCGCCACAAAATCCGTCACAGCTCCCCTCACCCCTTCATACGTCCACTTGCTAATCGCCTGCGTCGCCTCCATCACCGGTTCCTGATTCACGACGAAGACGATAGCACCAGCAACCGACAGCGCGCCTCTCCCCAGACTGCCAGCCACCTCTTGTCCGTTATCTTGGCTGATTTGCTTCATCCTGACGTACAAATACGGCAGCTTGGGCCAAAGAAAGAAAACCCATCCATCGATGAGGCAAAAGAGCCAAAGAAGGAACTTGTGGAGCAAGTTTTCCTTGTAGACACCGACACCGCCCTTGTGTCTTGTATCCGAAGGCTTGTTGTCTCGGGTTCCACTGCTACTACTACTACTACTACTACTACTACTACTACTACTACTACTACTATTACTACTACTACTCTCTTGAACAATCTTGCTCACCACTGCCGGTGGGATTGCATGCTGCAGCGTGGATATTTCGGCGTCGCGGAGGTCTGGGGGTAATCCGCTGAGTAGGTTCTGGAGACCGCTGATGTAGGTTGATCGCTCGAAGTTGGAACTGAAGGTGCTGTTGCCACTGCGGCGTGATTCCTCGGCGGCGTTGACGAGGAGGTTTGTGCCTGGAGATGTTGTCATGGTCAGAATTCAAGGACTCAGAAGACTAGACTAGCTTGCGAGCAAACTAGGCGGGAAAACGAGAGAGAATCGGCTGGGCCATGCTTATGCTTACCTTGCGCACCATATCGCCAATCGATACCTAGGGTCTTGGGTGCTGTTGTGAAAGGCACGAGTCCACGTCCTAGCGTGCTCAATGGAGAGGCCAAGTCAGGCATAAAGTATTCTGTTCCAGCTTCTGACATCTTGTGGGCGGCGATTATATCTTGTGATGGCGGTGCTGTCGGGATAGGTGTGGACGGAGCAGAGGCGGCCTTAGGCTGGCTAGGGGAAATTTCCGTGTCACTGGGTAGAGACATGTGGTGGTGAAATGATGATATCGAAAATATAGCGCGTAATAAGGAAGGCCGTCTACTTGAAGGCGTCGACAGGACTACCTTGGGACCGGATGCTGTTCCCTTATTCGGATTCATGGAGGCAGATTGATCCTGCATAGCCTTGATAATTCTTGTCTGTTCGAAATAGACTCGGATGGACCAAAGCCAGATTCTAGAATTTGAGTTTGGAAGGTGCAAGTTCCACGGTCTGGCTTGACCAAGAACATGTGCAAGGTGTTGACGCCAGATGCTGCGACTTCTGAGATATGTAGGGTTTGACCTCCCACATATGAAAGCTTAGGACAGTCTGCAGCGTCAAGATCCCTTCATGCAACCCTCAACTCAAAGCACAATGCCACATCTCGTGACACATCGGGCTCTCAGGCCTAGAAGTACGAGTGTTTCCATTGAAAATGGTAGAAATGCTCAAAACCAGACATCGCTTTCAAACGCAGAGGATGCTTCCGGTCTATCCGACCTGTATTCGACACGTTCAATCCAATGACGTCCAGTTCATCTCTGACACGAAAGTCTATACACGCCCTAACCCATAACATGTGCACGAGCTATAATTCCAAAACACCCCCTAACACCACAATCTCCCATCATTCATTCCGCTCTGGAGTCGCGTTGTCGGTCCTATACGCTGCCCGACCTCACCCCTCCAGGCTCAACGTCAAGCCGACGAGCCTTCAGTTGTTCCCAGCGGCAGCAGCCTTCTCTGCCGCAATCTTCGCCTCCATTTTCCTTCTCGCCTCAATAATCATCTGATCCCTCCTCTTCTGTAGCAACGACTGTCTCTCCTCGCGATTCGAGCTCCAGCCTCCTGTCTTAGGGGCACTGCTTGTGGCCGCTCCAGCATCCTCCGAGGGGACACTGGCGAGTTTGTCCTTCAAGTTGTATCTCGTAATCAGATCTGGGTGGGCCTTCTTTTCCGCCGGTTTGTTGTTGGTGGCAGTTGCGCTTTGCTGCGCGGCAGCAGTTGTCTCTGGCGAGGTGGGCGGGGGAGGGGGCTGGAACGTAATTGGAGGCTACGAGGTTGACACTTGGTGTTAGCGAAGGGGTTTCCTCAATTAAGCAAAACAACATCGCACTATGCAAAGTATGGAGAAAAACACCCGGAACATGGGTGAAGGAGGCAAAACTTACAGTCTCCGTTCTCCCCGCCAGGATCCTTTCCGTCGTAGCCTGCAAGTTCCCCCCATGGCGCTGGAGATCCCACAGAATAGTCCGTCTGTCTACCTGCGGAAACATCTGTTGTATCGTTTCGACCGCCGCTTCTCGTTCCCGCTCCCTCCGTCTTTGCAGTTCCTCCGGTGATAGGCCTCCTGTCCCGCCCGGCTGGCGATTTGCCGTAGACGCATTTCCGCTGAAGAAGAAGTAGCGTACTGCCAGACCCGTAATCAACAATACGATCACCAGAGAAGGGAGGTTGATCTCTTCCTCCGCCATTGTCTCCTTCGGATGTTTTCTGAGCCCTTTTCGTTTCGTAATCGTTCGGTTGCGCGAGGGGGGTTGGGCACGCTGAGTAACCGGTTCCTTCGAGCGGACAATCAAGGCCGGAAAGTCGTGGAACGTATTGAGAGATATATACAAATCGTGGTCTGGTATTTTTGTCTCGGTCAAGTTCCGTCTTGATTGTCGCTTGAGAATCTTTGCCGCAGGGTGCTTTGCTCCTAACGCCTGACGTATGATGCGTGTCGCAAGACGATGCCGATGACTAACGGGATTAAGGGAAGTAGCGCGTGCAAAGGGCAGTTGATGTCGACAATATTTTTGGAGCAGGGAGAGGGTTCTTATTCTCTGAACAGGTGGACGTTGTACATCGGGATGTAGTTGATGATTACGAGAGCCCAAGAAAGTTCAGCCGATGAAGTTGGAATCACGAAGAAGAGGTGGTGACTACGACCCAGAGTGATGAGGTAGCCACTGGCAGTGGAAGCAGTGACATCCATGGATTTGGGTACGTTGACAACCACAGTGGGGTCATGCCAAGCCACCAATGCAGCGTAACAATGAACAGATTGATTACAGTAGAAACCCCTATTAATGCAACTAATTCTAGCAGTCGGAATCTTTTGCAAAAGATGGGGGTTTGCAAAACAGAATCGAGCGCACAGACCATACAGGCTTCTGGCCATTAGAGAGCCGCCGCGGGGCCCAAAAATGGATTCTCCAAAGCAACCGTACCCCCCGGTAGAGGGGTATAAGTCTGTCTCTCCCAGCAAATTTGGCCCCTGTTAATGCAAAATCCGGGCCGTCAGCATTGCAATTGCAGTTTGCAATCCCGCCACCAGAGGAAATGCAGGCAGGCCAAAGTCTTTGCAAAAGGCGGGGGTTTGCAATAGATAGTCTTTGTATTAACAGGGGTTTCTACTGTTACACAAATTTCACGTGTGAACAGGAACTGGTAACAACAAAGAGGTTGCGTGTAATTACCATAACGATCAACGTTCTGTGACCTTGCCCAGAAACGCAGACATTCTATTCACCAATGATGGAGCTTGAAAATAACCTGAACAGCAAGCAAAAGTTGTTTCGACCATTTTATGCAGATATGTAATCATCTGTCCGGTACCGCTGGTATTCTTGGAACTGCGCTGATCGAAACCCATGGGATCTCTAACTCAACTCATCCGAGATGAGCCCCTTGGCTATAACCCATTCAACAGCGCTATGCCCTGGGCTGTATCGCGCAGGTTCTGATTATCTAATCACCTCCTAAGCCATGTGGTCCGCTCAAAGAGCTACTGTACCCGGTTTATCCTCGCTAGATATGTCCGCCCATGCGAAGAATACGTATTCTAGATGTGTCGAGCTAAACCCTTCCCTATAACCCAAAGCACGGAGGCACCTCGTACTCCGCGTTGACGAGTCCTAAAAGCTTAAGCTCCTATTGCTGGGATCGGGACGCCCAGATTGTTCTCCAAGTCGCAGTAATACAAGGTAAACTCCCGCTGGACAGATCATTAGCATACTCCGCGAATGGAGGCAAGACCAAGTCACTGGATGCTACTTACCCGCTCCTTGTGCCAGTTCACAGTGTCCCACACAATATAGTAACCCCGTTCATGAGCCGGGCTCAGCTGAGCCGTGTTGCCCATCTCGTCCTTGGTGAGCCAGACTTGAAGTTTCTTGTGCCATCTCCAGTTCCGCGTCGTTCTGAGTATATTTGTCAGCTCCATAACAATGGCCAAATGCAAGCTCATGGTAACCTTACAGCTCAGCTGCAGCCAGTTGCTGCTTGATATCTCCTGGGCAGCTGTAGAAAATCCACATCAAGGTCTCCTCGTTAAAGCTCTGAATCTTGGCCTCAATAGGTTGCACGTTCTTGACCATGTAGCAGTCAGGTATCTTGAACTTTGGCACAGCCGGCCTGGGAGGGATTTCGTCCAGTATAGAATAGATTTGGGTGGAATACAGCCTGAAGAAGGTCAGTTTGGTACGGAGGCTCGCGAAAAGTCCGGTTACACATACTCAGAAGAGTCCAACTGCAACCCTAAACTTGAAGGATCGATCCCGATGATGAGGGAGTTGTAGTCGGGGTAGGTATTCATCAAGGTACGCAAACCCTTCAAGCCAAACTTGTCGATAGCGGGCATGCCCTCCAGCGGATCTTGGACTTCACTGGCACGGCTCTTCTCCTCTTCCTTGCCCTTAGCAGACGGAGGATCATTTCCGATTGCGCCAAGCGGGTTCCTGCTACCAACTGCTTGCGAAGCGTCGCCCACCGAGGAGCGTGAAGCCATACCGTCTTCCCGATACACTGGCGGCTTTTGGCGTCCTTCTTCCTCGTTGACCGGGCTCCTCTGGTCCTGTGGGCGTCCAATGGCGGTTGGTGAGCGCCCGTCCGTGGTGCGCATGTTCCCTGTTAGTGCGTTCAACAAGCTGTTGTTTGTGCGATTGGGATGAATGGATGGAGTAGATCCGAACCCCAAGCCTGGCATTCCGCCTAATTCACCGTTTACACTCCTGTTCAACGGAGGGAAGTCGTCCGTAACGCTAGAGGGTGTTTGGGATGTTTGTCCCGAGTTCCCTTGGTTTCCAAATCTGAAAGCTCCTTGGGCCGATTGTTGTCGAGAGGAAAAGAAATCATCCTGTTGCCCTTGCTGCGAAAGCGGTGTAGAAGGACCGCGGTGAGCTGCTCCTCCGAGGTTACGAGCCCCCGTAGACCACATAGAAGCCTGGTTTGCTGTTGACAGCCCTGACGTGTTGGACAAGGTAGGAAACTCCCTGGGGAATGTTAGCACATAAGAATACGCCAGCTGCAGGGATGGCCTAGGAAGGGCGAAGTGTCAAGTCATAGGGGAGGGAAGTCGGAGCCGGCCTTTAGCCCAAGCCCTAACAGAATCTTCAAACGGTGAACATGAGGCGAATGAACTTACGACAGGTCCAACGGTGTCGCTGGTTGCGACCCGCTTAGACTTTGCGCAAAGCTGACGTTGCCGCCGCCCAACTGTCTGGCAGTTCCAGGAGGAACACCAGGGCTCCCGCCCATGGGCATGCCTGAGCCAAACGCCCAGCCAGAACCGCCGCTCACGGCCCCTATATCCAGACCAGTCGTCAGTCATAGCCCAATTGTACCCAAAGCCCATTATAGTCCTGACCTAGCTTTCCGTTCGGTAACCTATTCGCTACGCCACGTCCAGACTGTTGTGGTTGTTGTTGTTGCCCTCCAAATCCAGACATGCCGCGTAAAGATTGGGGAACCGCCCCTGTCATCCCGAGAGAATGTTAGCAGCTATCGACCAGTGGTGTCCACAAACTTGAAGACAACATGTAACATAAGGGGTGTATGTATGGGTAGGAAGACTGCGCCGCTGCCGCTGTAGGAGAGAGCGGAACCGAAAACGTCGAGAACAGCTTCGTGAGAAGCTGGTGAGTGGTGTCGTAACGGGTCGCAAAGATATATTTGACGTAATGGCCAGCCCTCAACACTCCTGCCATATATCATGGTCCGAGTTACGGATAGAACAAAGAAGCAAACATGTAGAAGGCAACGCCCACGGGCTCACGCCGACGCCTCGGTAGCGGCACCACCAGCTTGTCCACCAGCCTGTTCATGACCTCGACCCAACCCAATGTCCGGCACCTGCTTCGGGTAGGCGAGGTGTAGGCGGCGGCGGCGCATGATCACAGCGGCGGTCGGCGATTGCGGGTTTCGAGGAGACAGGGCAGCAGGGCAAACAGCGGGGTAGTCGGCGAAGAATGTTGGAATGAAGAGGGCGGGATTGCCACCGTACCTGGCCGATTCATGATATTCTGCGGTTGTTTGACCAGTCTCTCGGAGAGGTCGAGCGGAAGGGAGGGGAAAACGGATGTTGCTTTTCGGTGTTGCGGTTAGAAAGTTGCGCCGTCGAGTGGAAGGTGACGAATGGTTGAGGTGGTGTCGTCGTGCGCTGCGAGAATGAATAGATGTTTGCAGGTGAATGGTCGCGCTTTGGAAACTGAACGAGCGGGAGCTGCAGGCCAGGCGGACGGCACGCACTCGCTGCAGTGAGTGGTCACCGGGGTGTGGGGACGTTACAGTGTATCTTGGTACGTACCCATTGCCATGGTGTTACAGGTTGTTGGTGTAGGTTGCTTGTAATTTTTAACTTACCTGCGATCCCATATCCCCCGTCACTCTGCAAGGGCTTACACAAGCGGGGTCGTCCATCCAAAATGAAAGCGGTTTCTCAAAGGCTGGCAAGGGAATTTCAATTGATGACAACAAAATTTGCGGAATAAAAGCCCGATTTTCATAGGTTCAGATACTTTAAGAGATAAGCTCCGTGGATGGGAATTTGAGGACATGTGGTCCGTGCTTCAATGTCATCGCATGTCTCCCCCTTTTCTCGAAACATTCCCATAGATACCTATCCTGAGCGCCTCCCCACGGTAAGTATTCGGAGCAGAGTGCACTACATGGAAATCACAACAGACCAACCATACCAAGGCTTTTGCGTCCCTGGAAGATAACGTTTGAGGAAATATCCGTCTTTCTAATTTCCCACATCTCTTAAATTCTGTCTAGCGACTGCCTCTACTTAGTTGCTTTGCGCAAGACCAAGAGTTTGCTCAAGGCTTGCAGGGAAGTCGAAATCGACCAAGTGACGCCCGATCACCACGAGTTTTCCCATGATTTGACCCTCACTCTTGTCTGGGCTATCAAAAATCTCAAAAATCTCCCTTACTCCCTGTACCATCTTCTCGCTGCCATCCTCGAGCACTAACCGACCCTTCAATCGATGGATTTCGAAATCTGGCGTGCCAGTAGCGTGCTCATATCCAGGAAGAACACTCTCCCAGAGAACCCACCTCAGCCAAGCATCCAGCTTTTCTACTTGACCTGATGTCAGGGTCGGTAGCGGAATAGATAATGTGGATATTGTCTAGATTCACGTCAGTTGGTCTGATGAGCAGGACAGATACTACTCGTGGTTGCCGGTCACAAAGGAATGAGGGGAGACTCTTACCTTGTCGAGATGGCTGTGGCCCAGACTTGCCTTGTCCAGTTCCTCCACGCGGTCGTAAGCGTGCAGGTCGAGCAAGAAGCCTTCTAACTCCGGAACCACACTCTGCTTGGTGATGTGGATCTTGGCGAGCCCGTTGATGGACGTGATCCTGTCCTGAACAGCCTGCAGCTCGCCCCCGCTCACCAAGTCTGACTTGTTGATTACGATGACATCAGCGTGTGAAATCTGGACATGAGCGGTCGTCATGACTGGCCCGTGTCCGTGTTCATCACTCTCTTCATCTCCCTCAACCTTGCCAGTTGGATCATCCAAGCTTCGCAAGATGTTCTTGGCGTCCACCAATGTCACAATGCCGTCGAGATAAATTGTGCTTCCCAATCCATCATCCATCCAGAAGAGAGGGGCCAGGTTCCCCGGGTCAGCAAGTCCGGTTGTTTCGAGCAAGATGTAGTCGAACTTTCCCTTCTTCTCCATAAGGGACTCGATGGCGTTCACGCCGGTGTCTCTGAGACGATCATGATTTTGTCAGCTTAAGTATACTATAGCTGACGAGGGCAAGACGTCCAATCTATGAAAACTTACTTCACCGAACAGCAGATGCAGCCATTGCCAACTTCCATCCATTCTTCGACCGACTCCCCGTCCTTATTTACGGTGAGAGATTTTTCAATGTCCAAAGCTATGTCGAGCGTTAGCAGAATTGTGCTATGGGGTTGCAGCAAATGATTGACGAACAGTCTCCAAATTCTGTTTATCTAATCGTCAGCTAACCATTCCAAATCCGCCGAGAACAGGAGTGCCAGCCATACCGTTCATGATGACGGCAATTTTCTTTCCATGTTGGGCAGTCAAGATATAGTTCAAAAGGGTGGTCTTCCCCGCTCCAAGGTAGCCTGAGAATATATTAGCGGAAGTCGACCAACAATATGAGCCTGGGAAGGGAGAGCAAACCTGTTACTATGGTGATTGGAACCTTGACTGGCTTCTCCTCCTCCTCATTTGCGACCTCGGTAGTCTCGATGAGATCCGGCGGAGCATCATCGTCGTAGTCCATATTGAATCGAGGCTGTGCGAGGATTCTTGGTCGTGGATCACACAAACGTTAACGTGGAATGTTGTAGTGTGTAAATCACCTTACCCATTGGTTTCTTGTAGCCGCCAGTGGTACGTATTTATTTACCTTGGAAGAACAGATCGTTAGCCCCCGCCCTTCATTACATATACCGTAATTCAGATTACATCCATACTTACAAGGGTGTATGGTACCTTACACCCCAGATTGGGAGCTTGGGCATCTCCTTGATCTTAGCGCCAGGCACTAGGTAACTTCCCCGTATTCCCGCCTTCCACCGGCCTAAACTTGAACGTTACCCCCCTCCCCCATATCTCGGCTCCAGCTCAGCACAGGGGCAGCAGTTTCCCAAACCCCCATTGACGGCACCGTGGTCCCCAGATGTGGACAGTCAAGTGTCAACCTCCCAAGACCTCACCCAACTTCCTCCCGTCTTTACTTTATCTATTCCCCCGACATATCGATCCAGCAGAATCGACCACCATCCATACCGCTAGGGAATCGAGCGAACTTTACAGGCGGATACCACGAGCAAGGGAATACATTGCGACAGACACACAGCTGGGAGTCGCACGCGCTTGAGCTTGTCCAGCGGCCTCGTTTGTAGCTGTCCAGCTTCGCGTCTCAACCTACCCATTCTACCGAGCATCGCGCTCAGAGAGCGAAGAACCATCATGTCGCTTCCTCTAAGCTCTCCTCGGCTCCCAAGCCCGCCGCCGGCCCCCGAAATCCAGATTGGTCCCAAATCGCCAGCCATGGGCCCCATCGCCAACCGCCAGGCGCAACAATACGAGATGCCTACGATAGACCTGCTATCCCATCGTCGGATCCACCCAGGCACCAAGGCCGCCGATATGGCTGCCGGCCCTCCGCTGGTTCCTCTGCACCAGGTTCGTCCGGTATCCCCTCTAACTGTTCAAGAAGTTATTGAGCTGTTCAGAAATGAGGCTGACATGTTTTGTGTTGCGACGTGCAGCTCGACTCGGCCTTCCAACTCCAAGAGCATTTGGCAGCACTCCATTGGCATCATACGGCCGGTAACACAACTCCCATTACGAGGGAGACAGCCAAGATTCTTGCGACGCCCCCTGCTCATATCGACAAGACGGTCTGGCTGTATGAGCTTTGCCGCTTTTGATTACACAATGCAATAACCTCATTGTTGGGTTCTTGTTTGATGAGCCGCCCTGCAGCGCCGCCACCTGCCCGGAGATGCGTGCGAGCGAGTGGCAGTTCCTATGCGCCGTCCATGATGCACCGAAGAGCTGCTGCGCAATCGACTATTGCTGTCACACCCTTGATTGGGCGGCCAACACGGTGACCAATCCCAAGTACTTCCCCAGCCGCTTCTTTGTTGACACCCATGACAAAAACCTGGCTTTGAGGCACTTGGTCAATATCTTCCGCCGCCTGCACCGTATGTTTGCCCATGCCTGGTTTCAGCACCGCAGCGTTTTCTGGGCTGTCGAAGGCCAAACGGGTCTTTATATCTTTTTTCAAAACCGTTTGCGATCATTTCAAGACTCTCCAACACGAGAACTTCCAGCTTCCTCCTGAGGCTGAGGGATTGGAGAGCACAACTACTACATCAGGCGATGATGACGCTCCTCAAGTCGTGATAGAGAAGCCCAAGACACATCAACCTGGGGGGTCCGTTACTTTTGCGAAGCCCCCAGTGATAGCAAGCCGGGGAACACCGATTGGGGAACCGGCTGCTGATGATAGTCTCATGAGGACCAACACGAGGCGGCATATTAAGAGCAGCCCTTCTGTCGGCAGTGCCCTGACTACTGTTCCGGATGCGGAGGAGGAGGATGGCAGCAGCACAGCGAACACAAGAGGAAAATCAAAGGTCACGCACAGAAGGGTCCCAGAATTGGAGCCGGCTACGGAAGAAGAGATGGAAACGGACAATATTCCCGTTATTGTATACCATGGAGCCGCAGAGCCGCAGGCGCCCCATCAACCGACGGGTGAAGCTGAAACGACGGAACCCGAAGATTCGACATCCGCCGATACAGCGGCAGCTTCGCCTCCTGTCGAAGTGCAAAAACCGGAGACAGAAAAATTAGAGTCGGAAGAAGTCACAGAGGAGGCAACAACGAGCGCTCACGGACCTGTACAAGAAGGCGAACACGCATCTGAAGATCAGCCGACAGAGAAAAGCACCTCCGATGAGACCAATGAGGAGTCCGCAGAAGTCGATCATGATGAAGTAATACAGCCAGGCAACGAACAAGACAAAGGCTCGGAATCAACGGATGTCGCTGCGCACAATGAAGCCGCAACAAGTGCAATCCCAGCATTAGTGTCGGAGTCGGAAGATAGCGATGTTGATACGCCAGCATCCTCTTCTGGGTCTGCCAATGATGACCCCATTGGGGATGATCAGGAGTTGGACAAGAACCCCACGACAAATACTGTTCCCGATGCCGAGAGTGAGGAGAAGCCGGCAGGCGAGGAACCGACACTGGAATCCAACGACGATGGGTCTGGGGAGAAGCAAAATGACCATCATGACGAAACGAAAGAAAGTACTTCAGAGAGTGACTCGGCGCAGTCTGATACAAACACCGCCCAAGAGGAAGAGAAGGAAGAGGAAAAAGAGAAGGAAGAGGAAAAAGAGAAGGAAGCGGAAAAAGAGGAGGAAGAGAAGGGCGAAGGGAAGGGGGAAAAGGATGACAAAAAGGACAAAAAGTCGGATGAAGAGGCCACGGCTCCTGTCGCTGAGCAGGCCCCAAAGGTGGACTAGATAATCCGTCATTGGGAGCTGCCCATGTGAGAGATTTGCCGTTGTATTAAGCTACTGTTATTACATAGCGTAGAGGCATCATTAGGGGACGGCAAAAGCGAAGACGAATAAGGCGGATATGGGTAATTGAAGCGGCTGGGCTGGTCTCACGCACGGAGCTTCTTTTGGTGGTATAATTTGTGACTGAGAATACACGCTGTATTACGATTGCGAAAGAAGAAGCTGGTTCTGTTCTGCCCAGCATTGGTTTCTCATGCTTCAAGGGAAAATTACAAAGTGTCTTGATCTTGATCTGTAAATATGCATGTATGACCCACTCTCGGCTTACTTGTCCGTTAACGATTTTCCAGCAAAGCTCATAGACATGCTGTTATCGCTTCCATCTGTTCGTCTACAGAAAACAACCCATTTTCCGCCCCTTTTTCTATTATTTACGCCCCATATGCGGTCTACCCACGCCGATCTTTCGGCCGCCTATTCTCGGCAATGGCGAATCAAACTGATTCAACGTACAGTTGATAGTATTACACAAACAAAACAAAAAAACAAAACAAAAAAACAAAACAAAAAAGAAACGGAAAGAAAGAAGAAGAAGAAGAAGAAGCATGCATGATTTATGAGAAGAAGAAGAAGAAGAAGAACACGAAAAGGGAAGAAGAAGAAGAAGAAGAAAGAGAAAGAGAAAGAGAAAGAGAAGAGAAGAGAACAAAAGGGACGCCAAAAGTAAGTACGACTCAACCAGTCTCAAATACAAGAAACACCGACACAGCCTATCACTTAAAACTGAAACTCATACATAGCCACCGTTGTGGTTGTCTTCCCAGCCAGCAGCGTACGGAGAAAATGCATGACGAAGTTTGAAATAACAGGGCTGGAGAAAAGAGTAAGGGTAAGAGTAAGAGTACAGGGATTTATATATATATATATATATGCGAGAAGCAAAAAAGAAAGGAAGGAAAGTTGCGAACTAAAGTATGATCAAGTAAGAGATAGGTGTAAATGGAACATACTGCGGGGACAGGTAGGTTCAAGTGCAGAGAGAGAAAGAGGACTGAAAATTTCGTCGGCGTCGGGAAATTTTCTAGGCCCGTGTTTGTCGAAAGCTATCGTTTGTTGACTTATGTTCCCTCCTGGTTGGTGATGCTGTAGTGCCGTCCTTCTGCTCTGCCATGGTGATCCATGGAAACTCTTCCATTTCTCGGGTCTGGGTCAACCTTTCTTTTTGCTTGGGTAGTACTTATGGTAGTAGGTGAAGTAGCACCAAAACGTTGCAGAGCCGCACGCGTTGAGTGAGTGGTCGAGTGGTCGAATGGTGACTGGCGAGCCGGTCCGTCTTGTTTGGGACATTCTCATTCCGCCCCATACTGTAGCTGAAGGGAAGATGGAACGTTTCCTTATAACCCTATACCGTCGTTTTATACAAAAAAGATCGTCCCCAGCCGCACGGCACGGGACGAATGAGCCGCATCCAGTTATTCTTTCTTGCTGGTCAACTTCCGGTTTTGTTCTTCAATCACACGATGGATTTGTGGCTGCTATGGGGGATTTCAGCTTGTTGACATTGCTGCGTGGTTGATTTTGGAAAGCAGAGCTCCAAGCGAAAAGCACCGAGTGTGGAAATCCATTATGTTCCGTCCCTGATGGCAAAGTGGAGATCAAAACAGTCGCTGGGTTGTATTATTGATCACTTCACTGTCCTGTTGCTCTCTCTCTGTGTCTGGATTGGTATATCTGCTTGCTTTGTGGGCAATTGGCTCCAATTAGTGAATAAGCCGTCCCCTCCCTCCCCCAGGCAGAACGACAATTTGTCCGGTTGAGAGGTAAACATCATTCGTAGCCATATTATGCTTCGTATGAATCGGCCGTTAGGGACACCGAATCCATATTGTAAGCGGCTTTCTGTTTTTTTATTAGCACCCTGGCCTGTCCTGGCCCTTGTCCTAGTCCCGTTAATCCACGCTCTTCTCATTCCAAAAGCATAGTATTAACCCCACCGCTCAACTGTCCCTGGCCGTGGCTTGTTGTTCGTCGAATATCCATTCTGGAAAACACGGATCGTATCTGCCGCAGGTTCTCGCTCTGTGTCGACACAGCCGTGGCATTTCGCTCGTCCGCAAAGGCCCGGATGCTCTGCAGCATGGGCGTAAACCCTTCGTCGTTCGGTAACCACCAGCGGAGACAGCTCCCGTCGCGGAAGAGCTCTGCCATTCTTAGTCGCATTGTTCTGGGTGAGATATACCTGTTTGAAAGAGTCATTTGGTCAGCAACCTGTAAAGAGCGGGGAGTTGAAGTTTATATTCTTAATGGCCTTGTGATTCAACACGTTGGCTCAACACCTTCTCGTTGGTAAAGGGAGGGGGCGAAAATGTTCGTACTCACCCCATTCTTTCAAGCAATGCGAACTTCTTCCTGATCCAGAATCGGTAGGCCTCCTCCTGGTGGATAAATAAAGCCGCAATACCGAGACATGGTTGCATGATTATCAGGCTTCCCGCGGGGCTAAGCGGCCATGTCTCGACTGCCTCGATAATTTCGCATACCACATATGCGTGCTTTCTCAACTTCTCCATCGTCTCACTTGAGGGCTCTGTTGCGCCCTGGCTTCCGTGCATCAATGCGATCGAGTTCCATTCGCAAGTCAAGATCGTCGAGGCAAAAAATGGAGGCCGGAAAAGTAAGCCAGGCGTGAGCGGCTGAAAGACGCGATCTGTCCCTGTGGTCCCGTCCATCGGCAAATCCGTAACGAGGAACTCGGGATTTTCCAAGGCAGGATCCCAGCTGCTCTTCCACTCGTGAAGGGCGTTGTATAATCGGCAGTGCTCGGCAGTATACTCCTCTTCCGTCACTTTCTGCCTGGCACCTCTTCCAAACAAGAGTGACATCTCCATGGATATCATGCGTAGTCGTCCTGAGCACCCCTCGATTTTGTAGGAAAGTTCGGTGGGGTTTTCTGCCGCTCGAGTTTCGTAGTAATCGACATATGCTGTGAACCATTCCTGAGGAAGCATAGTTTCGGAGCTGCCCATTATGCCGGTAAACACGTCGAACCGTGTATACCACGTTAGGATCATGCGCCCTACGGGGTTCTGCATGATCGTTTGTGGCGTGTACAGTTCAGTCAGCACTTCTAGGGCAGCCTTCTGATGACCCATGAGGTTGACCCAATCGCCAAGATATTCCTTGCGTTGTCGTCAGTGCCTATCCACATTCGTTGGGAAGGAGGAGGGCTGTTATACTTACTTCGATGGTGGCAAGTTGCAAGATGGTTAACAGAGTCAGGTCCGTATGGCGTTCTTTCCTTTTCAAGAACCCCAGCAGTAAAGTAACACTGCGATTATAGAAATGCAAGAAGTCCTTGATCTCTCCTATCGGATTTTGCAAGGTATGATGGTAGGCGGCAAACCCCACCACGGCATAGAGCAGGCCCTCGTCCTGAAATACCAATCCAGTCAATATCTCCTGGAAAAATTTATCAGAATCATTCACGACCGAGTAGTGATAGTGCGTGATATTGTCCCGGTAGTAGTTGAGATAGAAATGGACGTCCCCGTCTGGCCCCTTCCCAGAGTCTATAGGTCCATGGTTGAAACTTAAAGATGTTGCCGATGCGCTGGACGGTAGAGGAATGGTCGGTATCGAGGATTGCATTGCTGCGCTTTCGGTTTCTTCTTCATCCTCATCCATGATCGGCGTTAGAAATCCATCTTGTCCATTTTCGTCGTCATCATCATCGCCACGTGAAGACGTAGGGCTCTCTTGCTGACTGTGGGCTGATGAATCTTTCACGGATCCCTTCGGTGGTGTCGGTTCGGGGTAGACACATTCTCGGTTTCCCTTTCTGCATCCTAATGTAAGGTCAGCGCGTTGATTTACGGCGGCTAGGATAGCTGGTTGGCGCACTCTCGCAGACTGGATGAGTTTCATCACACTAAAGCCTGTTAGCACTGCCATCGTCCGCTCGTTGTCAGGATATAATACCTTGACTCGCCTGCTCCTGCATGTATAGCAGCCTGACCTTGTGCGTCGATGTTTGATGTGATCCAATCCGGGCGCAGACTTGCGACGGCTTCTTTGAGCCTTGGGAGCGCTGAACATAATAGGCTCCGCATATCCGTTGAAATATCCACCGAGGTTTGGGTAAGCGGGAGACATTGGTGTCGTTCCTAAGCCTAACACCGGGGCTTGTGGTACAGGTATAGAAGCCCCATGTTGATTCGGAGGAGGATTTCCTCCACCACCTGACATCGAGGTTAGAAAGTGGTGATAATAGTCACTCATGGTGATAACTCGGAAGCTTGTTGAGGGCGTGCTATAATTGCTTGTCGCTGTTAGTCCGTACACGAAAAACCTGTCCAAATCCTAGGTTCCGTGTCTAGTCCGTGGTGTTTCTTTCGGACCACATTGAACTTCTCGTACTGAAGAACTGCCTTCCAAAGAATGCTCTAGCATGCACTGCGTATGGTAAGCAGGTAAGGATTGTGTAGATGGGCGAGCTGTAGGTAGTTGATCGTGGGTGAAGGGTTTCGCCAGGGGATTGTTGATAAGGACGACTTAAGGCTTGAGAGGAATCCATCCAGTAAGGGTAGGGTGAATATGATCCGATGTGCGGGACAACTGAATTAGAGGAGAAAGTTCATGTAGTGGTTGATCTGATGTATCTGGAGATGCCACGGACCAGCCTTGTTGTAGGACCCCGGAGATTAGAAGCTTTGTGATCCGCGTGGATCGGGGGTACACTTTGGACTAATGTTGAGGGGCCCAGAAACCCTTGCGAGACGTGTATGACAGGTGGCCGGCGTCCTCATAGGGTTCAGGGAGTGTATCCTTGATCAAAGGAAGACAGATCCGCCAAGCTGGGAGGAATCTTCTCGGGCACAGCTGGTTACAAGATAGTTAGACAGCTTGCCAGTGGCAAGAATTTTCTCCCACAAGGTAGGAAGCGGAGGGGCCGTGCATGAGAAGTCGATAAGTATGATTGTTGGCGGGGATGTAGCGGCTCTCAGGGCCCTCCCGGTGGTATGGTATTCAAGGAAGGTGCTACTAGCTTGAGGGGTGTCGATTTCCGGGTGGAAGTGTGATCGTCCGATGAACCACTGGTAAGAGGGCGGGTATGCGGGTGAGTTCCCACCAAGTGATCGTTGGTGGAATAAGGAGTTGAAGATATCCCTGTAGCTCTAAGTACCGGTTGCGTGTGGGCAAGCAGAAGGGGACATGGACCAGGAGGTATACGTCTTGCCCTTGTTTGATATAGGAATCAGATGAAGTAAGTAGCTCGGCACCGCGGTGACATGGACATACACCCAACTAGAGACAATCACCTGTGTATTGGTCGACGAGGAAGTCTAAGGGGGTGAACTGAGTGACGGTAAAGGTTGCTGGGCTGCTCGACCGGGGGCGGGAGAGACCGATTATACCCCCAGATGTCGATATGTCCGGAATTATGACGGTATTCACAAGAAGTTGAATTCGGAGCAAGCTACCAGAGAGACGAAAGGAGAAATTTAGGTGGCATTCCCGAGAAAGCGACGAGTGTTTACCGACCAGTGAAAGGTCCGTGGGAAGAGGAGAGGTAAAAGCGTCAGTAGCCTCACATGTACTCGATCCCTTGGTGCTGCTAGTCAATCAGTCGATGGCAGCCGGTGGAGAAATTCCAATGGCCAGGATAAACTACCTGTGATCAGCAAGGGTCCCGAGCAGATACAAGGGGCTATGAGGTGTACGGGGGGGGGGGGGGGGGGGGGCGGCGTTGCCTTTTTTTTCTTTCTTTTTTTAATAGCCCCGGTTTAGTCACATTCACGCAAATCTCAGTCGAAAGGGTTTCCTACATGAATATCGTCGGGCAGAAGAGTCGAATATCATTCCCGTTGGATGCTGGGTATCTCTATGGAAGTTTGGCAGCAACATCAAGCGAAGAAAGCCGCAGAAATCTACACCAAAGACCGAGGCAGGTAGATGTCGGGCATCCAAGTGCCTGCCAGGAAATCCATCGTATCTCAACCGCAAAAGCCGAGCTACCCCCATTTCTAGGGAGCTGAGATTTGTTCATGCAGCATGGATGAAGCTTCGTAGTTCACTTCTCACAGTAGAGATACTTCCGCTCCGGGCTAGACTCGCTGGTTCCGAGGTAAGTGTAGCGTTCTCTGACCCTTGCTCTTTTTTTCTTTCACTCCTTGTTTCCTTTTCACACTGGCTCCTGTATCCGTCGGCCATATGGTTGTTAAACTCGGAGCAGGGTTGAGGGCTTAAGCTGTAGTCTATAGGCCACCGGAGTTTCCCGTAGAAAGGAACTGAAGCGGAGAGTAACGAATGATGAGTGACCCATAACCGCACCAAGGCCCGAGAGTCTTGAGGGTGTCTTTGACAGCTGAGATGTGGATTTTCCTCTGCCCCCCCTCACGGTCCACGGATATGGGTGCTTCGACAGGACCAGTTGAACCCACGTCGGCGCGGTGGGGAGCAAACAGGGTTGGGTAGCAAAGTGTCAGTCATCCCATTGCCAGTGCCAGTCCGCCAAAGTAGGCACACAACAGTGCGTGCTACTGCAAGGTGTACCACAGTAGATAGCTCTGGGAGCCCAGCTAGATAGGACAAGGATCTGCCAAAGTGTGAGGATAGCCCAGGCGGGAAGGATTGCAGTGCGGCTGGGCGGTGTCAAAAGTCAACCATATCTGTACAGTACCGAGGACCTGGCTCTCACCACCTTGTCGAACCTGCCAAGCACCGAGGACTCGAGAAGCCTCGAATCCCGTCAAGATGCGAGGTCATGACTGCTTGGCTCCAGCTGTGTTTTCGTAGCTGGAGGACGAGAGCTTAACGGCGAGACAGTGGACCAAACGGGACTGGTGCATTTTGGAGAGGTCTTCGGGACAGCCGTCTAGCCGTCTGCCAGGACGACGACCCCGAGCAGCACGCGGTGTGCTTTTGCGTGGATAAGACAATGGTACAACCACACAGCAAAGCCAGAAAGCGAGAGTTTGGCGAAGAGCCAATGGGAGGTTGCTTGATTCCCTTGCCATGGTGCTCCACTACCACTGAACACAGCGCCATGGCGGTGGGTCCTTAACTGTGACGCACATTGAATCTCTCTGACCAGGGGTCAACATCGGAGACGCTTATGATGGGTCATGGGCCTGAGAAAGTGAGAACTGACTCCTGTCACCTTGTTAGTTCGTCCCATATCAACACGCCCTTCCGAGTTCTGACACGGATATGGCCTTTCCATGCAGCCCCTGCACAACTGCCCAGCCCGCGGAAGACGTACCGTTTAGATTCGGCCATTTGAGGGTTTGGAAGATACCGTCATTAATGTGTCATTCATGTCTTGAGGGTATTGTGTCGCTTGACTGGGCTGAAAATACCCCGTTCACAGTCCACCGGCACAATTGGGGGTCGGCACTCGGCGGGCGTCAAGATCGAGCTCGACGTGAGTCAGTGTTGTTGAGACGGGAGATGGTGGTCTTTGTCGTCGTTGATTCTCGAGGGCGGGCAGCTTGCATGACAGGAGTCAGTGGTTGGAATTGGGTCAATCCGCGAGTCTCAAAGTGGATCACGTCTGATGGACAACGAAACCGGGACTGTCACTGCCCACTGGCGTGGAATGATGGAGCGTCCTCCGGAGCGGCTGCCGCTGGTGCAGTGTGGCACAGCGATCTGGAACCTGTACGGTGTGGGGTTATGGTGCCATGCTCTCCCACAGGCTCGTAATTTTACCTTGCGATCCACTCCAATATTTTTGCCTGCCCCACCATGTACCTATGCCCAGCCGTCGCCGCGGGCACGACACATTATCTTGTATTGGTAGAACGTAGTCGCAAAATACATTCTTCTTCTTCTTCCACTCCAATACTCACCTTATCTCCACCACCTTAGCCCGGCTTGGGATGGCGTTTCTCTTGGACAACTCTTGGCTCTTTCCGCTTGCCAGCAACACGTCCGTGGGTACGGGGTGCCGATCACGGCGCAGCCCGCGACAATGGAGGTTTGACAAGTCCCGTCTTGGTTTGTAAGTTGGCTTTCCACGGGCCGCGCAAAGGGGCATTCCAACTGAAAGGGTCCAGGGGCTGAACCGCGAACGAGATGGGTAATGGGTGGCTCAGCTTGATCTCCTTCAAGAGGATCATGGACTTCCATGGTGTTCCCATCGCACCTGCCTCATACCCCGAGTTGAAGTGGGTTGTGTGAGAAGAAGGTACAGATGTGTTTGGCTGGCATTGGCGGGGAGAGAGCTATTTCGCACTTGCCCCAAGCCCAACCCCTTTAACCTTGCTTCTTTTTGGACGGCGTGTCTCGAGACAAGACCACGATTACGCAACTACTGAACCAGCAATTCGGTGAATTCCACCAGCGCGAATTGCAAATTCCGTCTCCAACCATGGATATCCCCGCGGAAACCGAACTGGGCAATGTGCTGCACATCGATAGTGTCTGCCGTCGGTGTTGTGACCAAAGAGGCTGGTGGTTTTTGGTTCGGAGGTATAGCACCCAGTTGCTAAGGCATGGAGCAACGTCTATTGTACCTACCTACCTCTACAGAGGTATTCAAGGCGAGCGAAGCAGCACACCAGTACCGTCGTCACGTCCGCGGCTCGCTTTATCCTGTTTACCCATGCCAATCAAGAACATCCCCTCTGGACTTGTTGCTTGGGTCCCGGCAAGCCCAGGTCCTGTCAGAGAGGAGAGTCGGCGGGAGTTGCGCAGAGAGACCTAGAGGTAGGTTACCTTGGAGCTGGCTACAGGTAAGGACAAGAAAGCATTCGCTAAGGCCTGCAGATGATAGGATGTCAAGTGGTACGGAATGGCCGTTTGGTTATCATGAACCAGCAGCCAGGTGCAGACCAGAGTCTTGGGATTGCTCAATCCAGTTAGTCGTCCCCTATTACCAAAACATTCAAAGAGGGGTTCAGTCAATGAGCAGTGTCTTTATCAGCGCCTCCGGGGCCATCTCGATGGCAGTCCATATGCAGCATCATCCATACCACGGCCTACCCTCGCGTGCCTCGGTGTTCTAGCTCAATTCGAGAGCACAACGCGGGTGAGAGCCTGCAATGGATCAGGATGTTCTCCAAGGCTTCTAGAAGTCCAACCATCCAATCGAGTCTGGCTGGTGATGGAAATGAGCATCTCTTTTTCGGGTCGAGCCAAGTTTATGCAAGATGGCCACGACCTTGCTATGCCATGTGGTCGGTATGGTGTGGTACGTACAAGTGTCTTGACGGCCCGCTCGAAGAGTGTATGTTCTACGCTCGTTGCCAGTGGCCGTGTGTCCAGGGGAAGCTTCAGGGGTCCAACGTCCATTGCCAGGGGTGTCTGCAGGGGCGACGAGTCCATACAAGGGGAAATTCCAAGTCAACAAGCATCTGATGCCGGCACAATCACATTGACAGACAACTTCAAGATACACAGAATGCACGCCGGCTGGACTTGTATTAACATCTGACTGGGGAACGGAATTTGTTCCGTCATAGGGTAACCTCATGGAAAGCCATAAAAGATCGGAAATTTTCTACCCGCAAGGAAATACAAATACGAGCACTGCCTGGCTTCAGGTAATGCAAATCAAGCCTTCTCCTACAAGGCAGTACATCCTCGTCCGGCTCACTGTCGAGATTTCTTAGAGTTGCATTGTTGCTCCTTCCCATAAATTGCATCATTTACCAGAAAGATCGTTCTGTCGTGCTTTGGAAGGATCAGCCTGACATTCAACTTGGAGATTACCACACGAGGGCAGCTCTTTTCGATAGGGTTACTAATAAGTGGAAGAAGAAATCGGCTCTGCCCAATGGTGTCGGGCACAGTTACCACATGAGGCCACCAGCAAACCCGGCATCTTGGATACCAAAAGATGAGCATGCATGGGGCTGGAGTCACCACCTCCGGGCATTGCCCTGCGCCATCGAAGAGTCTGACAATCAGCACGACAAGGGTCCTGGCATTCGGATGCCGTACGGACCTTACCTGAAGCCAAGAAAACGGAACAAAAAATATGAAGCCAAGGAACAATGACTTCGGCGCAAGATCCCGTGTGTTCCTGTCGAGCATCGAGCCGCAAATTTTCTTCGGTGAGGTCACCTTTGTACACTACTTTCTTTTCTGTATGCATCATATTTGAATCCAAAGATTTTATCGTCAAAATTCCATTTGCTTCTCGTTATGTCCTCGGCCGTCTTTTCCCTTTTACTCATCCTGCTGGGCAGTTGCTTTCATCTCGCCTGCCACATACCGGACAGCCACCCGCAAATCAAAGTTGACGAACAACCACTTGTACCAAACTTACCAGCATTTGCGCCTTATTCATCATTTAAAACACTCACCACGGAGGCTCTTTCAGAGAGCTGTTACCACTCGCCTTTTGTCATGGCGCTTCTAATGACCGACAGACAGCTACCCTATTCTGTCACCTGCCCCGTGTTAAACGGCTATGACTTGATATTAATTCCGCTAATCTCTCCACAGACTCCTAATATCACTACAACGTAAGACCGGCTTCCTACGTAACTACTATTCCAGGCCCTATGATATGACATACTAAACCATAACATGTCGGTGATATTGACGGCATCAGGGTAGTATCCTGCGCAGCCTCATCACATGTTAAAGCTGGTTCTATCATATCTCACTCCGTCGGCAAATTTGGGTTTTCTCGTCGCTGAAACTTCTGAGCTTTTTGTTACATGACAGCACCGAGCGTGAGCTGACATCTGGATCAGCCCTGCAATGAGGACCTGGTCAACGGCTATCACGAAGAACAAACACCCATTGTGATGTATTTCAAACGCTTATTGTCAGAGTCGCCTGCAAGTTGTGTATTCCGACGAAGTCTCCCCATTGGAAGTTCAAGAGCATGTACTTGCCTACAACTTCATACCCGTGATGACCGCAGATGAAGGCGTGAAATAAGAATCTTCCCTTCGGGATCGATGTCAGCTTGAGAATGAAGATTGCTGGGAACGTCGGCGGGATACTACATCGAACGGTATTGGCACCATCACTTTACCGGAGCGTTGAGTGGGTGTTCACCCTGCAGGAACACAATGATTCTCCTCGCCAAAAGAACAACGCAGTATGAACAGCTGGGGTGGGCGGTTGTGAGTCAAGAAGCGCACCATCCGTCCAAGAAAATAATTATGGCTTGCCTTATCAGCAAAATACCATCACCTTCCGTGTTCAGCACCGAAGGAGATTGGAGCCGTTTGGGCGCGTCAGCTCAATATAACGGGGTTCCATTACTACGCAAGCTTATACGATCGAAAGGGACGACAGCATGGCTCGACAATCCCGGATCACAGGGATCACAGAAGCCTGCAAGATGTAATACTACGCAGACAGGGCAAAATAACGGTCAACTTCCACATTGGCTCCAGCCTGCATAGTTCTGAGTCGACATCATTGCTCTGTCGGTGTCTGTCAAGCGCTCTGCGTGCAGAGTGCCGGGTGACAGCCGCGTTTTCCCTGCTAGTTCCGGTCGGTGCGTTTGCGCCGGTCACGGACTTAAGTCGATTTCCCCTGTCAAGAGGCTATAAACATGCAATTAAAATCATATAGGAGTATACAAGCATGGTCATTTGGGTCAAGGATTGGGTAGCCCGACCAAGCTTTGTACCCTCTAATCCAGTCCTATGTCACATTACATTGTCAGCACCTAATCAACACGCGCCTGGGGTGTATCGTTTGTTCTTTTCTCCTCTCTGACAATATTTGAACTGGGTTTCGTATCTTTGACGACATCTATGTAGAGGTACTAATCAATATCTGGGTTGCACTGGTACCTGAATAATGCAGTGGCCGAAATAATGCACCAACCCTGGCCGCAGGACGTTCACGTCGCCTCCCGCCTGCATGGCACCTGTCGATGCGTTCTGGCGGTCCGTCCGTCCACGATGGCACTTGCACCCTGAGAGTGAATGGAAGCTCCTTCCCAAAACAACCTCCTTGATTCTATCCAAGAAGGTCCATTCGTACCTCTAGTCTAGCCACGGCATCTCCTTCCGCGAATTGCACTGGCAGTCCATGTCCTCGACTTTTCGCAATCTCTCAACATTGGAAAGTCTGACCCTCCTCTAGCGAACCAAGAAGGAGTGACCGAGCGAACTCCTTCCTCGCTTGGTACGGACCTAACAGCGATCACCCTTCCTCCGCTTGCCTTCCAATTGTTTGCCGATACAACCTCATCCATGGTGGCGGTCAAGACTCACTCATTGCGGCCCATCCTGTTGCTACCTTGAATCGGCATTGTTGACCGACTCTCAAAGCTCGAAAATATTCTGTCTCACACCATTAGCCGTTGACAGCTGCGACAGAAGACCTCACTACTCCCACACATCTTCCACGTCGACATGGGATACGAAGCTGACCCGCCGCGGCCCGGTCCGGTCGTTAGTCCCGGCAGCATATTCCTGATCGTTGTCACCATCATTGTCTTTTTACTGCCCATCTTCATCTACTTCCCTCCAACCCTGCCTTCAGTAACGGAGGCACTCCTCCAAACACACAGCAAGATAGGGCTGGATGAGTACCAACGCCGACTACCCAGGCACTCAAAAAGAGACAGCAAAGCCAGCACAAATGGTCCTGGCAAAATTCGGAGTTTATGGATCTTCCCAGTGAAGTCCTGCAAGGGCATTGAGGTACTTGAGAGCAAAGTTGTACCTGCCGGTCTCGAATACGATCGCATCTACACTTTTGCTCAGCTCAAGAGTCCGTTCCCGGTAGGGCTTGACACCCCGGACGAGGGAAAGAAGGAGCATTCATGGGAATTCATCTCGCAGAGACAGTTCCCCCGTCTTGCGACCATTCATGTGGATCTTTATGTCCCTGACATCTGCAAGGCCCGTAGCGGAGGCCACCAAGTATTGTCCCTGGACAACACCAACAAGTCTAGCTCGGCCAATGCTGCTTTGGGGGACTCCTTCATCGTTGTTCGTTTTCCCTGGCAGGAGCTAGGACTGCGCGGCACTCTGGCATGGCTGGGCGCAAAACTTTCGCGGGGGCTTCACGCCGTACCCGAAAAGGAAATCATTCTCCCCGTCTCATTTCCTTCTGAGAGTGAGATCGAGGCCAGGAAGTACAAATGGGAGCCGGTAAAGATCTGGCGGGATACGGTCACCGCGCTCAACATGGAGGCGGACCTACCTCGGGAGCTGAGGCTGTACTTGGGAGTGAGCAACCGGCTCGGCTTATTTCGCGTCGACCCGGCCCGATTGCGGGAGGTGTACCGGAATGCGCCCAAGAAGGAAGAGGCCGGCTATCAGCCCGTTACAGGCTGGCAGGATGCGGTGCGTTTTCGTCCATTTTCCTCTTCGTAGCCCAAAGACACGCGGAAACCCAAAACTAACCATATGTGAATAGTACCCCGTGCATATGCTCAACCTTTCGAGTGTCCAGGATTTTGACGCCAAAATTGACAAGGATGACAACCTCAAATCACTCGACCCGTTGAGGTTTCGAGCCAACATTATAGGTAAGTCAGTCTGGACGCTACAGCTCCGGGCATTGGCCGAGCAAAGTTTTCAAAGATCCTGGGACATCTTGCCTCCCCCCGGAAGCCATAAAGCGCATGGCGAGTAGAGCCATCAAGATTCATTCATGGAGGGTAGAAGGCACGTTGGTTGGGGGAACTTTCTCCAAGCAATTAATTCTCTCCCGGTGCAACATTCCCTATGAAGAAGGCCTGCATTATTCTCCAAGGATAAGGCCCGATTGCGCAGCGCTAATAAAGCACATATATACACACACACACATACTAACCTAACCACATCACACACACAGTTGACGGCGTCAAAGCCTATGAAGAAGAAACCTGGAAGACAATCCGCTTCAATCCCGGCCAATCTAACAAACGACAAGACAAGACCAACTTTCATGTATCATGCCGGACCGTACGGTAAGTTTTATATGCCACGCTTCCTCGCGCGCCTACCTCTATTACCTGGAGACCATCTCCCTCCAGGTTGACCAGGTTATACCCAAAGGAACATTCCCGACTAACCCCAACAGCTGCAAAATGCCCAACGTGGATCAAGACACAGGTTTCCGTCACCCTTCCGAGCCAGACCGATCTCTTCGAAAGTACAGAGACGTAGATCCGGGGATCAAGGGCGTTGGCTGCCTCGGCATGCAGCTCACCCCCTTGTTCAATGACCCTACTGCCGAACATGCAGGTAGTCCCAATGCCGATGATATAGTGATGGATAACTGGGTCGAAGTCGGTATGGATGTCGAGGTGCTCAGCCGAGGACCTCATCGGTACGCCAGGATGTTTGAGACTGATAGGCCGGATATCTGAGTCTATAACCATCACGGCAGCATCGAGTTCAGGCAGGTAAGCAAAAAGGAAAGAAGAAAAGGTGGGATAGAGTCATCAAAAGTCTTCATTTAGAATGGGTTGTTGTGCATTACCGGGTAGACTTAGACCTTTGTCGGACCTAAAGGCGTGGCTAGTCTGGAAAGCGACTGAACTTGACATCTTCATGGTTGAATCGCATGTACGGAAATGATAAGACTGAGAGAGATGAATGGGATTACTGAGAACAGCAAAGGGGATAAGACATTCACACTCCAACAATAAGCAAAGAAGCGAAGCTTGGATGTGTCAGTCACCCAACCACGCGCGCCAGAAAGCCCTGATCCAAAGTCAGAGACATCACCCTTCATTGACTCAGACTCCCGTTCATCCATTCTCCCTGGATGTTTCCAACCTCCATAGATTCAAAACAAAACAAAATATTGTTCAAGTTCATTTTCTGTATCGAGCCAAAACCGATCACGCCCAAGTAGGCTAACAGAAAACCACCCTACTTTTCCCACACTCCCTCGTTTTAGGAAAACCATCATACGTACTAATAAATCCATCCATCGTACAAACTTGTGTTTGCATAAACCATAAACCATGAAGCCCAACACATACTACAGACTCTTCGTTCCCAGAAAATTCGTCACTTCAGATCCGCCGGCGTGAGCGCCTGCACCATACTCGTTCCCTCGCTGAACCTCGTCCGGAAGATGCGGTTGGCGTTCTGGAACATGCCGTCCTTGAGACTGACGACGATGAACTGCGAACCCTTAAACCGGGTCTTGATCAGCCGACCAATGTTCTGCGTGTGAGAGAGATCGAGCGCCGCGTCGACTTCGTCGAGAATGTACATGGGGGCTGGCTTGAACTGGAGCAGGGCCATGATGAGGGAGAGGGCGATTAGGGATCTGCAGGATAAAGTTAGTGGAGGTTCTAAAAATGAATACATAGGTTGAACTGAGAAAGGGGGAGAGGGGCAAAGGGGGATGGAAGATAGCGTGCGTACCTTTGACCACCACTCAACTCGGTAAGACTCTGTTTCCACACTTTACCAAGCTGCACCTTGACTTCCAACCCTTCACTGATAGTCTTGCCCTCGGGGGGATCCAGCTTGGCGAAACTGCCGGGAAGCAGCTCGGCAAAGATCTGACCGAAGTCGGCATTGACCTTCTCCCACGTCTCCTGCAGCGCCTTCTTCTTGTAGTCATCCAAGCTGAAAATGGTCTCCTCGATTTTGCGCTTGTCGCGGATGACGGTGCGCATCATGTGCTTGAGCGACACCTCCTTCTTCTCGACGCTGTCGATCATGTTCATTACCTTGGGATTGATCTTCTTGCGCAGGCCCTGGCTGCGCTCCGTCAGGTTCCGCAGCGTAGACTTGCACTCGCCAATGTTCTGGCCTTTGAAGTCGTAGAGGGTGCCCGGTCGGCCAAACTGGTCCTTGGTCTCGGCAATCCAATCGTGCTCGCGCTCCATGTGCGAGGCTGTCTGGGCAGCTTGCTGCTGCTCCTTATGGAATTTCTCGATTTGGTGGCCGAGCTTCTGGAGCTCGAGTCCCTCTTCGGCGATTCGGGCATTCTTCGACCGGGTAGCTTCTTCCAAAGCCCGAAGCTCGTCGTCGTACACATGCAGCTTGGTCCGCTCGTCTTCTAGCTGTGCTAGGACAGAGTCATGTGTCTCTTGTAGGACTGTTCCTTGCTTCACGATGTCGTCGATCTCTTCCTGTTGGGCTTTAAGAGCAACATCGATGTCTTGAACCTGCTCCCGCGCAGCCGCGAGATCGGCAGCAACCTGTTCCGAGTCAAGTTGCGCCTCTTGAAGCTCTTTTTGCAATGCCTTGTTAGTAACAGACATTTTGTCCAGCGAGGCACGTAGCTTGTCGACCGAAGCTTGAAGCTCCACTAGCTTGGCGTCTTTGTTGTTATCAAAGTCCTTCATGTCCTTCTCGATTCTTTTGGCTTCCGCTGTAGCCTCCACTTGTCGTTGCTTGGCCTCCACGATCGACTGTTTGAGTTGGACTATTGTTTCCTTCATATTCGCAATCTCTTGGATGATCGATGATGACGAGTTGCCGCCGATTTGCTCCTCCGCTAGTTTGATCTCATGTGTCTTAAGGTCAAGTTCTTGCTTGATTCTCTTTGCTTGGTCGAGCTTCGTCTTTTCCCGGTATATTTGGGCGCGCAACTCATTGAGGGCCGCCTCGGCCTCCTTCAGCTGCCGGTTGATTTCGTTGAGCTTCTGCAAAGTAACCAGAACACCGCTCGAGTTGGGGGCACTTCCACCCGACAGTGTACCTGATGGATCATATGAATCACCCTCGACTGTGATACTCCTCATACGAACGTTAGGATCGAACGTCACCCTCTTGGCTGTGTCTGCATCGGCGCAGATAAGCGTGTTTCCGAAGACGTACTCCATTGCCGCCGACACTTCTTCATCGTACCCGACTAGGGACAAAGCTAGGTGCACCTTCCCTGGAGCAATTCTTTGCGCGTTGGCAATCGTTTGTGCCGAGGCCTTGAAAGCGGAGATCTTGTTTAAAGGAATGATCGTTACCCTCTTCCGCAGTCTACCACCCTGCAATAGTTGCGTACCAGTCACTTCGGTGTCCACAACGACGTTGTAAAGACGGCCTCCAGCGCAAATCTCCAGGGCGGTTCCAGCTTCCATATACTCCTTAGGCAACGAGAAGAGTTGTGCAACCAGTCCTTTTACTTTTGATCGGTCAAAGTTTGGGACTGGATCTTGGTAGTTGAAGTCGATATTTGCCACCTTGCGTTTAAGCGCATCGGATTCTTGTCGTAGGTTGCGGATGGTCTGTTGAAGCGAGCTTTCTTGCTTGTACATTTCCTCCTCCGACCCGGGTTGGAACCCAAGCTTTCCAAGCTCCTTCTCGAGTCTTTGGGCTTGAGCTTTCAGACCATCAAGATCCTTCAGTAAGCCAGCATTTTGCTCTTTGGCCTTTTTTGCCCGGGGTTCTTCTTCCTTAATTCGCTTCTCCAGATGGGCGATCTTGATTTTAGCTTGCTCTTGTTCCGTTGCCGCGGCGGTGACCCTGTTTCTCGCGTCCTGCAGTTGTCCTTGGTAGCCATTCTCCTGTCCCTCCTTAGACGCAACACCGGTTTGCAGGGTTTGTAGCAGCTCTTCCTTGGTGTCTGCCTCTTGCCTCTGCTTTTCAAGGGCCTCCTTGGCGGCATCGTATTTTGCCTTGGTCTTCTCGTATGTCTTGGTCTTTTCCTTCAGCGCCGCTTCCAGGTCGGCGACGTTCTTCTCTCCGGCTTTCCTCCGTTCTTGCTCCTCCTTCATACTGCTCTTCTTCAGATCCACAACGGTAGCAAGCCTAACCAGCTCGTTGGCGTGCTTCTTTACTGCTTCTTCCAGGGCTTGCGCCTTGCCACCTTTCCGCAACTCCTTGTCGCGCTGCGCCCTGACACGTTTTAAGTCGTCCTCCAGATGGGATATCTCGTTTTTTAGCCGGATAGCGGATTCCTCAAGCTCTTTCTGGCGCTGTTTCTTCGCTTCAAGATCCGATGCTGACTGTTGTAGCTTCTCCTGACACCTTACGTAATCATGTGCCACCACAAGCCTTGTTAATCGCTCCAGGTCGTTTTGTGTTTGCTGAAAGTCGAGGAATGCGCGCTTCTCGGTCCGTAGCTTCTCCAGTTTCGGTTCGATCTCATCTCGCAAGAGTTCCTTGATCTCCTGTAACTTCATTTCCTTCTTGGCCATCGTCTTGAGCGCTTTGTCCCTCCTGTCCTCGAACATCCTTGTTCCGGCTGCCTCCTCGATCATGGCCAAGATCTCAACGGCCTTCATATTCAACACCTTTGTAATACGACCCTGCATGATGAGGAAGTTGGGGTTGTTGATGTTGAGCTGTACCGATTGGAAGAGATTTTGGACGGTTTGTTGCTGCGCGCGATGGCCGTTGATCAGATATTTCGAGGTACCTCCGAGCACGATTTGGCGCGTCACGCTGATTGTCGCATACTCTTCGAATCCGATTGGTGACTTTTTCTTGTCTCTATTATCGAACACTATTGTGACGCTGGCCTTCGTGACGCCGGCTTGGCCTCGCTTGTAGATAAGATCCTGCAGGTTTTGAGCGCGGACTGTTGACATATTCGTGATTCCGAGAACGAAGCAGATGGCGTCGAGGATGTTGGATTTACCACTGCCGTTGAGGCCGGTAATCGAGTTGAAGCTCTCGTCCCTGTGTCGGCCGGTTAGTTACGAAACTATGATATCTTGAATCGCCCGGATGATTCCGTGTCCTTACCATCCTGAAATCACTGTTCTGACGGCGTACGATTTGAAGCCCTATTCGACGCGCCGGTGTGTCAGCTCTGTCACAACTTGAAGTTGTCGCATTACACGTGGGATCCGGTCGCGACTAATGGCGCGGTGCAAAAACACGTACGTCGATAATGACTTCGGTAACCCTCATGTTGGAGTCGTCGTGATTATGTCTGAGGAATCGGCAGTGGTGCAAAAGTTCGGCGCTGCTTCAAAGACACGCCCGCCTTTGCCCGAGCAAATCAAGAAGATTGATGATGGACCCAACGTTTGTTTACTCTTCTCAGGCACCATCAGGGTTTGGGGGAAGGGGGATGTGGGCCACGACTAGACGCCCCACATTCGCGTCTGCACGTGCCCGTCTGCCCCTGGCGCGATGCTCCCAAAGCGGGTCCGAAAGGGCGGCTCTGTCACACTTGGTGTGTGCTTTGCGTACCCCTTTTCGGTCCATCATAATTCTTTCAAAATGGGTGGTTTTCAATTCATTGTTTCAATCCCCGACTTTCACTTGCCTGCATTGTAAGATGCCCGCTAACATCATTAAGCATATATGTAATGCTCTCGTCGGCACATATCTCAGGGTATTCGGGCTTGGCCAAGGAAAGATCTGGACACGATGCTTCCCGCGGCGGAATTTTGTCCTCCGTCTTTTAAGAGCATTTTATTCGGCCTGAAGCAGCATATCATTACGTACCAAAGACGATGCGAAACGGACCTGATTTGTAAATCGCACGAACCCCAAACACATTGTGGATCATTTCCTTCAAGTGCAGGCAAGGCATGGCCCGCTCACCCCGCTATAGCTCTTGGCGCTGAATTGGCCGACCGGAGTCCGGGATCTGTGAGCCTCCATCCGTCACCAAAACAGGGCCATGCCGCTGGAAGGCAGTCGGCCACAGGCACGCCGCCAACTGAACACAGTGGCAGTCGCACGACTGGTGGGTGGGAACCTGTAGAGGAACGAATTGAAGGCACGTTCCTGTCCACCTGCACCTTCCACCAGCTCGTCATAAACTCTTGAATCCTTTCCCCCTCCATGTTTTTCGTGAAACATTGAACGATCCTCGTTCGAGATCATTGTTCGGCTTTTGATGGTGTTATATATATACTTCGCGCAGTTCCAGAATAACCTAATTGACAACGACCCATCAACCGTCATACCTTTGTCTCGACGTCCTGCCATCCGATCTCACGGCCCATACCTACTAGCTCCGACCGGCTAAGCCATCACAACCAGGAGTCCATCTCTGTCGACCAAGTGAACTTCCAAAGAGAAGACGACGTTACGGCACCATCTTGAGAAAGACAACATACGAAGCGAGGGCATTCATAACTTGCCACTGCCCATAGTTCCCAGCAGCTACACACTTGCAAACGAATAATAACAGCCCAGCAACAAGGGGCGTCCTCTCCATGATTCCTCGAACAATTGCCATCTGATGCTCCCTTCGAACAACGAACCCTAGGCGCCGAGGTCTGCGCCCTCCCCGCGAGGACACAATCAACACAAAGCCATGAGTCTCACACAGCGTTCCTCCAGGAGTACCCTCTTGTCGGCTTCAAAAGATGCAGATGACAACTCTGCGCGCCCACGAAATCGCCGGGTAGCGAGCAACCGAAACGATGCAAACACATCCTCCGTCTACTCAAGTCCAAGCAGGACGCCAGACAGAGGTGCCTCTCCGATTCCCGCCGCACGCATAGGAGATGTCACTGGCAGAAATAATTCTAGACTTGAGGTCGCGGCGGGCTCTGCTCGTGCAAGTAGCCCCAGAGGCGGTGGTGGTCTGCTCGATGGATCATGGGCTTCGACGTGGGCTACCGTTTCAGAATTCACCACATCACTACTTACCGGTGGGGAATCATATCACACCGGGTCAGAACGATCAGCAACGAGAACTACTGGAAAACAGAAGGCTTCCAACAGCTGGGGTCCCGAACCACCAAACGAATCGAGGCCACGCTTAGCGGATGTTGGGTCAGGATCAATGACTGAGCGTGAGGGGCTTCTCAGAGCACTCAGGACAGCAAGTGTACTCGAAAGCCATGAAGGCGTCAATGGTGGTCTGGATGTTTCTAGGAGATTCAAGAAGCGTAGTTCAGACGAAGACCTGCGAGAAACTTCCCAAAGTCAGGAAACAGCAGAGCACCTGGTGTACATTCACCATGTACAATCAACCGACACCTATGCCGGGATCGTGCTTCGGTACAAGTGCCGTGAAGACGCATTTCGTAAGGCCAACGGTTTATGGTCCCGAGACAATATCCAAATACGCAAATGGCTTGCCATACCTGTCGACGCCTGCGAAATCAAAGGGCGCCCTTGCGAAGGACCCTCGTTTCCCGGAGCTCATGTTGATTACTTGGCCCGTACACCGGAAGCAACAGACCCATTTGGTCGAGACATCTCCAACAGCCGAGAGTTTTTCGGCACCTCGCCCAACGACCAAGGCGGGGATAACAAGTTACAAACAAATGACGACGAGCGACCATGGACACACGTGCGCTGGGTATCACTCGACTCGTTTCCTGATCCTGTCGAGGTCGCACGTGTAGAACGCAAAGTTTTGGGCTACTTCCCACCGCGTCGGAGGAAGAGCATGAACACCACTTCCACCATGACGTCGCCTAGGACGTCGATGGACGTCCCAGGCATCACCCTAAGTGGAGAGGCAGGTCCTGGAAGTCCCGGTAGCGTCTCTTCCCGCCGAACTAGTCTCATGGGAAGTCGCCCCAATTTAATCGAGGACGATGCTCGGCCGGCATGGATGAGACGGCCTGGAGGCGTAGGCTCGCTGCGGAATGTGAGAGCACCAGGACCCGAGAAAGATTACTTCAACACGTGGACAAATAAGCATCTACCAGGACTAAACATTGATACTCTACCGTCCATGGCCGTCCTAGGTGCCGAAACTGCTCACATCGGATTCACCGGTGGCGGAGAGCACCCGACTATCGTCGAGAGTCCTTTTGAAGACGGAGGCGATGCCTCCACGATAAATGGGCAAGGGTCTACTGGGCTTGACAAAGCGGCCGCGGCGGTCGAGAACTGGCTGCGTGGCGCTATTTGCCAAGCGGCCAAGTGGACTAAGAACGCCTTCTCTAAGCACACCAAGACGGTCGGCTCTGGGGCCAGAAGAAGGCGACCTCATCGAGCTTACCGACACTAATAGTGACGATGGTCGAGGAAGCAGCGCCAATCCTGCATCTGGGGATATGGGGGACACAGGCCTGTTAAACTTCGCAGTTGGTACGTCTGGAAGAAGCGCCACAATGGGCGGGAATGGGACAGCGAGAGAGAGGTATCCCAGCGGCAGTCTGGCTGGGAGAGATAAGAAGGCGGACTGATTGTAGCCTGGGGAGCAAGATCGCTCGGTTGCATAGGATGTCGGGTGATTTACAACTTTGGATTCCTGAGGGGCAGAAACCCATGATAAAGCAGCATATTAGTAAAGCATAATGGCGGTCTCTTCCTGCATACCAAGGCGCCGGTGAAGTTGGTCAGTTTCCGTTAACATTCTTTTTGGCGGTTTTCTATATATCGAGAATTAGAGCGAAAGCGAGCACATTCAAAAGCAATCATTAGACAACTGTATTACCAAAGAGTAGATTTCCTATGCGCCCATATCCGGTCTCCTTTTGGCTCCATAAACACTGTGGTACGATTTCGATGTTCAGGTGTACCGTACCGTACCTACCTTAGATATTTGGCCACGGAGAAGTAATATATTCAGCTGGCGAAGGGACATTTGACGCCAACTCGAGCCCCTGAATGGCTGGGAAGGGGCGAGGTACACGCATTAAACCCTAACCCAGCGCTTAACCAGACGTGGACCGACACTGAATCTTGACCACCGTCGACTAGGGAATTGAACGCCAAGAACTCACCTTCAACAGTCATCCACGTCGAGAACCTTGAGGAACACACAATCCGATAACAACACTGCACGTGGAGAGTCATCGCAGCATCCCAAGCCTCAGTTTCGACGCAGTTTCTAAATCCATTCCTCGCCTCAAAGCTCAAATCTCGCCGTCCGAATGCCGATTTGCATCGAATGCAGACATCCTGTGAAGACGTTATGGAGGGAGGGCGCAGGTGACAAGTCGACCGGACACAACATCCGGTTGACGGTGTGCAAGAACTGCGGCCGCTTCTGTGACAAATATGTCGAGCACGACTTTGTCGTTCTGTTTATCGATCTGGTCTTGATCAAGCCGCAGGTATGTGATGAACAAACTCATAAACCAATTGGGACACATCAGGTGCTCCTGGCGATCAAGCTCCAGTGAGTGAGTGAGCGAGCTTGGAGTATACTTGTGAAGGGAAAGACAGAGTTTGATGTGAAGAGAACAACGAGCTAACAGGTTTATGGTTGGTTATAGGTCTACAGACATTTACTTCACAACACATTGATGAAAGACGAGGATGAATTCGCAGTAAGTGTCGATTGCCTGATTCCACCGGTATATATATATATGGGTTACTGACGTATCGCATCTAGCCTTCCATCATCCGCCTCGGAGTCCTCCTCCTTCTCTTCGATGTCTACCTTACATGGGCACGCATCGAGAAGCAATCGGTTCCAGCTGCCAGCTGTGTAGATGACAGCGGAAACGTCAGCAACTTTGGTCGTCTGGCGCAACAACCCATTGTGCTACAGTATATGTTCTTCCGTATGTCCAATCCCATACCATGAAACTCTCCATCTCTTTCCTTGATGCTAATAGACACAAAAGTCCTCCTCTGCACCCTCTCCACCCTCGCCTTCCACGGTTCCATCCGCTTCCTCACCTCTAGCCGTTACTCTCCTCTCCACCTCCTCGGCATTCTCCCGCAGTTCAGTCGGCCCAACTCTGTCTCAACCGCCCTTCTCGTCTCGTCTTCTACCAAGTTGTTCCCCCATCCTTATGGTGATATGGGAATACGATGTCCCCGCCGCGGCGCGTTCGCTGGGCTGGGCGGTGGTGGCCAACAATGTCGAGGCGCTCAAGATCCTGCTGGACTGTAACTACGGCGTGGCGACGCTGCTGGCGACGGCGGGCGCGCTGAGCCGGTGGGCCATGGGAAGGGCCGTCTTGTGGGCGGCTGGATTGGACGGGGTGGACTCGGTTGGGGAGCATAGCGTGGCGGAGGAAGGAAAGGTGTTGGGTTCTCTGTTAATGTACGCGAAGGATTGGCTTGGGAGGTTAGCTGTTGGTTGATATTCACGGGCTTGTTGTCTGTCATTGTGCCTCAGGGAGGTGTGTTTGAAAAGTATTTACCATCGTCTAGCTTACTCGTCAGGACTTGAAGCGGCCCTCCCCCCAGCGAAAAGTAGAGATCGGAGCGGTTGCATGGAGGTGGCATGATTTGTGTTATGAATAACCATCATCTGTAAATAAAAGAAGTGTATCGAATGAAACCATTTATTAGCCACATCTCCTCGTTGTCAATGGTGATCACACACACAGTGGCTGTCGTCTTGAAGGCCAATTCATCAGGGCCCTCTTTCCTAATGCTTCTGATAATGCACCAAAGTTTTGAAAGTTGCATATTTCGCCCAATAACGCCATGCCCGTCTTCTCCGATATGTGTATAAGTGGTGGTTGGGGTATTCATACAACCCTAGAAATGCCACGGTCCAGATCCCGTCTGCTGGAACGGCTCCCTCCAAATCTTCTTCTCTTTCTCGGCCATTATTGCCCAGCGCATTCCAGACCTAAATGTCTGTCTCGTCTCGGATTCTTGGCCCCTTCGTCAGAATCTCTGTGTCGTGTTCGTCTAAGTCGTTACCGCCGTCATCTCTCCCGCTTCAGTGGTGAATGTACTCTTTGCGCAAATCGGAGCGTCTCGGTTCGATGAGGGGATGTAGTTGCGCCAGGAATGTGATAGCCCACATGAGATAACAGCTGATGAAAGCGAGGATGAGAGATGATCGCCATAGTCTGCGCAATTTGGGTAACAGGTTAGCTGGTGTTCTTGGAGGTGGCGCCGGCCATTACTGCTCGGAAACACAACAAACAAGAAGACATAGGCAAGCAAATGAAGAAAATAAAAAAGTACGTACACTTGGTTCTCACCCTTGGGCGAAAAGATCCAGGCGGCCACACACATGCCGGCGACAACCACCAGGCCGATGATAATACTCCATCTGCGCGCGCCAGAAGCAAGTTTGTCAGTTCAGAGTCCCGGCGCGGTTCGGCGACGGAAATTGAAGGACTGGAGCACTAACCCGTTCGCCATTTTCCCAGTATTTGGTTATCTGTTGTTTGATACGGACGACCCGGGCACAATAATTGTCGATACGGACGCTAGAAAATCGAGCGGGTTCGTGATGGTTCGCTGTTGTTGCTGTCGTTCTTGTTGGAGTACCTAGTTGGATCGCGGATGATGTCGTTGGCGGATTCACAACACAAGGCGATTGCAGCGGCAGGCTGGCAGCTCGCTGGCGCGCAGCTACATCCCTACTTGTACCCTACAGGGGACAGTGGGTGGCAGGAGCACCGCATCACTTGCGCTTTCCGATTGCGCTGTAGGAGCATCTGCACTACGCGCTATTTAGCTGCTGACTAAGGCAGATGCTTAAGTAAACAGTGGGCAAGCCTGACTCCCCTGATCACTGTATGGCCGGAACGACTTGACCTTTCAGCTTCAGTACCTTTGAAAGTCTTCTCAAATCGTTCACTTATTCTCTCTTGGTGTTTGGGTTTCGTCGATCGTATCAGTAATGATCATATGCAGAATTATTACAGGTAATTTGGAGAATAGTCATCAAAACTTGGGGTGACAGTTACCCTCCGCGTTGTTAATGGCGAAGCTCAATGAACATCCATGGATCACCGACCGTTGCCCGAACCCCTCATTCGGCTCTTCTAGCGACAACGACTAGAGGACACCGGATCTCGGATTTAACTGGTGCAATGGGACTGGTATAAATCAATGTGTAGTCCATTTATCACCCCAAGTAGAGCTTAGAGAAACACGAACTTGTCTCGACATTGCAACTATCCCGTCTCTCTGTTAGAACAACCTCTTTGGGGTGTAAGACGCTGAAGTTCCCTGAAGTTTACGACCGTATCGGAACGAGCAGAAACCCTTGACAGGAGTAAACACCAACAACGACAGCAAAAATGACTCCGAGACTGTTTTGGATTGGATTGGGCAACATGGGACGGGTGAGGATCACTTTGACAGCTTCGAATTTGCAACAGGAGCATATCTAACACCTGTGCAGGGGATGTCCACAAACATCGTGGAAAAGGCAAACCTCGATCAGCCGCTACTGATCTATAACCGTACCAAGCAGAGGTGCATCGACCTCAGCGAAAAGCTTCCCGCCGGAAAGACGGAAATCGTTGACTCCATTGCCGAGGGCGTAAGCAAGGCGGACATCATCTTCAATATCCTCTCCAACGACGCGGTGGTGGAAGCTTCCATTGCTGAGATTCTGAAGAATGACATCAATGGGAAGCTCATTGTCGAGTGCTCTACCATTCATCCAGATACGACCGAGAGGATTGCTAAGCAAGTTGAAGATGCGGGAGCTCAGTTTGTTGCGGCTCCTGTCTTCGGTGCTCCAGCCATGGCGGACGCTGGTCAGCTCGTCGGTGTCCTGGCCGGACCCAAGGCTGCTGTGGACAGAGCCAGGCCGTATTTCAAGGGCGTCACAGCCAAGGCCGAGGTCAACATGAGCGATGAGCCTTACCGGAAGGCGTTGACGCTCAAGCTCATTGGGAACACCTTCATTCTCAATATGGTCGAGCAAATCGCCGAGGGCCACGTCCTAGCTGAGAAGTCCGGTCTGGGCACAGAGTACCTGCATCAGTGGATCGAGGGCATGTTTCCGGGTCCCTATGCAGCCTATTCGACTCGGATGCTCACGGGAGACTATTACAAACGGGATTACCCTCTCTTTACCGTGGATCTTGCGAGAAAGGACGCAGGTCATGCGATGAGCCTTGCAAAGGAGGCAGGTGTGAGGTTGCGCAATGTGGAAACGGGCGATGCTCACCTTGCTGAGCTCAAGGCGCATGTTGGGGAGAAGGGTGATATTGCCGGTATCTATGGCGCGGTCAGGATGGAGAACGGCTTGACATATGAAAACGAGTAAATCCCTAGAAGTCTTATCACCCAGATATGTTGCTGTAGCTTATAGAAGAGTAAGGGTGTCGAGAATCAGGTGGCCGAGGTGACATACCTACGGAGGTAACGGATGGTAGTTTTGTTATCGGATGATCTGATTATTCCCCTCCAGTGCGGAGTAGCGAAGGAATCTGGAAGCTGTCCCGCTCGACATTTTGTGGAGTTTTCTGCCTGTCACACAGCGCATCTAACCTTTTGGAGCAACAACTGCGGTCACTGTATCCTCCCAGTGGCACCCGCCCCGGCCGTCCCTTGTTGACGCATCGAGTACAAGATAGTGACGGCTTCCTTCCTCTCCCAACCTCGAGTGCCGTTTGATCCCGTTCGATTGAGTTTCTAGGGTAACGGGAACACAGCCGGGAATGAGTTTGTCTGTAATTCTCAGGCTCGCACTGGTTTCTTAGGTCGGGCGAGCCTGGAAAGGGTATCGCGGCTCTGTCTAGTTTGTCACGATATTTTGTCACTGTCAGCCTGCTCTTACCTGTCATCACCCAAACAACAACTTCGTGAGGAGCCATGTTTGTGCGAACTTCCCGCAGCTCGTGCAATGCATGGACCAACGCTACATTCTCAAAGCAGGTAGGCTTTCTTTCGCCTCCAAAATTCTCATCGTTCTGTCGTTCTCACACTCGCACTCCAGGTTTGCTCTGCGAGAACGCATGAGTTGCTGATCCGTTCTTTCGCAACCACGGCATCCCAGTCAAAACGTCAAGAAGCCGAAGCGGAAGAGAAGCGCCAAGTGAGCCCCAGATCGGGGCCTTCTTCACCCAGAAGCTCATACCCCTCGTCTGCGGAAGCGAGACAAAAGAGGGACAGTGACAGAGTATGGTCACCTCCCGTCAGCTATCGGGTCGCCCTTCCATTTCTTCTCATTGTTCATGACTGACCCTCTGTGCAGGAGTTCCTTATTTCCGTTCTCGAGTCGTCGGCTACCAAGCGCGATGCTCGAGGTTATCTTCAAACTTTCGGCTCTCCCGCAGCCCTAACCAGCACTGGGCAGAAGAAACCATCCGCCATCGGTATCTTGGGCGTCCCAGCCTCTGTGGCCGGCAGGCCTGCCTTTGTGCAAGGACCAGAAAAGGAAACTCCGGTCAAGACAAACGAAGCACCACATGTGGCCGTTGTGAAGCTGAGGGCACCACAGGCGTGGGATGACGTCCTCCTTGATGGTGTCGCGAAGACCCTCACCAGGCTGAGAGATCTTGGTCTCCTCAGTGTGATTGTCCTTGGTTGCGACGACATCAAACCCAACCAAACTTTTAGCTGGCAAGAAATTGTCACAGAACAGACGGATAGACTCTTGCGAGCAATCGGTCAGTTTGGGTCCCCGGCCGCCGAAGTTGTTGACTCGGGGATATGGAAATCAACCGAAAATCCTCAGATTACATCCTTCGTTCCCTCCAACCCTCTTTACGTGGGGTTCGGAAAGGCGTTTACTACACCACTTGCTAAAGGGCACATATTGGTCGTCCCCCCGCGAGCATACTCCGATGCGACTCTTCAATACTCTAAAGCTGATGCCAATGATATTGTCATTGCCCTAACGACCTTCTTTGCGGGACTGCAGTTTGGTCGACAATATTCGGACTACCGGGAGCTGGCGGAGAAGGTCAACGACCGTCAGCCTTTCCGAAGGGCTTTGGTCGATCGTGTTATCGTTATCGATCCATTGGGCGGCATCCCATCCCACAGACAAGGACACGGTACACAAGTTTTCATCAACCTGGAAGACGAGTTCAAAAACATCCGTGACGCTCTCTACGAGAAGACTCAACCTACTTCGGCAGGTACGAAAGACGCTGGTGTTGGTGCCAGGGCTTCCGTACATCTGGAAAACCTGCGGCTTGCCAAATCTACGTTGGCCATACTTCCATCAAACGCATCCGTGGTGATGACCAGTCCTGCGGAGGCTGCAAATATCAACGTATCAAAGCGGGACGACACTGAAGCCAAGCCTGGTGGGTTCGCGGGTGAAGTTAAGACTAGAACCTGGCGCAATCCTTTGATTCATAACCTACTTACCGACCGACCCATCTACTCATCGTCGCTTCCTATCGGCCGAATCAAACCCACGCACCCAGATGAGGAGATCGCTCTCTCACGAATGCCCACAACTACCCTAGCCAAGAGAGGACTGCCAGTCACCATCTTTCCTGATCCACGAGCAAGTCCTTGGAAGCCACCACAACCTGGCGTTCCCAGACTCAGGCTAACGGATACGTGTATCGATCTGCCTAGGCTCGTACACCTGATCAACGACTCCTTTGGAAGAAAACTTGACGTTGAACATTACCTCAATAGAGTCAAGGACAGTCTCGCAGGCATTATTATTGCCGGCGAGTACGAAGGAGGCGCAATCCTCACATGGGAGACGCCATTTGGTCTTGATGAAGAGACGGCCTACCGAGAGGGCCGACTAGTGCCGTATCTGGACAAATTTGCAGTGCTACGCAAGAGTCAAGGAGCCGGTGGCGTGGCAGATATCGTGTTCAACGCAATGGTTCGAGATGCTTTTCCGGAAGGCGTCTGCTGGAGGAGCAGGAAAGACAACCCGGTCAATAAGTGGTACTTTGAGCGGTCTCGAGGTGTGCTGAAGTTGCCACAGAGCAACTGGGCCATGTTCTGGACGACTCCGGAGGCGGTTTTGAACGACCAGATGATGAGAGACTATGAAGATGTGTGCAGAAATATTCTACCTTCTTGGCAAGATACCACGAAGCCAGCGGACTGAGGAACAGGATTCGAAGATTTTGGTTGGTTGCTGTTGTTGTTGGTGTTGGGTGGTGGTGGGGGAGTCGGGTCTTTTGAGATAAGTGTAGGGTACCGTGTACGAGTGTGGATTTGGGCACACGATAAGACTGGCGATAAGAGGCGCACTCGGTCGAGTTGTCTTGGGAGGCTTTGAGGTCGTTTGCCATGTTGAACTAGAAGAGGGACCACCATGTCTGTATGGAAACCAGTTACATTGATTATCTCACCTGTCCGGCCTTCAGTGGGCGATGCCCTTTCATCATGATACGAAAACGTACTTGAAACGAATGTGACAATCATCAGCCAATCAACTCTTTCGAGCCTTCAAGGTGTTGTATCTCCAAGTGCACGGTCTCCAAGATGACAAGGACCAGTGGAGTTATAGGTGGGGCACCTTCCAGGCGCCGTACATCAGCATCTCCCCTGGGCTCTAGCACACTTGACCGAAGAGGAGCTCCCGTCCATTTGAATTACACGAGGCAGCCAACATTCAAATACTCGACGCACCCTCCTTCCGTCAACTTCGTCAACCCATCTTCGCAACAGATCGCAGACTACTGAATTTTGTGTCTTCACCCAAAAATTATATCACCATGGATATGTTCAAGGGCTTCCAAAAGAACCTTGGGTAAATAGCTTGCCCCGCCATGATCTTCCTTCTGCCCTTTGGGTACGAAGAGTCACGGGAGAGTTGGGTATGCTAACTTGCCTTGATGAATGCAGTTCTTGGGGTGGGCAAATCGCCCCATCGCCTCGCGCACCGTTCAGTTTACCAAGGAGCAGCTGGGTCAGGCCGAGGATAAGGTCAGCAGCAACTGAGAGTCGCTACTCACTATGGCTTGCGATGGCTGACAGCCCTCGCGACAGACTCAATTGCCCGCCGAGTATATCGAGCTCGAGAAGCGTGTCGATGCGATCAAGGCTGTCCATCAGAAGATGCTCGCTGTGAGTAAGCTGTTCCTAAACACATCCCGCCTGGTCGTTGTCTGTGCCGTGATGCTAATCCGGCTTTCCGTTCCACAGCTCCCAATACTCGCACGAGCCCTACGATTATCCTCCCAACATTAAGGAGACCTTCTCGGATCTCGGCCGCACCGTCAGCGAAAAGGTCCAGCTTCTGTCATCGGCAACCTCGACCGCCGAGGCGCAGGCTGCCCTCACTGCTCCTCCCAGCGCCAAGCCGCAGCCCAAGACCTTCAACCATGCTATTGCTCGTGCCAGTTTGGCGAGCAGCCAGCTTTTGCACCAACAGCATACCGGTGCCGGAGAGGATCCTTTGGCCACGGCTCTTGAGAAGTATGCTCTAGCCATGGAGAGCGTTGGCGAGGCTCGCCTCGCTCAGGACGCGCAGATCCAGAGCCGCTTCCTCGCTGGATGGAATACCACTCTCAACACCAACCTCAAGTTCGCTACTCGCGCCCGTCAGAACGTCGAGAAGGCCCGTCTGAACCTTGACGCCGTCAAGGCGCGCGTCAAGGGTACCACCTGGAGATTGCCTGGAACTGCCGCCCCCGCCCATGACGACCATGAGCTCAGCCCTGAGGCGCAAGAAGAGATTGAGAAGGCTGAGGATGAGTTCGTCACTCAGACCGAGGAGGCCGTGGCTGTGATGAAGAACGTGAGTGCTCCCTATCATCCGCTTTATTCTCCCTTGTATAACTAACAGATGGCGATGCATTAGGTCCTTGATACCCCTGAGCCTCTACGTAACCTTGCCGAACTCATTGCCGCCCAGATGGAATATCACAAGCGCGCTCACGAGATTCTGAGCGAGCTTGCGCCCGTCATTGACGGATTGCAGGTCGAACAGGAGGCAAGTCGTGCTTCGGCGTACTCTTTGCAGTAAACCCCAGGCCTTAATTGTGCTAACTATTGCCATTGTCGCCACAGGCGAGCTACCGCAAGAGCCGCGAGAACGCTTAAACCAAATCAGATCATAAAAAGAAAGAGAGAGATACCTCGGGGTAGTGTGTGCATCTACTGGGGTCCTTTGTTAGCTTCGACCTCTGATACCCTAGTAGGTACAAGGCGCCATGAGTAATAATGGCATGTTTGGTACATTAATCATATCATGTCCATGGATCTGCTCGGTCGGGACAGAGACCAAGCTCTGTTAATCTGTTTGTTTCATTATACCGGACATGTTTTCGAATGTTGACCGGACTATCTGCTTCATCCCTATCATCACTATACTGCCTTTTGCGAATGAAAAGTCGAATGAGCGTCGAGGGCGTTGCCTCTGGTCTCATATAGTCTCACATGGCAAACTAACATGGTAATCTTCCATCATATCCATGTAACATCTTCAATCAGATGCGATTCTCGGTACTACCTTTGCTACCAAACTTCACTCGTATTGGTCCCACCTTATCCTGCTAATTCCTTTCGAGAACACGGACCCCTGCCTATCTTTGACAGCCAGTCTCTTTTATGGACTATCATCAACGGCTATCACGCAACACGCGACTAAACCATTCACACCTGTATCCGGACGACTAGCACAAGCCGGCGTCGCAAGAGATTTGCGAAAGTATCCGCCATGGCTTATAGTGACAACATCCAGGCAAAACTTCAACAACAACAACACGGGCGTGTGGCTCAGTTGGTAGAGCGTTCGCTTAGCATGTTTCCGAGCATGCGAAAGGTCCTGGGTTCGATTCCCAGCTCGTCCACTTCTTTTTGGATTTTGGTCGTCCTATCCTTATTACCTGTGTTTCCTTTTTGATGATTTCGTCTTCTTTTTTTGCTTCTGTAGCAGTTTCAGCACGATGTTTGCCTTTCCGGTATCCTGGTGTTGGGCAAAAGGCGAGTGTCTCGAGGAATAAAAGCTACTCGGCACTAGCATTCCAAACAGGTTGCATGATCTTCCAGGGTCCTCGTTTTGCTTTCGTGGTTGCCTTCTTGCACATAGTGGACGGATCAAAACCCGTCAGTTCGTGGAACTGAACCGTTGTCGGTGTCACGTTGTCGTCTTGGTCATGGCTTACTGGTGGTAGTCGTTAACCTTGGACAGCGAACTGAAAAGAGAAGGATGAACCAGCAGGTATCTTCTGGTGATACTCCGATCAAGATTAACCAACTGCTTTTCAAGATCGTATGAGAGGGAGTTCATATTGCACGTTCGTTACCTCCGTGACTCGATCTTGCCTCTATGTGGTTTTGATATCGAAGTATCATCTTGTTGTCCTTCTATGACAGGCCAGGAGTGCACATGCCTAAAGCGCCAAACCACTAAAAGATAGACGATATTCAGCTTGCAAGGTAGATACCAAAGTGCACACGATATAGCCACAGCCCTGTGACACCTTCGGCGCTATACTTGATCCAGGGAAAATCAGCTAGAGTACACTGTTAGAGCCATTTAAGCCAATACATCTAGAAGAAAGTATTGCACTGTTTACCAGGTTCGAATTCTATCTAACTTCGGTTGACGTGAGGAAGATAGTGATGCCACGAGCTGGATTTACACGATGTTTTTAGAGTCCCTAGCTTGCCTGCAGCAACGCCATTGAGGACAGGAACCAAGTACGATTTGTGTCGGACTCGGGGAGAATGTCGGACTTATTGAAATGTGAATTGATCAGCCCTCTGTCCTTGCCGAACATCATTAACACGTGGTAAGCTTGGACTAACGTGTGTAGACTTCAGAGGATTTTGACCTATCATGGTACGCGAGGATTTGACTCTACAATACGTACTTGACTGACGGAAAAGGTAGGCATGGATTATCATTTGCTGTATTTTAATGGTATTGGAGTCTCCTCACTCACCTTCAAAATGTTTACATGGATTGATACACGTAGTGTTTCTACTTGCAATTCCGGTTTGAACACAACTCGTGATCATTTTTCCAATCTTATCCGCTATACTCAATCATATCTCGACATCCTAGCAATCTACTCAATCTTTCAGTTATGCTAGCGAGGACTAGATACTGCAAAATATTTTGGTGTTCATAATCACCCAACTTCGAAGTTCCGGTTAACCTCCACCACATAAGTTTAAGACAGAAGCGCAGCATTTAACAATCATTAGGGCGTGTGGCTCAGTTGGTAGAGCGTTCGCTTAGCATGTTTCCGAGCATGCGAAAGGTCCTGGGTTCGATTCCCAGCTCGTCCATTTCTCTCCTTTTTTGTATTTTTCTCTTTCCATATCAACTCTGCATCCCTTGGTGCTTGACGGCGATCGCAATGAAGTGACAGATTGAACGTTTGTTGCTCCCGGCGTGAAGCTCTTGAGTAACAACCCCGCGTTAAAACTCCCCGTCACTTTTTAAATGCCCCACCTTTTCAATCTTGTCTACCGGCCGGCAAATCCTCAGCTCCCTAGACATCCCAGTGAAACAAACATGTCATTGCTCCACTTATAGCTCTGGTGTCGTTGCCCGCGGCCGGCAAGCTGCAGCTACACCACCACAGGACAGGCTTCCCGTCGCGGGCGCACTTCCCTTTGGTCGCTGCATCCAACACGTCAACAACTCCTTTTCGTCTTCTTCGTCGCAACAACACCAGACAGCTAAATCATCGCAGTCAATCCACAAATTCAGAATCATGGTATGTTTTAGCCCATATGGACGCAACGCTAATTCAGTATTGTTTCGCATATAACTAACCTCTTGCCTTTTTCGCCAACAAACAGCTACCGTTAGGCATCCTCACCGCGGCGCAAGGCCACCCCATGCTCGTCGAGCTCAAGAACGGCGAAACTCTCAACGGCCACTTGATCCAATGCGACACGTGGATGAACCTGACACTAAGGGAGGTTGTTCAGACCAGCCCGGTCAGTGCTACCCCGGTTCCCAAATTCTGGCAATGGCGATAATCATGAGGAGGAGGAGATGGTGGTGGTGGCGTTGGAAAGCAATCCACAAGGCGAAGTAAAAGGGTCGGGGACAAGACAGCTGACTGTTCGATTTGAGCAACAAACAGGAAGGTGACAAGTTCGCAAGGTTACCAGAGGTTTACGTCAAGGGAAACAATGTGAGTTCTTCTCGGTCTTCTCTTCCCATCTTTCTCCCTCTTCTTGATCTCTCCCTTCGCTCTAACCAACCAATGCATGGTTCGCTGATTGCCGTGGAACACAGATCAAATACCTCCGAGTACCGGACGACGTGATCGACATCGCTCGCGAGCAGCAACACAACTCACACGGCGGACATAGAGGCGGTCGCGGCGGCGGACAGAACAGAGGCGACTACGGTGGCCGTGGCGGCCGTGGCGGACGAGGAGGAGGCGACAGAGGTGGTCAGAGAGGAGGCCGCGGCCGTGGCAGGGGCGCATGAGGTGGAAGTTTGGAGAATCCCATGTTGTTGGGACGGCGAGCGAGGGAGGCTTAACGACCATACCGAACGAATGAAAATACAGCTCTTAATAACGACACGATGAGCCGAGGGACGACAGTTGGGGGCTGCCGCTATCGCGATTAGGGAGGAGAGGAAAGGGGCGGAGAGCTTCGGCCGAGAGACATGATCGGATGGATTGTTGACCTATACGAATCCGTTTTCGCAAAGAATACCGGTAGATGAGCATGAAGCACAGCTCCAACTACAGAGCTTCATGACAACTCATTGGCGATCATGGTAATGATATGGGCTTTGGGAAGAAGAGGACCTGGCTCGGACACATAGACCAGACTGGGTGTTGGTGTCATCAGCATGGAAATTACGGCAAGAAGGACATGATTATTTTAAAGCAAAAGATACCCAAGCTTGAAGTACCTGGGTGAGTTCTTCATGAACCTGGCGCAACGTTTTACGCATCATATCACATCTTGGTCCTTTCGAAACCTCCTTTCCCTCGACATCAAGTATCTGAGAATGAAAAACAAAAAAAAGTGGAAACATGAATAACGGCACCCTGAGTACACTGCACGTCACACAAAATGATGCACTCTGCGGGTGATCTAGTCCAAACCTCAGAAGCAAACAAATATTGACTACGGGAAGGAAGCGAGAAGCATGAATCGGTCATGACCATGAAAAAGCACCAAAAAATTCAAAAGTTGAGGTCGTACCCGGAATCGAACCGGGGTTGCCGGAATGTTCTAATGGAATTCAGAATCCGGAGTGATAACCGCTACACTATACAACCGTAAATTGTAATTGTTGAGAAATGATGCTCGCACAATTCCCTATATTGTCCGGCGCGACGTATTAGCCAAGCCATTAATTAACTATATAACCGCTCTTCTTCATCCCATTTGACTATTTGTCTTCTTTAAGACGCAGACGAACTCGAAGTTTTGAGATCACCAACATCCAAAACCTCTTCTTCCGCACCCGCTATCTCCACTTTGCCCATCGCCGCTATCTCCTCTTGCGCCCTCTGATCCGCCCCGACCGTCTCCTTCGGCATCTCCGCCAGCAACTTCTTGATCTCAATCTCGAGATCAATCTTCCTCTCCCTAGCCACATCAACAATCGCCCACGCTCTGGGATCCATTTCCTTGAAGCAGCGCTTCAGCAGCTGGACCAAAGTCGGGTGACTGATCCACGTGCGCCTGGAAGCGTTTCTCGCCAGCGGCGCCAGCTCCATTTTTGCCAGGTACTCAAAAGCGGTGTTGAGGTCGCCATCCTGGCCAGAAGCGCACCGCACAAAGTGCTCGTACATGTCCCGCGTGGGCTTGAGCGTGTACATGAGCATCTCCGACTCCAGCTCCTGCGCCGTCTGCGCGCTCTGCGCCTTCTGCAGGAGAACCTGGAAGGTGCGCAGGTCCGGTCCCGTGGAGCAGAGCTGCAGGAGCTTGCGGTACATGCCGAATGCCTTGTCGACTGTCGGTTCTTCCTCGCAGACGGCCTCGAGCACCACGTTTACGGCCGCGATGGGGATTTTGTAGCCGGCTGCCTTGAGACTTTCCATCATCTCTTTGACGCTCTCCAGGAGCTCGGGCGACCGGCGAAAGAGGAGGAAGAGGGACCGCGTGCTGGCGGCTTCGGGGGGAATGTCTGCGCCTTCCATGATGCAAACCACTTGCAACGCATTCAGAAGGTCACCGTTGTAGGCGTAGCATTCCACCAGCGCTTCGTAATGATGCAGACCCAGTCGCACTCCCCTTGCCGCGAGAAGCTCGATGGCCCGAGTAGCCAAGTCTGCGTCTTGATGGCGAGAGGCCGTGTTGAGCACGTTAATGACGACGCCGTCAGGAGGGTTGACAATGCGGTTCTCTACCAAGTGGTCCCAGACCAACCTTGTCCCTTCGTAATGCATTGCCCTGCTACACTCGTCGAGCAAAAAGTACCAAGTCCCCAAAGGCAGCGCATAGGACGGGGTGTTCTGATTCCGAGCTTTGAGCCTTACATGCATGACCCGGACGGCCTCCTCGATGAACCCACGCCTTGAGAGCGTGTAGATGAAGACCTCGTATATCCAAGCAGGTACCCATTGGTCGCTTTGCACCAGTTCGTCCAGCATATCCAGGGCTTTTTCAAGTTGTCCATCGCGGAGAAGGCCCAAGCTGACGCTGAACTTGGCGTGTTTGTCGAGTCTGGCTCCCTTGGTTCCCATGGAACGGAGGATATCCGTCCTCAGAAGATAATCAGGATGGACCGCTAGTGCTTTCAGAGCACTTTGTAGGACACCTATTGATGGTTCGACACCGGCTGCCACCATGGAGTCAAAGATGAAGCCGAGTTCGTCGGCCGAGCCTGTGATATCCCAGTTGGCGACAACCAGCGATTCGTATATGAATGGGTTTGGCTTTTCTTTTCGGTTGTTTATGAGGAACTGTACAACAGGCCGAATCTTGCCATGTTTCCCGTGGTGATTGCGAAGCTCACGGAGCGCTTCGTAAATAACAGGTGTTGACGCCTTGTTCAAGACCGTCATAAGGTCACTCGTCGCTTGGATAATCTCGGTCACGGTTGTTACCGTCCCGTCCGCGACGGCTCCGGGATTCTGTTGTTGACTCTGTGGCCATTTCGGTTCGGTGTATAGATCGGGAGAGACGAGGCTGCCGGCGTTATGTCTATGAGTATGCGATTGTTGACTGAGCGAGCGCACTCCTCGATGATGTCGAAGCAGGCCAATCCTGCGACTGACTCGTGGTCTCGATCGGACTGCGGAGGCGGAAGACAGGGTTATGGTCTCGAGGGCCTTCGCCAGCAAGGTGGCATCGACAGAAGGACATAGGCAACGCCATAAACCGTCGATTACTTGTCGAGATGGCGGCATTGTGGTAAGCGCTGGAGGAAATCAAAGTCGTGACAAGGTCAAAATTCAAGCCGGACGAATGTGACTGTCGTTTTCGGCGCAATAATGTTGTGTCCCGCACAAGGGGACATCGTGCAGCTGCGAGCTTCCCCAACTTCCAGGGGCATGGCGTGCGGGGTAGAAGGGATCGAGGGAGCGGTACGTACCTGGAAGAGTGGGATTTTGGATTTCGAGAGGTCGAGTCGGGAGAGTGAGGTTGACAAAGTTAAAGCCCATACATAGCATTGGATGTTATCCGTTATTCCATCCTCATATTTGTGCATGAGCAAGGGGAAATAATAACTCGTAAACAAACCGTCGAGCAACCCAGAGTTAAGACAAACACCCAGCTTTTCATAGCATGCGAATGACGCAATTTGCAACTGAAGTCAACCACGGTGATCTTCCTTACCAGTATGGCCGTCTGCTTAGGGCAAGCACTAATATATAGCAAAAGATGAAGATTAAGCGAGGAGGATCGCAAGCCAGGTAAGGGAACAGAAAAAGACGATGTTCAAAGGACGAAGGTAAAAAATAACAGAAACACCTGATAAAAATGCCAAAAAAAAATACAAAATATAGGTCTCTCCCGCCGGGAATTGAACCCGGGTCTCGAGCGAATCGAACTGATGTTCAAGCTTGACAAGCTCACATACTGACCACTATACTACGGAAGACTTCCAGCTGTTAATCAGCTGTCGTAGTTGATTGATTGTTGCCTCTTTGGATCCGACCCTTATATACCCAATCAGCAAAAACACGAAGCTAATTGGACAATTCACTCCTCCACCAAGCAACGACACCATTCCGGGAGAAGACGGCAAGACAGCATCATATGTTACAAGATCACAAGTGGAAGGTACACTTGATATACAACACTAGTGATTACGCAGGAAAGCGTGTATCGATACTGGATTACAAGACATACTCCTTATTTATTAGACCACAGATATAAAGCGACGTGGACAGAATCAAATGACGGACAAGCTTTGAATGACCACAAAGCCAGCCATTATATACAACCTATGCGAGCAAATGGTTACATAGTAGAGCATAGCACATGCAAAAGCGATAAGCATTTATGACACAGAACAAGGATATGAATGAATTGCGCTGAGTGACCCGTTATATTGAGGGGTTCGAGACTACCCATATAGTCTTGTTGCGCTCCGCCGTCACGATCTTTATACCTCCATGCCGAACACGCTCGTTCTCACATACTCATAGTTACCGCTCTTTCTATCTCCCTCACATATAACCAGTGACAGACTGACTACCTACCTCGGCTCAGACTTCCGTTGTCCATACTGAGGCCACTGTTGTCGCTGCTGTCCATCCTAAGGGCCGCGGTACCCAGGAGGAAGCATACCGCGCCGATCAACGGGGAAAGGAAGACCGCCGGCACCACCAAATCCAGCAGGGCCGTCCGGTCCCTGGAAACCACCCATTCCGGGAGGGGGAGGTCCCATGAAGCCGGGTGGGGGTCCACCACCGAAAAAGCCCGGGGGAGGCTGCATCCCTCTAGGAGGGGGAGGTCCAACGAGGCCATCCGGGGGTGGAGGGCCAGGAGGGAACGCTCCACCAGGAGGCGGGAAGTTCATAGGGAACATACCCGGCATCGGTCCGTTACGGGGTCCATTGACAAGACCCGGAGGAGGGATCATGGGACCTCTTTGAGGCGGACCCATAGGCTGACCACCAACTCCGCTTCCAGGGTTACCGGCACCGCCAGCACCCAGTGGGAAAGGAAGCATGTGATGATCCAGACCAGGGGGAGGAGGCCGCTGAAGAATCTGCGTCGGCATCTGCGTCGGCGGCTGAGGTGGACGATTGTCAATATCCGAAGGGTGAAACTGGTCATTGAAGAAGCCAGGGGGAGCCGGGCCTCTAATTTGCTGTTGCTGTTGCTGTTGCTGTCTCTGAGCAGCAATACGTTCTCGCTGATATTCAGCCTCACGCTCAGCAAGATCGGAAATATTGACCTGCTTGGTGGGCTGCGGCATTCGGACCTGGAGCTGTTCCTGCCGAGGCGGTTCAGGCACCTTCTCGTGATTCTGCATGAGCTTCATGAGGAATTCAGCCTGGTTGTTCACCATAGGATTCTGACCGCCCCGGTTGTTGCCATGGTTCGGCATAGCGTGGCGTTGGGCGAGGAGATCATGCAATGCTTGCTCGGGCCGTGTCATCGGAGGCGGCTGAGTGGGCGGAGCCATAGGACGAGGGGAGATAATGTCGTGCAAGGGGTTCGGTGGAGGTGCCCGGAATCGAGGATCATCACGGCGATCTCCACCATACTGCTGAAACGGTTCCGGGGAAGCAATGTGGCTCTTGGGTTGGGAGTCAGCAGGAGGAGCCGGCTGCGAAAAGTTGCCGAAGAGCTGAGCCATGGGATTGGCTGCTTGCGCAGATGGACCCGAAGGCCCCCCGATTCCGCTCTTCTGCAGCTTCTGGATAAGGAGATTGAAGGCCTCCTTCTCAGCCTCATTCTTTTGAGGCACTTCGTTGGGCTGTCCGCTCGAGGGAGCAGTGGCAGCGGGAGTTGACGGCTCTGTCTTTGCCCCTTCCTGAGGAGCGAGGAAAGCCATAAATCGGGACCCCTTGCCGGATACAGGCTTACTGGCTTCCTTCTCGGCCGTTGGGGTGCTAACCTGAAGGCTGCCACCATAGGCTGCAAAAAACTTGTCCGGACCAGTTTCGAGGGCAGGTGCAGACAACACCTTCTCTGCCTCGAAGGCGGGCTCGGGCAGATTGGTTTGCAAAGGCGCAGGGGCCTTGTCCTCAGCCTTTGGCCCGCCGCCATGTTTGCTCTTCATACTCTCCATGAACTTCTTGAAATCTTCGGCCGTATGACCCTGCGACTTATGCTCAACGGGTTCATCGAGCCATTCAGGATCGCGCTCAACACGCTGGTCACGGTCACGGTCATATCTTCCTCCGCCATATCCACCAGCCCGGTCGCCATATCTGTCGTTCTGTTGCTGCCGATCTTCGTTGGGTTCGCGATCACGCCAACTCTTCGACCTGTCAATACGTTCCCTGACAGAGAGAGAAGCAGAAGCGCCATTGTTGTCGCTGCTGTTCGTATTCTCCTTGTTGAACCAGGAATCGGTCTTGCCTCTTGACAATCCGTTCCTACGAGGTGTATCAATGTCTTCGCCATCTTTGTCTCGGACGTCCTGGGCCCGGTTACGGCGATCCGAAGCATCTTTAGCCTGGGTATCGCGGGAGCCGCCAAAACGCTCTCCCGCGGCGCCCATGCGACCCTGGAATCGCTCTGCACCCTCAGTGCCAAAGCTCTTGCGGGGCTTGACCGGAGTCCAGCCTTCGCCGTTATCCTGGTCCTCCCCACGGCGGCGGAATGCGTTGTTCCGCCCGTTACCAAACCGGTCATTGGTAGTTTCCGGGTCATTGGTGCGCGTACGGAAGTTGAATCGATCCGTCCGATCCTGGCGATCGTTATCTTTCAGTCCCTTATCAGCGTCGGAGGTCCTGTTGTTGCGCAAAGTGGTAGCGGATGCGAAGCTTGTTCTGGGAGGTCCAAGGATAATATCCTCAGGATCTGATAGGGTCAGCAAGAGATCCACGGTAAGACCACATAGTTGCATCCCGAACCCAAAGATCCAGGACTGAGAGAAAGCGTACTCGTTGTGGTGCGCGAACCGGCACGGTCCAGCGCTGGACGTCTGTTTTCTTGGTTCAGAAGAAAACTGTCCCCGCCTTTGATGCGGTCATTTGTGGTTTTGGCCTGGCTATTGCGGCCTGTCTCTGGAGGCGGTCTATGGAGGGATTAGCCAGAGTGTCCGAGGATATGCCTAGGGCACACAGTGTAAGTAATGGGTAACCATTCATGTGCGCCCATCGCCTGGCCGAGTTGAGAGAAGACACATACCCCATCCACTCCTCGGCGGGAGGGAGTCCGGGAGGCTTAACGCATAATGGCGACGCTCGTAGATACAGCAGAAACTCTGCTGAGTATTGCACTGCTGCCATGGTATTGTCTGTTTCTGTATTATGCAAAGACCATCGGCTGTAGACTAAATGGCAGTTTCACCAGCATCCGCAGCTGGGTAGGGGAGGACAGCAAGTCGGTGACAGACAGGAGGAGGCGGGCGTCCTAGCGGCACAATGCCGCAGTCCAGTGATAATTATTCGTTCGAGGGAACCAGCGCGGCGACAGCTCAAGTTGGATCGAGGGATATGTTGCGGAAGACGGGTCGGTAGGTGCAGGTTGTGCAGACCGTGCACGAGGACAAAGATGAATGGAGGGGGTTTGGTTAGATGACGGACGGGATGATGGAGGCTGCGGCTGGCTGCTCGCCGGCTTCACTGCTTCGGGCTACGTCTGCTGGTGGGCCAACAGAGGCTGCGAGGAGAGTGAGACTGGGATGAGCAATGCGGTGGATTGAAAGCGATGCTTTGGCTTTAAACGGTAGTAGTTTTCTCGACAGGTGATAGCGCTGTTGTTGTGGTTTTGTGATGCGTTCTGGAAATGGAGGCCGGTGGCTAAAATAGTAGAAACCGTTCTCTTGTTGCTTCAGGTTCAGGTTACGATGCGGAGAGGAGAAGGGGCGTGAATGACAATGGAGAGAGGCAAGTCACAAGTGTGGTGGTAGTAAAACTGGAATGGGGACAGCGCAGAACCAGATGGGGGTTCAGGGCAAGGACGGGCTGGACGGGAGACCGACTGGGAGGGCGAAGGAGGCACCGAGGTGGAGGTGGAGGACGAGGGTGGTGTTTCCTGGCGAAACTGGAACAGGCAAGCAGCTGGCTGGGCCTGCCCACTGGCTGCCCGGCTGCCCGCCATAGGCTGGACTCTCCTCCTTCTCTCAGCTGCCCGCTGAAGTTTTGGGTCATCAGAAGTCATCGCCCGCTGCATTTCAGGTTCTCTACAAAATCACACAACATCCTCCTCCACTTGAAGGTGGATCTGAGACCGCTTTTTAGTGCTGCCACTTCACCATCCAGAACCTGTGAGCCTGTCACGCTGCCATTCCATTCTATCAATATGTGTGTCATCGTCGTCCATGGAAGGTTTGGCTTCAAATCGTTCTTGCAGGTTCCTTTGTAAGCTTTTGGGGCCCAAGCGCCTTTGATATCCCAAGAAGTCTTCACCACCTCCCCGCATAGCAACCTTATCTGTCGCCGGCATTGCAGTCCAGCCTTTGTGATTCTGCCTGTGGTGAACTCCTTGTTTAATACAACGAGATGGGCTTGTTCTCCTTGTGCAAAGCATCATTGGAATGGTGCAAATTGGACGCCGATGTCGCTACTGCCAGCTGTCGTCATTAGTTCTGGTCTTCCTGGACTGGGATCCCTTCTTCATCATTAGCCCCTTTAGTTCCCCTTTTGCAGCATTGTTATGTACGACTCCGCGTCGTATCTCTGTCGAAGAGGACCGGAATAGGGGATTTCGGTTAGTCTGCGTCTAGAGAATTGCAATATCCCGTTGCCAAATAACACCGGCGCCCTCTTATTTAGTCCTAGGTATCACATATCATTTGAAAGTAGTAATCGAGTATATATGCCAATGACTCGACATTCCGTGGTATTTATTCAACAACTACAATGCACAGTCCTTTGTGGCTGATCCCCGTTGGGAATCCTCTAGGCAATCACACCCTCAACACCTCCTTTACTCCATCCCTTAACCCTTCCCTTATCACAAGTATCCCAGATCCTCTTCAGCAGGCCCTTATACACCGCAACCTCGTCCTCAGAGCTGACAATGTTGCCTGCTGCACCTTGAGTTTGCGTCGTCAACAAGCCCTTCTTCATCTTCAACAGCTCCTCTAGCCAGCTGACCACGCCAAACCTTGTGACGAGCGTTGTGCTACCCCCCTCGATTTTAGTTGCCCGGTACAGTATCCTGAGGACCTGCATTCTCAGCGGCGTTCTCATGTATGGGTTTCCTGCTACCGCCAACAACCGCTCAAACAGCGGGCCCTTTGCCCTCTTCTTGTGGAACAACTCCAAGTCCTTAGACGTCCTAAGGCCGTCCAGCAGATATGCCAGTAGCCAGTTGAGCTGCGCAAAGTACGAATCGCCAACTGCGGGTTCCTCGGTCAAGACCTCATCCGCCAGCGGCACTCTGTCCACGCTCCAAAAGGGCCCCCTTGTAAGGAGGGAGTTGATCTTGGGATAGAGGCTGTGTGTCGGGTCGCGCAAGACGTTGACGGCGTGGCAAGCGAAAGCAATGATGGTGCTCGGGAGCGGCGCCACTGCGTTGACGGCCTGGCTGACGGCTGCCACCCTGGCGGTTTCCGCAAGCTCTGAGAGCAACAACCAGATCTGTTCTTTCTCCTCGTACTCGGATTGCTGGACTTTGGCAGCTATCTTTAAAATGTTGACGAGCGCCTCCTTCCTGATACTGGCGTGCTCGGAGGCAAGCAGGCTAATGAGGGAGATGGCGTGACCTTCGTCCACAAGCTCATCCACGGACTTGTTTTGCCACTTGATGAGTGCTGAGTTATCAGTGGCCAGGCTGTCTGGAAGATCGAGAACACGCTCCAACTGTTCGCTGTCCAAGGCGGCGACGTCATCACCAGATTCCGGTTTCTTCCCTTCCGCTGCTGTGTTGTTCGTGTCCTGCTTGACTTCGGTCGACTTTCCACCCTTTGTTTGCTTGAATGGATGCTTCTTGGGCACAGCCAATGACTTCCCAAGTCCTTTGGTAAATGAGTCAGACATGACCGCAAGCGCAGCCTCAAGCAAAGGCTTGCTCTCCCCAACAGCTGCCGAATATCCGAGGAACTTTGGCAGGAAACGACTAAGTCCATCGAGTGTAGTCTTGGAATCCGTCGCCTTGGCAGCAAAAGGCAGTTGCTCGATGATAGCAGCGACCAACGGGCTGACAGTAAGTACCTCGTCCTCCGCATCCTTGGCCAGATCCTGCAGCATCTCGAGATACTTGACTGGCGCCGTGGTGCAGCGAGTAAGGCATTTATCCAAGAAAGGCCACAAGGCGGCAAGAGACGAAGGAGACGACGCCGTGAGCTCCTTAAGAGTTTCAAGAAGAACAGAGATTCCAGGGTGACCCTTATCCTTTGCGGGGACAACCTGCTGCTCCACCGCTACGAAGTCGAGAACCTGCCGTACTGGTGCCAGCGAAACGCCATGGAGTGCCTCAACATAAACCTTCAACAGGGTTGTAAACGGTGACAGAGTGAGCTGCTCTGTCGCCGCAAACCACCTCATGCCGGGAGAATAACCTGCAATCGCGAGGAGATTCTCCAGTTCTTTGAGGCTCAGCGCAAAGTCACGAGGATCAATCTCACCATCCTCTTCTGAGGCAGCCTCCTTCTGCTTTTCCTGCTTGGACAGTCTCTTGAGTGCTGTCTCTAGTAGTGGGGAGACGTCGAACTTGGCCATGAGCGCGACCTGCGGAATGACCTCGTAATACAAGCGCAACAGCTGACTAGCAGCCTCGCGGTGCAAAATATCATCCTCTGGGATAGATCGGTACGAATTGATCATCTCCTTGATGCCTGGGCTCCTTTGGCAGAACTCGTCAACTAACCGGCGAGCTGCTTCCGTCCAGAGCGCTTGGTTATTGTGGAATTTCGAGCTGTGAGCTGGGTCTTGGTGCATCTTAACGGCCGTGTCAAGCTTCTGCACCGCTAGGATGAGAATTCGGGTCGCAAAGAAGGAGATCATCCTGGCCTTATTCGTTAAGCAGCGGCTGAGTGCTTTCTGGTTCAGGGGAAGAGGCAGGATGTTATCCATGACGATGGATGTCGGGGGAGGAAGTTCGGCATAGCCAGACCCACGGCAAAAGTACTCAGGCAGCGGCAGTGCTACTGTGTTGAACAAGAATGCTGCATATCCAATCCATGTCGCAGATAGCTTGGGCTCGAAGGTAAACGATTTGTTCTTGATAAAAAAGTCCGCGATCAACTCTGGTGCAACCTTGAAGATCGCGGTGATCAGCTCGCTCTGCTTCACGCTTGACCATGGGCGAAGATTTTGGAGCAAGTTTGACAGAACAAAGTTGCGGACGGGAACTTCTGTCTTGAACTTGTTCATCCATACAATAGCTTCCAGCCCAAGCTCTTCAAGGTCGGCGCTGGGGATAGCAGCGTTTGGATCCGCCTCTCTGGGATACAGTCCGCTATCCTGTCTCAGAACACCACATGATGGGTTGGTGCATGCGGTCATTAGAAAGTCATGAGCGGCGTCTGATATCGATGGGAGATCATCGCTAGCTAGACGGTAGTAGTATAAGCCCGAGATTTTGATCAATGTCGTGGAACTGAGAAAATTGGACTTGGCCTCCCGGGGAACCTTGTTGTCAAGTAAGACGTGATCCCTCAATCCATTGAGAATATCCAGCACCAGGTAAGGTAGATCTTGCTTGATATCCCTCGTGAGGGCAGTAACGACATCCCTCTGCGCAAGCAGCTCCTTCTTGGCTTCGGGATGCAAGTATTTGAGAGCGCTCAGGAAAAGTTGAACAGCATTGGTGCGTGGGGAGGGCTTCTTGATGTCCTCAGGCTCCTCTCCGATGTGAACAATCCCCATGTTCCGTGCCAATGACTTGAGCATCGAAACTCTCGCGCGGAACATTGGCCGAGCAATGGCACCTCCATCGAAGCATACCGCCTCCCTGAGCATACGCAGGGTGGGCGAGATAATGAAAGCCTTTCCTTTGTCGGCCGACAAGCTGCGGGAGATCAGTTCTTGCTGACGTTTTTGCAACAAGGTCCTGCAAATTCCCAATCCGATTGGCGTAAGCTCAAGGCTTTGAGACAGCAGTTTTAGAAGCAGTGCGAGGACAACCGGTACAGCGGAAAGGAGGTTCTCGTTATTGACTTGGCCAGCATTGCTCCATGTTTGCATGATATCCGGAAGATATGTTGAGCTTTCGTCGTCCTCGATCGGTTTCGTAGACTGTAGGTATTCCTTGACTATCGTGAAGCGTGCTTCATGCTGTTGGCGTTTCTCAGCACTGTCGGTCTTGTCATCGCGAGAGAGTAGGGAATCGAGAAGAAGCTTGAACGATTGGAGTCCTGCATAGAGTCAGAATTTGTGAGCGAAAATGGATTGGAAATCACGAATGTTCATACCATGTCTCGAACGCCCAAGGTCTGGGTCAAAGGCGAGGAGCTGCCTCAATTGGCGACTGGTGTGAATGACTTCAGACGTGGGAGCCTCGTGGACGACGCGTTGCCTTTTTCGCGGCCCGTCCCCATTTTCTGCGCCTCTGAACTGGCGTTTTCCCATTGTGAGTAATCAATGACTCTTCTTTAGGTCGAAATTTGGGTGTGGATGAAGCCTTTCGATTTCGCGATCGAGTAGTTGGAATTGAAGCTTGCCTCGTCGACTTTCTGGGAATTTCCTACCGTCGCATGTTCTGCAGTGATTTACCGCCTGCCAATCGCGACTAAGTGGGGCGATAATGGTTACCTCTTTAACTGTGCTCCACCAGAGCGTTCAGGGTCGCAGCTTGCAGAGCCGGGATTCGACCAATCAACCCCACACGATCTCGTCATTGGTCAGGGGTACCTGCATTTATCTACACTTACAGTACTTCCGCATTTACATGACATTAAGTACACTCGGCGTACAGCTTCATGGATAAAACGGCAGTAAGTGTCTTTCATGCAACTGTTCATCCGAGCTCATCGAACAGTACATGGTGCCGCAGCAATGTCTCTTGAAGACTCCGGATTCCCGTTTAAAGGGCATCCAAAAATCGGATATTTATGGACCATCTCGGTTTCTGTTCTCCAATCGTTCCTTTAATGTGCTGACCGGTCCGTTGACCCCATCTTCCGCGGCATCATCTGCCACAAGACTCTGTACACCCAATGACCGGAGCCGCTTTGATAGAAGACTCTCTGCCGACCCAGGCCGCCCGTTTTTAACGTGACCAAAAGGATTGCCGCCATATCCCACATCTCCCCTGTTGAGCTTGTCGTATCTACCCAGCAGCGCTGGGGGTCCCGTCAGTTCAAGTCCGGTCATAGCATCACCGCCAGCTGTTATGGCTGTTGGCCGGGGGAGACGGAGACAAGTGTTGAGATATCCCATGTCTTGACTTGGCTGGCACATGTGGGATTGATTCTCATGTTGACTACCGGCAGCCAAACTCGGAGCATTCTGTGATGGTTTTGGAGCAACGAAGTTATTTGTTGGAGTTGACGACAGGTGACATGTTCGCAACGCTTTGTATGGCATGTACCGCGGCTCTGGGTACGTGACTTCATTGCGAAGTTTTTCGGTGCCATCCGGGACGCGGTTGGCGAATACAACTCTGATGTCCTTGTACAAATAAAAACGGCCACTCGACGGGCTGCAGATGTGAAGATGGATCAAGTATCGAAGAATAGGAGGGCCGTCCGGCACCGTACTCTTAATACCGTCAATGATGGGCCCAGCAGAGTAGCTCCGCTGGCGGATGAACGTTTTCGTGCCCGCTTCCATGCCTGTCAGATCATATGGAACCAGGAAGAGTTTGACGGCTGTTTTGTTCTGATTTTTGATAATAATCTGGAGTTGTCCCTTCTCTGGAATGCGATAAGAGCCTCCAGGAGGCGCTTTCGGAGACCGGGAGGTTTTCTTATTCTTTTCGAGTCTCTGGCTATCGCCCCCTGAAACCTCGCCCCCAATATTGTGAGTTAATCGGTCATCATCTGGCGACGTTCGTCCGGCGAACCTTGATTGTTGCTTCCGTTTGGACCGCTGCAACTCCTCTGGATTTGGCAATCCGTTCTCCAGGTCGATTTGGCCCACATAGGGGCTCGGTCCATCCTCCCCTTTATTCCTGCCATGAACAGTGCTAGAATAACGATAGAACACAGCTGAAAATGGCAGAGTGACATGAGATGGGCAACGCAAGTTCGGTTTGCACTTTCCAAGGCCTAGGACCCCAATTTGCGCCATGAACTCCAAGGGCTTGGAAGGCGTCGTCGACATTCGCCCCCTGAGAATACTCTCTTCATAAGATCCGACCATTGATGCATGCTGTAGGGGGGAGCCTTCGGAGCTGTGAGACAGACGCCTTGACCGAAATATGGAAAGCGTTTGAGGAGAAGAACTTGGTATCGAGAGGCCTGATAGTGACGCTAACGAACGACGAGGTTGATGTGCTTGGTAGGGAAGCGCACGCTCTCTGTGTGGTGGCGTATGCCTTAGCATTCCTCCATGACCGAGAGAAGAGCCATGAGCCCAGTTTATTGTATGTCTTCGCATATTTGGGGATACGGAGCTGATCCCGTCCGAAGATGTCTCCAACTCAATATCCTCCCGGCTTTCTGTATGCACCAGAGGACTGGTGGGGTGCTTATAAGCAAAACTTGTGGAGAGAGATGAAGAAAGCGAGGAAGAGGGTGAACCAAATGCCTCTTTTCTATAACCCATTGCTTGCCGTGAAAAGGGCAACGACGTAGGATCTCTGGAGGTCCATGAGTCTTCGAAATGCCTGAAATCATGGGATTCCCGTAAATGGGTAGCGTCTCGTCTCTCTCGAGCATCGGCATTTTGATCGTCTGGTGTAAAATCTCCGCTGTGAAGGGCAGAGCGTGGGCGTTCGATACCAAGTCCCGACTCGAGCTGTCCTGCAGCGTTTACATCCGATAGACCCTGTTTGCCATCTCGTTTCTCATGGGCAATCGCAGGCGGGGGCAGCAAGCATGCTCCGTTTAAGCTCGATGTTTGGGGTATCTGTTGGGATGGCTGTACTTCGTCTTCATAAAGCCGGGACTCAGGCTGCAAGCATGTCAGTAGAAAAGCAAGGCAAAGCAGCCGGACCTAGATGTGTAAACGTACATGGCAACCAGGCACCCAGATCGGGCTTTCTTTCATCTTCAAGCGATGAATGAGCTCGGCTCGATCATAGATCAAGGCACCAGTGAGCTTCCTCTCAGGAGTGGTTGGGCTATATGGGTTGTCGACGGGCCCCTCGCAAAATTCGGTCCTGATGCTCTCCGCAGAGACACGACGAGACAAGGACTTGGCGGAGGCCGTCGTTTGATGGGACTGTATAAGATGAGTGGGCTCCGACATCTCCGCATGAGTGATGTGAGCCAGGCGGCCCTGATCCGACATGTCTTGGGAAAAGGGCTTCATGAAGTGATCCTATGGATTCAAGAAAAAGCCAAATTGCGGTGTAGGACGTCTGTGCTCTTATAAAGAAACCAACTTCCGCGTCGATTCAAGAGTTGAAGCAACACGGATCTCAGGCATGTCTTTATCGAAAGACTTTACATGTTTTCAACCGTCAAAGAACTATGTTGGTCTGCTGGGCCGGAAAATCGGGAGGGTGGAGGAGGTTCGTAAATCCAAGACCTATCGGGGAGATAGGAGGATCAGTCCGGGCATGCACAAGACCTGGACCGTGTGGTGATTAAGTCGCAGTGGCGGAGAAGCAGAGCACGAATATCATCATAGTCGGAAGGTCGTGGAAGCTGGATGGGTCCGGAATTCGAGTCAAGCACCATAGCACTTTGCTGGAGTGGTGAAGGCTGCTATTCGGTATGAATTGACCACATCGATTTGTTCGGACGATATGCCTGAGTTTCCAAAGAAAAGGCAGATCGGACAAGGACCTACCATACAGGTCTAGACTTTTGACGCCGAGAACAAAGACTTGCGCGGCGCCTATGTATGGCATGTATGATTGACGGATTGCGGAAATTAGGCAAAGATCTCTTTTGGGATTTGAAGAGTTTTAAATCCTGAAAGCACTGAAGTGACGCTTCTCAGTTTGCTGCAACCGGCTCATGCAGGAAAGATGGGACGGAAGGGACCAGTAGCAGCTTTATGAGATGGCAGTGCAGTGATGGGGCAGTAATGCAGACGGCCGGGTATCGGGCTAAAGTACAGCACAGTTATGCGCAAATCTGTGCGCAATGGTCCCTTGCTAACGGTGGCTGCCTCGCAAAAACCACGGCACTGCACTGCAGGACCCGGACATCGATCTGTCGGATATCCAGTCGGGCGGACCTGGAGATCAATACCGAACCTTTGCGGTTGAGGCCGGGCTATGTACATAGAGGTATGCGTCCAAATGAATCCGATCATATTACCTGTCCAGTCCCGACAGAATGAATGGGTTTCGACTCGTCCAGGCAATATCGAAGAGTAGATTGATCAAGGGATTCGAGAAGTCAGGATAGGAGGTCGGGACCCAAGAAGCAGAAGATGTGGTTAACATGCGGAGTGGATACTACTTCTGGTGGTACTTACCCGTAAAGGTTCCCGGCGATCTTTCGTTCTATGTACTTAGTGTAAACAATGAATGGGAGCCCAAAGTTTCCATTACGTATCAATAGTCAAGGAATATGATACGTTCACTTCAGCTTCCTGTATCGCGGGTATAAAGTTTCAGCAAGTTCAACATCAGGGTCTCGGTGAGTTACGGTACCAACCGGAGCGTAGAGGTGTTGTAGGTTCCTGGACTTTTGAAAATGATGCAACTGCACCCGGCGTCATTTGGATGTTGGTCCATGCATGAGCCCCACACCAGATCTTCTGCCAGTTTCTACCGCCTGTAGCGATAACGAACAAGGGGAGCTTATCAGTAGATTTCTCTCGTTCGAGCTAGGAGAAAAAAACAGAAGCTTCCAACAACCTAACACCCAAGACCATCATCAATCGCCCACCACATTGTCCACCGCAAAACCACCCCTACCAGGATACCTTCGCCCTTAAATTCTTCGATTACCAACAGAAAAACCCTGACATCCCACAATATGGCGCCCAAAAGAGCCCGCGACGAGGACCCGACAACCGGCGCCCCCGACAAGAAGAAGGCCAAGCACGGCTTCCGCGTTGGCCCAGCAAACCTTCCAGATGGAGCGTGGAAGCGCAAAGGTTAGCCACCATCATGTCTATTTGTGGTCATTTACCTTACAGCCGTTTACATACTGACCTGAAATCTTTCCTTTCCACCAGCCGACAAGATCAAGAAGGAGCTCATCACCAAGTCCAAAGTCAAGAAGGAATACGCCAAACTGAAAGCCAAGAAAGAAGCCGAAGCCGCAGCTGCTCCCGGTGTTCCCGTCGGACCTGTTCTAGACATCCACAACGCCGAAGGTGACAACGACAACAACAACAACAACAACGCCCATACAATCACCGACAAGAACGACAACATACAGGGAGAAGATGTAGACGCTCCCGCGCCCATCCACCCTTCGCGGCAAATGCTCCTCGAAAAGGGCGCCGCCGTCAAAGCAGCTAGAGCCGCCGAACAAGAACAACGAACAACAACAACCAACGAAGAGGTACAGCAGGATGGGAGCAACGGAGAAGAACAACAACAACAACAACAACAACAACAACAACAACAACAGAAGGAGGAACAACCAACAACGACCACAAAGCCAGCTGCCGACGACGACGGGGTCTACGTTCCCCCACCCATGGACCCCAACATGCACCCCTCGCGCCTACCCAAACGCCACCGCAAACCGAACTACTACGAGAAGGAGCTGGCGCTGGCCGAGAAGAAGAAGAAACAGGCCGAGGAAAGGGCGGCCGAGATTGCGCGGCGCGAGGAGGAGAAGCGCCAGCGGATTGCCGAGAGGGAGAAATATCGCAGGCAGATGGCCAAGGCGAGGCAGCCCGGAGCGAGGGATGGGAAGATGAAGTTGGGGAGACAGGGGAATTTGTTGTTGGATAAGGTTAAGAGGATTGTTGGACAGTGAAAAAGTGCACCGAAAACAGCACGGTTGGGTCATAGAGGTTGGCTTGTTGGACCTTGACCGATGCCTCACAGGGAGGGGTTGTTCGAAAGCGAGTTGGAGAGGAGGGGTTGAACGGGACATAATGATGTTTGTCTGTTGGTCTGTTGGGAGTGAGTTTATGCCCCCGCTCATGTTTGCGTGGATGTTGGTGGGATTTTTTGACAAAAAAGTTGCGTCTGTGTGAAAGAAATGATACCCGGCTGGAGAAAGGGAGGGAGGAAAGGGAGTGTGTTCGCAACGTCATTGAGGAGAGAGCCAATCAAAAAGCTCAAGTTACAGTTTCGAGAATGAACGACGTTTTCATCACATTTGCTTGATGTGCCTAGGAGGACAGCCCGTCACAGCCAATTTGGAGGTGAATAACTTAGTCCATTCTTCATATTGACTCATCTCAGGCTGGTTCCCATCCAACTGTAGAGAACCAAGCTGAACCTTTCATTTTCACAAATACATTAAGACCACTAGAATACACCCATCACCTTCTTTACAGAGTCATAATACTATTCTTCATTTTCTTTTAGGCCAAAGCATTCAGATCACCAAAGACGCAACAAAGGCCAAATTTGGACTGGAAGAATACGAGCGAAGTGGCCCCTACGAGCCCTCCGCGAGAAGAGAAGAACAACAACGCCAATCGAGTCCGTCGCTTCCGCATCTTCCTTGCTTTCACAAGCGCACCGCCTAGCCGCCGTCGCTCCGGCACTCTTGAGAGAAAGGCAAAATATATCATCAGTATATACAAACCATGTATAAGTCATTTGGTGGTTAAGAATAGGCTTTCCCGTCCTTCCGTCTTCATTCCCACGCCGCGCCCACGCGCCCGCTCCAACTCCCTATTCCTCGAAAATGAGGGCACTGTTCTCGATCAGGAACTGAACGGCATTATTCTTGGCGTGCATGTCCGTCATTTCTTTTTCGAGACTGTGATCTCTCATAATGGTAGGCGCAAACACTACAGCCAAGTTTTTGGGTGACATCTAACAGGAGCGAGTTAGCCGAATGTTCTGAGTGCAGGGAAGGAAACCGACGGAACGGCAGACTTACCAGGTTCTCGCGTTCTCTGCTCGCTACTCGAGCAAGATGGAACATGAGGAACTCGAGACAGTCACGATGCTTTGGTGGAAGCATGTTGACTGTTTTCTTCAAGTGAGCGCATTTCTCTTCTACGTCTTGAATATCTGTGGAGCGCCGGGTTAGCATCTGTGGACACCCGTCAGTCATACAGAGCAGAGGATGGACTTACTGTTCGAGTCTAGGACCCTTTCATACACCTCAAACGTCAGCAAGGGGTTCGGCAGCTTGCGGAAATACTGCTTGAGAACGCTGGTCACAGCAGTGATATCGATCTCCGGGTCGGAAATGTCGAAATCTTGCTGCTTCTCGAAGCCCTCCTGAATCATCTTGATCTGAGAGTTGCCTCCAGTTTTCCTGTAGATTCCTTCAACATCCATACCACGAAGCTCAACCTCCTCGATGCAGCGGGTGACTACGCTTGGTATTTGACGGCGTTCATGCTCAGTCCGCTCAACCAGGTCGGAACCGAAGAGAGTAGTAGGGGCCTCCGCAACCGCAGGAGTAGAGATATTGGTTAACGACATCGACTTTTGCTGCGCATTTGGCTTCTTGCCTCCAAAGAAACCAAATCCTCCACCACCACCACCACCTCCACCTTGCCGCGAGTTGTCAACAAGCACAGGCTTGATGGTATTGGCTGGTGGAGGATTAACAGTGACAGGAGCCTCGACCTGGGCAACTGTCATGGCGTAAGGAAGGCCAATGTTGTCTCCGTTCAGGGGGCCCTGCTGCTGTTGCTGCTGTTGCTGTTGCCTCTGGGTTCCTTCCTGTCCTTGGAAGGCGCCCGCCGCACCACGGATACCCTTCGAGATATTGTGCGCCACCTTGCTGGAGCCCTTCTTCCAGTTGAACTTCTTGACCTGGCCCTTGCGGATGTTCACCACGGTAGGGCCTTCCACAAGCTGATCTTCCATATCAGGACCAACCATGGTCGTAGCTGTCTGCAAGCTCGAGGAGTCCATGTTGAGTGAGGCACCCTTGGCATGGCCGTAAATACCCAAACCATTGGGTGACTTGAGCTCGCCGTTGTTAATCTGCTGCTTGAATCTCTCCTGGATCTGGTGAGTGAGATCATTGTTCATATCAGCCAGCTGAGCGTTCTTGGAAGAGAGCTGCTCAAACTCGAGCAGAGCGCGATCACGGTCGGCAATGGCCTGGTTCTTCTCCTCTACCAAGTCATCTCTCTCAGCGATGAGCTGCTCGATCGCAGAAGTCATGTTGTGCTTGAGACGCTCCAGCTTTTGGACAAACTCCTTATTGCCGATTCCTCCAGCTCGCGGGCGTCAAACGACTCATTAGTCTTCTTTGCGCGCTCAACATACCCGGCCAGTACCTCAAGCTGCCTAATCATGATCTCAGTCTGAGTGTCAAGCACCGAAACTGTCTTCCTCTTCTCGATCAACTTCTTGTTGAGGCTCTTCAGATCCTTCTCCGTGTTGAACTGTCGCTCCAGCTCTGCCACCCGTTGCTCGGAGGTTCTGAGTTGCCGCTTCAAATAGGCTGGATCATCCTGGGTCGTACTAGCTAGAGACAACGGACTTGTGATATCGTTGATATTACCGGTTGAGTAATCCTCAACGATCGGGGTTCTCGGCCAACGGGGCGAAGTAGTTCCTCGGGTGGTCTCGCTCACGCTCCTACTGTGAGAAATCCTGCCAGGAGTAGCGCCTATTTCGCCGCTGCTGTTCCGTCCATGTCGTACTGCGTTCGAGACCCGGCGCAGAATCGACGACGAGCCCTCATCTGTTCCGAGTATCCTGGCCATATCCTCATCCATGCTGAACTCTACCCCAGAGCTCCACCTAGGCAGCTTGGGGGATGGCTTCAGCTCCTGGTTTTCACCACCTGTTGCAGTCTGGTTCTTAGGGGTCTGCTGAGTGGGAGGCAAAGGTGGTGCTCTGGGCTGCATATACGTGTTACTGAGCTTCTGCTCAGGCGGCGGAGGACGCAGCGGGAGAGCAGGGCCATCGTTAGTGTTCGACCCTGGAACTGGTAGAGGTTTGCCATCGGCTACTTGCAAGACGTCAGTAAACACTCCTCATACATTTACACGGGATTGAGACGGGGACGTACAGTTTCTGGATACGAAAGGCGGAACCTCTTTCCGCGGAATGGATCGCCCAACGTTCGAGACTTCTGAGCGCGAGGTCACAGATTCACTCGACGGCCGTATTTCATCGCTCACGGCATCCCTGGGACGTGAATCCTGGGAGGATCTAGGGGTCATGACCCTGTCGGGACTCATGGTTGAAGGTGGCTCAGGACTGTCCTTGATGCGTTGCGTTGTTCCATTCTCGATATTGTTGCTCGCTTGAGACTCACTCCGGGTACTCACAAGCCTCTTGCTTTTGGGAACGTTCTGCAGCTTGAAGTCTTCGGTGTTAGGCTGCTGATTGTAGGCTTCGGCCAGGATGCTAGCGATATGGGCCGGCTTTGTATTCATATCGGCCGCTCTAGAGAGCTTCCGGGGTGGGGGTCGCTCCTGTTGGGGACTCTCATAGTCGGACGACGCTTGCCTCTCTTGCGCCATCTGCGCCATCAATGCGATGTGCGGTGTTGGAGTGTTTGATTCCTTCTTCTCCGGCTGGACGGCGTTTGACCTGGTGGAGCCAAAGTAATCTTTGTTCTTCCGGCTCGAGTCCGAAAACGTATCGGCCATAGACTGAGGCGTCATTGACGGCGCGGGACTCTGGTCAAGCGCGACAGGTATAAAGAAGTCCTCAGTATCACCCCCGTTGAGATCGGCAGACAACATGGTTGAGTTGCGGTTGTGTCTATAGTTTGGCGCTGGCGGGGCCAGCACCGTTTCCTTGTTCTCCGCCGATCTTTCAGGGGAGCGGTCAGGCCTCGAACTGCTGCGCGACGACGAGTCCTGCCGTCCGTAAGCATTTCGAGGTCGTGGTGATAGTTCGGTAGGTGTATCCGAGTCCGCCGCAAGCTTTTCAGGCGCGAAACCTGTACTGGATGGGGGCACAGCGTTTGGCGGTAGCGCAGGAAGAGATTTGTCGGTGTCTCGAGCTTTTGCTTGAGCCGCTGCTTTTGCTTTCTTTCGTCTTCGTGCCATTAGACTCTCGTGACAATTCATACAGAATATCCCATGGGCGGTCCTGGCATAGCGCAGGTTCTCGATCTTTCTCTTGCAATTCCTACAGCGGAAGCATGTTGCGCAAAAGGCCTGGTCTCCGGTCAGGATGGCCAAGTCCTCAATCTTATTACCGCAAGCACTGCAGCTGTAGGTGCAATTGTTGCAGATCAACGAGCCATCTCCAAGCAGAAGGAGGTTCGCATCCGAGTCAAGGAGCGTGTTGCATGTGTTACAACGGAAGCAATCGAGATGCCATCGGTTTCCAGCTGCGATACAGTCAGTCAGTAAAGTAGATCATAAGCACCCAACGCATTCGCCTCTGAAAGCTCCAGCTGTCGTAGGTGCCGCCGGACGTGATGAAGGGTTGGTATCCCCAGCGAACCCATTTAAGCTACAGGTATAGATGTATATGCAACATACCAAGTTCGAATGCTTTGCCTTCTTCCAAAATCTACCACAGGAGGGTCAGCAATGATCAAGCAGTAGCTCTGAGTGGGAAGCTTACTTCTCCGCATCCCTTGCATGGGAACACATCGTCAGCATCCATGGGGGCATCTAGATAGTCATCCATGATGGCGGTATTGACCCTTTCCGTGCTGAGACTCCAAGTTCACCACCACCCTTTTCAGGTATAGGACAATCGCGAGAATCAAATGGCGTAAGGGCGAAGGTCGAGGGAACGGGAATCCGTTAGAAATAGCACATGGAGAGTATTCCAGGGCGCAACCGCGTGAAGCAGATTTTGGTCCCCAACGGTGAATAAAAGGGGCACGCAGGAGCGGTAATGAATCGTCCGTCACTGTCGGGCCGGCGTGGTAATGAACCTCGGTCGATCGTTTGCGTCTTGATGATGCGTCTATAAGAGCAAGGGAATCAGATTGCCTTTGCGTATATCTGATTACCTATTCTACCCGGGGCGGAGTCCAGCGCCAGGCGGGATAGGGGGGATGTGCGATGGAACGGGAGGTATGCGTCTAGCAAATGCGTTCGTCGTTTGTCGTTCGTCTTCGGCGCGGCAGCTGGCGTGAGCTGTGACAGTATGCTTGGATGGCCTTGACTCGGACTCTTCTTGTGGGGGAGGTTGAGGTTGGGGTTGAGGTTGAGGTCAAAGTCGGGGTCGGGAAAGCGGTCGCGGTGGGCGTCGCTGATGCCGAAAGTTAACGGGGAGGTAGATAGCCAGATTGGTGGAAGGCGACGGAAGGGAAACCGTCCTCTACGGAGCCCCGAGAGGCAACGAGGTAAGCAGGGGTTGGGCAGAGCAGACGTAAATATCGTGATGTTCCGATGCTCACGGGCCAGTGAAAAAATGAGGCAGAGAAACTGAAAGCAGATAACAACAATGGCAAGGCTCGACTCGCCAGGCCAAGTATGTGTGGTCTTGATGGCCTGGAGCTTTGTCGACCTTGAAGAATGGAAAGTGGGAGACGGAGACTGGACGATCGGGACGCCTTAGAACGCGCACGGCGGGCCCCCTGGACTGGAACCTCTGTCTGGCACAACAAGTGCTGGGTGGACTGTGCTTCCGAGTTCCATGCGATCTCACTGGACACATCGGTTTGGCGGTCGCACCTCCTCCAACAGCACCAGCACTCCCAGCACTGGACAGCACAAATTTGCGTGGTGTCGGGTATGGCCTGTGCCTGCCACTCAGGGCATTCCGTTCCTGGGGCTTTCCCAAGGGCCCCTTCCTTCATCAAAAGAGACGACCCCGTCATTGCTGCGTACCCCACTCAATCCACCTCCCTCAGGCGGTGGGTGGGTCAGACTCAAGGGGTGCTCAGGGTGCTGCCGGGGAGACAGGAGGGTCCAGCAGGGGGTTGAGCAGGGGAAACGAAGGTCTGGGTGGAGACTAGCCAATAGGCAGCCGTCTTTTTCACGTGTAGATGGTCTCGAAAAATATCGAAATGAATTCCTTACCTCAACCACGGACATTGATGACAGACACTTCCTCAAACAGCAAAAGAGACAACCCACAGGGTAATATCACTGCTTCTACACATAAGCGGGTGGCAGTCAACATGTCAGGTCAGAACGCTGTGCTGCGTCAGCTTAACTGTTTGCTTTGCCAGTCAGCTCCATGGGTCTATATCTAGTCAATGTCTAGACCTAGCCGTCATCTACTCCCCCATATACCTGGCCTGTTACACAAATTGCTAACAATGCTTCACCCTTAATATTTCCTTGTCTTGCCCTTTCTTTCATTTCTCCTTGTCCCAGAAACTGCCCCAGTAGTCAAACAAGGAGACTTGACGACATCCAGATACCTTCGACTACATAGCCCTGCAATATTCCCCAGATATACAAGCCCTGGCAAGCATGCTTGGCGAAACGACAACTCGCCGTTTGTGAGGACCCCTTTACAAGCATTATCTTGTCTGAAAGATGCAGCATCCAGGGGAAAGGAAGCCAATCAAGGGAGAGTGAACTCTGATGCAACTCAGAAAAATGATGAAAATCCAGGATGACCAACTGAAGAAAGCTTGCGACTTTGTGACCCCTCCCGAATCCCACCTCAACACTCGAGTGAGAACTCATGGTGAAAGCAAAAATGGCCCGTGCCGTATAATTCTGGGGCGTTGAGGTTCAACAACCATGAGAATTCGGGTTTGGCCCAGAATTATGCAGTAGTCCACCAAACATCATCCCTTCCTCACGCAGGAATTGAAGCTGCAGTTTACCGACAAGGATGATGAGGCATCTCAAAAGTTCACCACAGTTCGCCGCTTGGCCACTGCCGCGGTCGCGTATCCATGTGTGATTGTGATAGATATCAGGCGCGTTTGCCGCACAACATGTGACGAGGGCTCGACGACGACCTAGGGATACCGTGACCATAGATAGAGCTTTACTGTTGCTTTCAGTTTCCTTCCTCTGAAAGTCCGGCTCACCAGTGACCACCGTCACCTCTGATCTGAGATCCGAAGTATTTGTACATTCCAACTCACCGCGTCAACTTTTCCGAATTCCTACGACGGAGATACTGAAACACTCTTTATTTACAGCTGAATGACACTCGCTGAACTACTGAGGTGGGCATCATATTCTACAGTACCTTCTTCGTTCCCATCCCAATGCCAGTTCCCATACATACAGTCATACAACAGTCCATCCCCTAAAACCCACAATAAATTCGCAAGGTTTCCCTTCTCTCACCACCCATCAACACAACAAACAAGGATTTCCAGGTTGTGTGTGTTTCATATGTGTGAGGGTTTCGGCACAAAAGCTACATTGTACATAATGTGTGCTTTGGAGTACAAGCAACTTGATTGAGCACTTGAGTTACCACACACACCCACCCATGGCGACGATCCACCACTCCTCCTCCGAGCAGTTCTCTACCGTTCTACTTGTCCATTACTGTGGTATACTGCGAGAGGCTACACATAAAGCTGTTCATAACTTCCTATCCGGCCGGTTGGTGGTGACACGGGCCATTGGTACTGACTGGCATTGACATTCGAACGGCATTGGTCCCTTGATTGTCTCTTCCCGTCCCGTCTGTATCTGCGTAGTGTAGAGGAGGAGGGGGACCCTGAAAAATTCCGCGCCTTGCTCCACGGCAATTGGATGTTTCTTCTTTTTTTTGGGCAAAAGGGAGGAAGGCGGCCTAGCTGGGTTTCCCCCTTAAAACTTGCGGGGTAATTGTTTCATTGACTGCTTTGTGAAGCCTTGTTAGTCCTTTCTTTCTCTCGGTTATTGCTTTGAAATTTATCATGGGGATTGTTGAAGGAGTGTTACTACCGAGGTACTAGACTTCGACAACTGCAGTGACCCGTGAGTTTTGACAGGATAATCATGGGAAATGAGCATTGTCTCATTTGTAGTCAGTCTATCCGAGCATGGAGGAGTCGACTGTCCAGCGGTATTGGCCATACGGGCTTGACTCAGCTCAGCGTTCTTTGCGTACGTAGGGTGAATATACTACCATATCACAGTGATGCCCGTGCATGTTGTTCGATGTTCATCTTCCCGACTGTTCAGCACTCACTGCAAAGGAAGCAATGATCATATAGTCGCCGTGTGGAGATGGACACAAGGTAATACAATCCAAAATCCAGTTTCAATTCCTGCCTAACACCGTTTTCCATTCCACCTCGGGGTATCGTTGAGATATGCACCGCCCTGCCTATGCCCACATGTCCACATATCTTCATCACATTCATGCTTTTGTTTTTCCTTTTATATTTCTCCTCACCCCCTGTTGACCAGCTCCCTCGACGTTGCGGTCCCATCCCCTTCCCGATTTTTTGTTGAAAAATCAAACTCACCCAAAATAATGCCAGTTAACCGACAGCCCAATCCCGCCAAAGGTCGACATCGCAGAACGCCGGTTGTATATAATGCTGTGCTTTAACCTCTTTCCTTCTCCTCTCCCATGTGTGTTGAAAGTTTCCCCGGTACCCTTTCCGTTCTCTGTATATGTGCTTGGTATGCAAATGCTGCCTTGTTGGTTCGGCAAAACTTGGAATCATCAATCGTTGTCGTTGCTCTGTCCTGTTGTATCCCGCAAAACCCGGCAGCAGAGTACGTTATGCTTGTTGTCTGAAAACGCGCTTTTTGTTGAAAAACGCTCAAATATTACGTTTAGGTAACGGGGAGTGGAATGCCTACCAGTAGGCTCCCATGCATTGTTGAAAAAGAAAATGTTGAAATAATATGTCGTGTGTGGAGGAAAAGTTGAAAGGAGAGAGGATGAATGTCTCCTTTATTGAGGCACTGTTGAAGCCTCTTAAACGCCGTTGGTGGCACCGTTCGTCTGCGCGGGCGTGTAAACCTTCTCGAGATCAGAGACAGACAGGTCACCCAGGATATCGAAGATGGTGCGTGGCTGGTGGAAATCATTGTTCACTGGCATCCAGAGTTAGTACGTACTTGAGCAAGCAACCGAATCTTTTCCCAACTTACCGATGTTGACCAGATACCACTTGTTCATGACCTCCTCAATCAGGAGGCGACTGGGGGTATCAGCATCGTAGCAGCGGGCCCACTCAATACCCAATTGGAAGGCCTCGTCCTTCCACGCAAGGAAGCTGATGCTCTCAACGATGGTGGGCTGCACGATCTCCTTGCCTGGGAAAACACCCCATGTAACCGCGTTGGGTCCCTCAGATGGCGCGTTTGTGTGGAGGTTACCAGACTTGGTTACGGCATAATAAGTGATGTCGGGATGGTTCTCGATGCGGCGCTTGATCTCGGGGAAAAGTTCGGGAGAGACCAAAAGTTCCAGGTAAGCCTTCTGATAGACATAACCATTCGCGGGACCCCAACCATGGACGGGGTGTGTCGACTTGACGCCATTGACGGCCGGCTGGGAGTTAATGGTGATCAAACCACGGTTGTTGAGAGAAATGAGGTCATCCTTGATCAGGTCAGCCTCGCTCGAAATAGGGGCCTCGCTCCATGGCAGGTACTCGAGCTCCTGGTTAAGATAGCGCACGAAAAGGTTGGCGATGTCCTTGACAGTTTGAGGCTCGCCCCACTTCTTGCGGTTTAGCTCATTAGAACCCGTCAAGCCAATACCATAGGCATCCAGCTCACCGAAGGCAGGAGATCTCGAATCACCCCAGCGGCCGTTGGGGAATTCATCCCAGTCTTGGGTACGGGTGATGTACGACTTGTTGCGGTTGCGCCAGAAAATGGGTCGCACATCTTCGTCCCTTCTGCCGGAACCCAGAGACTGCTTCCAGGGAAGAGCGCGCTTGAGCGGCCGGTTGGGCGAAGGCAACCAGTCAAGCTCCTCGAGAACCATGCGCGTGGCCTGGGCAAGGTTCATGGTGTAGAAGTGCAAGTGGTGGATACCTGCGGCGACAATCTTGCGGCACATTTCGGCAACGAGAGTCTTGCCAATCTCACGGACAGCCACATCATCGTTCTTGACGGACTCGAGCTTGGCCATCCATTCCTCGGGGATCTTGCAGTTCATGTGGTTCGCGCGGCGAAGGAAACTGGCGTAAGTGGCGATGGGCATAATGCCAGGAAGAATAGGAACTGTGATGCCCCTCTCCCTGACCCTCTTGACCCAGCGCAGGAAATTGTCAACGTCATAGAACATCTGAGTGACGATGAAAGACGCGCCCATATCGACCTTCTCCTTCAGGTGGTCGAGCAGAGACTCTTCGTCCTTGTTGTCGTCGCATCCCTCGGGATAGCCGGCAACACCAATGTCGAAGTGGTCGCCGTACAGCTTGCGGATGTGAGCGACCAAGTCCCGGGCATACTGGAAACCACCCTCAGCAGCCTCCCACTTCTCCTTCTCACGGGGAGGATCACCACGTAAAGCCAAGATGTTGGTACAGCCGGCCTTGTAGGCTCTTTGCAAAGCGTTGTTCACCTTCTCCTCGCCCATGTCGGTGCAGGTAAGATGCATACACGTCTCGAGGCCAAGGTACGCCTGAGCCTGGGCGACCATCTCGCAAGTAAGTTCGGCAATGCGACCGCCGGCACCCCATGTGATGTCGATGAACTTGGGACCGAAGTTGTACATGCGATCCATGCGATCGTAGAGGTTCTGGACACCCTGGGCCGTCTTGGGTGGGAAGTACGAAGGAGAAGGACGGGGGCCTTCGTCCTCTCGGCATCGGCAACCATGTCCCGGATATGCATTTTGGCCGGGTGCGTTGAGTGCGACTGCGGTGAGCGCGTATTATGGGGCTTGCTGTGTTATATAAGTGATAGTAGGTATTCTGGAACGTTTTCAGTTAGTATTATTCTCTGGGGACAAGAATCTTAAAAGTGTGACAAAGAACTGGTGGCTCGGTCGCGGTCGCGGCCATGGTCGGTGGGTCAACCAGCTGACCAAGCTCACGGGGAGGCGAGGGCTTTGGACTGTGGCACCTAGAAAAGGACCGGTGGGAAGGGACCAACGGCGGGACATTGCGATTGGGATATCGACGCGGCAGGTTAGGATGGGACGGTCCGTTGGACACTGCGTACTCGGGGAGAAGACAGGGAAAGCCGCGGGAAGGTTGTAAGAGGATTGTATAGACGGGGAGCTTCATGACACATGGGGTAGTGGATTCATACTTGTGCCTACCTAATGATTAGACGAAGAAACCCCAAATGGAACGGTCTCTTCTTTCTTTCTCGGTGGCTATCTTGTGGATAGTCAATCTGGTTTCTACGCCTTCGAGAAGGTATCTGTGCTATAGCGTGACTCCTCTTTTGGATCCGATGGCCTCGAAGTCCAGATGAAAGGAAGCTAAAGACGAAGGGAAAATGGTGGTCGGAAAGTGGGAAAATCGGAGAAGGGGAAGAGGAGGCGAGAGAAAAGGGAAAAGCGAAAGAAGTCCCTGGGAGAGACCTAGATATGCACGGGACCACCGGGGAGAGGGAAAGTGCGAAAGGACAACGTTTTTGTCAAACACGCCCGACCACGTCCCCGAAGGCAATGGGCGAGCCCGGAATGACACACAAGCAAGCTTGAGCGATGGAAGAGTGCAGACAGAGAAACGAAAGTGAAGAAACGCCGATCCCCGGAGTGAGTCCCATTGGCGACCGGGGTTGGCAAGTCCAGGGATCCCGCGTCGGCCGACCGCTTGCCTCACCCACTCACCCGCCTTCTCCAAGCTGGAGTCGGGTAGCAGTACGTGGGGACTGTCTCGACACGGACAAAATTAATGATACTACTAACCATACTTCCAGCCGCTTGAAGTGTTATCGTTTAATCTGTCCAGACAAAACTTTGTACTGTGTACAGCGTGTACCCGAGTAACAGGCAGTGCCCGACCCGACCCCTCTGCGCATTCCCCCATGGCCGGATGTGGGGTCGTTGAACCCCGCCAAAAAAAGCTTCGCAAGCTTTCACAAGTCGACATGTCCCTGGACAGCAGCCTGCAACGTTTCTGTATGACTATGACCTCAAAAACAACGACAATCGACATGAGCCAAGGTTCAACAACTGATCAAGCAGCTCAAGGCGGGTACATGCTGCTACGGCCATGTACAATCTCTTGAACGGCACATTATGACACGATAGCCAAATCGAATTCGCTGCCCTACAACAATAGAAACAGCTCGATGTACATCTCTAGAATTCGGTGCATGGTGGATCAGGAGATTCCATCACTTCACTGGCACAAGCCATCTTCACAAGTCCGAAAGTGGTTTCTTCGACGCCTGGTCCAAAATAGCGGTCAAACTCCACTCTTCTCGGCCACCTCAACAACTGGCCAACTCTCACCAATCCAGAGCTTCCATCTTCAAGCCATCTCGACCACACACTTCGCTTCTCTGTCACTGCATATGTAATGTAGTTAGACGAACACACACCGGTCGCCTGCCTCAAAAAATTGACCGAAATTCGCAATGTGTATCTCGAATTTTCAATCGTCACAACAGTCATGAGAAAAGTTGTAAAACGAAAACGACTGAAGCAATGGTCGACGAGTTCGACCAGTTGACGATGGAACCCCCTCCCCCCACACCCGATACAGGCGCCAACGACCCCACATCATTGGAGAATTGCTCAATTACGTGATTGACGAGTGTCCAGTCAGAAGCAACCGCCATCGAATTGGATCGCGGGAATCTCCCGGCGAATCTGCAAGGGCGACGCTGTGTGTGGTTGCCAGTGCAGTGTGAACTTTTATAGTGTACTGCCGTTGGTTCCTGAAAATATGTGTGCGACATGGACATTGGGGGTCAGGTAGTGTACATCGGCGTACAGTGTGTAAAGGTATACAGGCTATCATGTTTCCGACGAGTCAAAAGGCTTCGAGTTGCAAGAACAAGAGGCTTGGGTACAACAGCCGTCAAAAGCAGAGTATCAAAACCGACCGGCATGAAGGGAGGAATATTTTCGTACTTACTTGCGCCAGTGGCCGAAAGGCCAAAAGGATACCAGACTGTGAAACGAATTCCAGAAGATGGTCGAGCTGGAAGTGATGAAACAAGACATCGCGAACACTCTAGGTAACACTCTGGGAACCAAACTGAGCCAGACGGCCCTGAAACTTTTCAACACGACCTTGCACATTTGGCCTTCTTGAGGTCAATCTGTGCTAAAAGTCCAGAAAATGCGTATACAGGTGCCGTGAGCTGTTACCAGCAAATGATTAACTAGAAGATCGATGTACAGGATAAGGGGCCGATCCGAATACAGTTGGGAATGAACCGGGCTAACTAAAGACACTCTCGCGCAGTGTCACAGCTGCGTCGATTTTCGGTTTGGCTGGAAAGATGACAGACGGACTAAACCATGGAAAATCGCACCTAAAAGTTTGCGGATCGAACTAACGTGGGTATGGGGGTTCGTCGTTTTGTTGTCATTTCTCGTCCGTCGTCGAAGAGCGCGTCTTTGTTTGCACACGAAATTTTGTGTGAGTGACTGTTGTAGTCTATGTAAGGAACGAAGGAAGGATGGTGGAGGTTTCTTATATGCAGTTGTCATATGGGATGGAAGGTCCAAAAACCAGATAGAAATCCCAGGATGTGGTGGTAGGTGATGGCAGGTGCTACCTATTATGATATATACACGATGGGTTATCTAGGCTATACTGAACACAGGGTTATCAGCTCACCATGTGTACATCAAGGAGTTGCTCTGTCCCGTTGCATATTACTTCACCCCAGGAACGGGAATGGTAAAGTGGTGAAGTACGATTTCTTATGTCACTAAGAAGAGGAATAATCAGACACGATGCCTATATCCATCCTCGAGTCAATACGTAGGCATAAAGTTCGAGGTCGAATATAGGCAAAAATGGATCTTCAAGCCAGAAAGTGTGGGTTACAACTCGGACTTGTAACATCACGGATGCGACATTATTCATATTAACGAATGTTGGCGAACAGTACATCTAGAGGAGCAAATGGTAAACCATAGGGTATTATATGTTGTAGTCTCTCCCATATGTGCAACTCTTAACGTAGCGCTGATCTAGTGTAGTATGACTCTCGACGCTCAACACGATAACGCGAGACGCTTCCTTTCTCATTCACCTAACCCAGCTTAACAAACACTTTACCGTTCTTCCCGCATCATCCTGTTTTTGAGTGGGACAGATGTCCTTGCGGAGTTACTTGACCATGTTCCATAATCACCGTCGGCATCACAGCCGACTTCCCCTGACTCACGGGTCTCCCAATAATCTGCGCAGCCGAGCTAGCCAGCCCCAACCCTTGAACATCCGTAGTACCCGCCGAGGACGACGACCTAGGCGACTTTGGCCTCATGCCGAGGGCTCCCTTTCCGACGATCTTCTCGGTCCAGTTCCAGTTCAGTGTGCTCGATCTCTTGAATCCAGGCTTTGCCGGGTCGCTATCTGCCGCGGGGTCGGAGGAGTTTGATGTTGACGGAGTAACTGCTGCTGATTTGCCTTTCTTATCCGCCGGCGATAGGCCGCCCATGAAAGAATCTTTCTTAGTATCTCGCTGGCCGCTCTCGCTTGCCGTGTCGCTTTCGTCGCCACTTTCGATCCAGTCTCGGTCGCTCCACGTCACGGAGTCCATTCGGCGAACGAGTTTGGGGCGCTCGGTGTCTCTGAGAGATCCGGATGGCGAAGACGGTGATTGTGATGACAGGAAACCTCTGGTTTTGTCACTGGAGCTCACACCGGCAGAGCTTCTGGGCAAGCCGGAGACGACGTCCTCGGCCTCTATGGCGTCCCTTTCGCTTTGAGTCGAGCCTCCTCTACTATGCGACTTCTTCTCCGACCTGCTAGTCTCTGTGTCCTTAACTTCAGAACCGTGCTCGTCAGGTGGCGCAGACAGGGGCTTGGCACGCTCTCTATTTGTGGCCTTGTCATCGGGCGTCTTGGCGGTTGGTAAATCACTAAAGTGAGCCTCGACAAGATGCTGAATCACAGGCCAACCGAATGCGTTGGCAAACTGGCGACGGACGATGATGTTGTTGTGTGCGTCGGGCTCCAACTTGACGAGCACTTTGCGCCAGGAGAGACCCCTATGGTAGGCTCTGGCAATTTTCTCCTCAACTTGCATTTGGGAGCCATCGACCATCTCAGACGGGTCCATGTCGGGGTTGGTATGCTCTGTATCATCGTAATCATGTCGGGAAAGCGATGAGTCCCGGGGCAAGATTCCCGGTGTCGGGCTATAAGGGGACGACGCCTCACTGCTTGGGGTTTTAACCGGAGCAGCTTCACCCGCGGAGCCCTTTGAAGATTCCATGCTGGTCGTAGCTCTTCGTCGGAAGCCGCTGGTAGTGGGCCGCTTCTTCAAGGGTGGGGGTGGAATATCCGAGGGATGGTATATCCTATCATGAAAGATAGCTCGAGGTCGTTTGGATGGGTCGATCAGATACTCAACTGAAGGGAGTTTGGGGTTGATCAAGTCACTAGCTGCTTCAAATACCGTCGTCTTGGGCGGAGCCATGACGCTTTCTCCCGAATCCAACAGCTCATTGCCGGTGGTGACACGCGACCGAGACGAAGATGCTGAGGCTGTCGTGGATGTGTCGTCTGATCTCAAAATCTGACTTCGTTGATAGATTCTATTGGCTTTGGAAGGTTGTGGAGCAGGCGCTTGCTTTTGCGT